CCCCGCTGCAAAGTGAGGCCCACACGGCTTGTGGCCGCCGGGCCTCGCTGCTCCCCCCCCCGGCTCCAAGGTGGCGGCGAGGCCAGCTGCAGAGCGTTCCCTGCGCATGCGCAGGGGCCGCTCTGTCACTTTTGGGGGGATTTAAGCATCCCCCGATATTTTAACTTTTAAGATTTTTGTGCACACCTGGGGACTGCCCCAAGTGTGCACGAAAATCTCCCTGTGCCCCCGATGCGCGGATTTAGGTATCTGCACGCACGGGGGCGACTTGGCTATTAGATATATAGATAAACATATTTGTAAAACTGCAATGAAAATGAGTGAAGTGTGCAGCACTTACTACCTGGCCTCTGAAGGGTTAACAAGTGATAAATTGCTAGCACATACCTATTATACAGCCTAGGTTTCATGGATCTCAGTGGCAAGTCACTGAAGCGCTCTGTGTCTTTTGAGTATGTTCAAATCTCTTGCTGAATAGAAAAAACCCAGTACCATGTGTAGGATCCTTTTGCATGTTTAAAGAGCTTCAAATACTGTTTCAGTGGTTCTATTTAACATGTCACAAGTATCCCTATCTAATAGGTGTCAGGTGCTTCACCAAGTTCAAGGCAAGGGTAGGACATAGAACCTGGATCTTCTTAATTCAGTCATGCCCAAGTTATAGCTTGCATTTTCCATTGTTAGCAAAGGGACTTAGCTCAGCTATAATTTTAACAGATTTTTTGTATTTTCTGTGCTCTTAGGAAATACTTGGTTCACACAAATATGCTTCCCTAGTGAAGGTACACAGTTGGGGTGGCAGTCAGTTGGAATTAGGCTATTGGATATGGGCAGGCCCTCAGGTGAAGAAGGGTCTACCCTCACCATGACCTGGAGATGCGAAGAACTGAATCAGAGATTATCTACTTATAAAGTACGTACTCTGGCACTGAGTCACTCACAGACCCTCTGCCATGGCTAGAAAGCATCACCAGGGTTCTCTTCTTCTGACCCCTTTCATAGAACAACAGACTGTTCTGCTCCGGAGAGCCTTTAATTACTTCTAGCTTTATAGCATGAAGGACAAAAAAGGTACTATTTCCCATAAAAATCTATTCTTAAACCCTGTATAGAACATTCATTTAAAATGCATAATAATCATTTTGCCAGTTGCTGTGAAACTGCTGCACAACACAGAATAGCAAAAAGGCACAATCTTTGTTTCACAATGTTTAATGTTACAAACAAGTAGTTTTCTATAAGCCATGCAGATGTTTTACATTTTTATTAGCACAGAACCATTAAAAGAACTTGTCAGCCAATAAAAATGGGTTACGTATAGGTCGACAGGTGCACATTTCAGGAAGAAGTTACATGAATGCAGGGGATCAGAATGTATCTATAAAGGTGGATGGTCTTACAAAAATAACCGGAAAGTATTTGCAAAAACTATGTTTTCTCCCCTGTAACTGTTAACTATAAATCAGGAACACTAGAAACCTTTTTTTACAATTATGCCCAAACAATTCATGCTTTCTAACCCACAAGTAACACCCCCCCCCCAATCTTGCCTTTCCTCAATCGCTTACTCGCAACAGTCCTTTATTAAACAGAAGCGCTGCCTGTCTTGTTATCTTGACATTAGCAGCAGGTATAGTTCTTGAAGAAGGGAATAGAAGCTTAAATATAAACACTGTAGTTACAACAAAATTTTAAGTTTTTACAAATAATCCAAGATCTTGGCTTTTTTAAAAAAAAGGTTGCCTTAAGGTCTTTGCACCATTCCACATTGTGGAAATGCTGAGATATGCAGTCTGGATGTTACAGCTTAAAAATAGAGTTACAGTCATTGGCACAAATACAGCTATACCTATACAAAATGAAACCACCCCAACCCAGTATTCTTGAGCAGCACATCTGCTAGCTAGCACGCAGGTTCACATGTAAGTGGAGTCCAAGAAGAAGAAACCAAGGTTGAAGCACTAATGGAGTACTGAATGCAACAAGAGTTCCAAACTGCTTTATCAGACTCAAACTAATTTAAAAAATTGAGAAAGTACTCCAATAAAAGAACTGCATCAGTATTAGTTCTGTGAGGTCACTGCAACTGTACTCTGTATGCACCTATGAGCAGCTTTACCTGTAAGAGAAAGAAAAATCCCACTGATTATGCTTCATACAGTTGATGTGATCATGTTCAGTTTCTCAGTGAAATCAGTGTACGGTTTCTCAACAAAGCCTTGTTGGCTGTCTTCAGTGGAGATTAAGTTAGGGTTCCTCAGGGTTTCACAAGCATTGGCCTAGGCAATACAAATTCAAGGCAAGTGCCTGTCATGGTCACACATAGACGCCCGGGATCCAGTAGAAACCTAGCAGCATATTTTGAGCTTGAATGTTAATTGAGATCAGCGTCCTATCTGAATTTAATATTCTTAAGACTTGTTGTCTAACATTTATGAAACTCAGAGCTTTGGCACCACTATAATATCTCCTGAAGAAGATTCATTTTTGAAACATTGTTAAGTAATCCGGAGACGACGTGTATCATGTTATAGTGCTTTAGATTGCAATACATAAACAGCATTCTTTATAAGTCTTATGACTGTTTGATTGTGGGTCAGACTATAAGACTGTTGGCTTTATACTTGTTTAACACACATAGATGTAACATGTTTTACAAGTAGACCTTATAAATTTAATAAGAAGGATCTCTATCAAGAGAAATCCTCTCTCAAACCTCAGCACTTCCTGCCATTTGTCACCACAGAACACTGTATCAGGCCAGCCCGTAGAGCATTCCAAAGATTGAGTCTTTTTGAAGCATTGCAACCGAACATACTGCATGCTTGCATTACTCACCTTGGCAGTAGGAGCGTCTACCAAACGGATGAAGAGTTTGTTAGTGCCAGTAACAGGGCTGAAGGAGTAAATGAAGTGACTATCCTGAAATAGAGGGGGGGGGAAGAGTGTCCCAAATCCATCATCAAGCTCCTGGTCAGTCAGATATATACAAGCACTTTTCATACACTGTCTGAAGTATACTTTGCAGCAATATTTCTCAAGCCCTTTGAATGGGAGGAGAATATGATCCAAATAAGTTGCTTTGGCAATGAACCTCCAGATCCAGTGCCAACCACTTGTTTAACAGATAATGCAGACATCCTCATGTTCAGCTGCAACCACCCCGGAACTCTGCTTTTCCTCACCCCAGCCCTCCTCCATGGCTTTGTTTTCAGTCCCACTAATTCACCCACTAAACCAAGAGGCACATAGAATAAACATCAGATGGTTGAAAGCCATAAGACATGAACAAATATTACATGTTTTTATGGGGAAATATGCAAATTTGCATTTTATTAGCATTAAAAGAGGCTGCCAAAATAAAAAGGGTAAAAAGAGATATTGAGAATGATATTTATTTTTCCAATGACATTTATTTGTTTGCTAATGATATTTGTCTAAGAGAGAGAGAAAGAAAATAGATAGGGAGGGGGAAGGAAGGAAGAGAGAAGAAGAGAAAGAAAGGTGGAAAGAAAGCAAATGGACGGGGAGGGAGGGAGGAAGGTGGAAGAGAAAAAGAGAAAGAAAGAGCAAATAGATGGCAAGGGAGGGGGAGGGAGGACAGAAGGAAGGAAGGTAAAATGAAAGAGGGAGAGAAAGAGTAAGAGAAACAAACAAAGAAAGCAAATAGATGGGGAGGGAGGGAGAAAAGAAAGAAAGGTGGAAAGAAAGCAAATAGATGGGGAAGAAGGAAGGGGAAAAGAGGTGGAAAGAGAGCAAATAAATGGGTAGGGAGGGAGGAAAGGAGAGATGGAAAGAAAGCAACTTTCATTTTAAATATGCTCTCCAACCCCCCAATGCCAGCTGGCTTGGCTTGGAGAAGGAATTTAAAGAGACAAATGCTTTCTCCAAGATGGCGGGTCGGGCCGTGGGGTGGGGTCTTGGGAAACACCTTTAAATTTAAATCTGTTGTCCAAGTTCCCCACCCCCATTGCCGCACCAGCTTGGCTTGGAGAAGGGATTTAAATAGACAAATGCCTTCTCCGTGCCAAGCCAGCTGGCCAGTGTGGCAGTGCTTGGAGAACACGTTTAACTTTAGATGGGGAGGGAGGAGAGAGAGAGAGAGAGAAAGGTGGAAAGAGAGAAAAAAGTGGAAATAAAGCAAATAGATGGAGGAGGGAGAGAGAGAGGTAGAAAGAAAGCAACTGTAATTTTAAATGCGTCCTCCAGCCCCCCCCCCGTCCCCACACTGGCTAGCTTGGTTTGGAGAAGGGATTTAAAGAGACAAATGCTTTCTCCAAGCTGGCCAGTAGAGGGGGCTTTGAGAACGCATTTGAAGTTAAAGTTGCTTTGTTTCTTTACTCCCCTCCACACCAAGCCTATCCAAGGAGGGGAACACTGGCTGGGGAAGGGAAGACCGATCAGGGAGGCATGCCTCCTTTTCGCTTCCCCAGCGACTCTGCCAGGAGCCACACAATATGCATGGAAGAGCTGTATGTGGCTCTCGAGTCACAGTTCGGCCACCTCTGCACTAAACGTTGCACTGCACTGTATAGATCAACACACTACTGTTCTACTCACGGAATCCAGAACAGCAGCCACTCCATTTAACGCAGCATCTTGTTTCACACAGTGGCCAGCTAGATGCCTATAAGCTGCGTATAACAATCAACCCTTACCCCCCAGCACTGAAATGTAGAGGGTTATGACCTCCAACATACGTTCCATTTAGTCATCATGGCTAATAGCCCCTGGCAGGCATACCTTCCATATCTGGTTTAATTCCCTTTTAAAGTCATTTAAGTTAGTTCTATAATACACATATGTTGACAAGAACTCTGCACATTATTACAATATGGCCATCTTAAGGTGGAGAAGATGAAGACTCGTAATGTAAGTCTATGTAAGAGTAGGAATGGACTGGGGAATCCCTGTGGCTTCTGATGGGTAAAAACCAGTAGAGACAATGGTTGAGGCTCATAATGAAGTGGGTGCCAGTTTGGTGTAGTGGTTAAGTGCGCGGACTCGAATCTGGGAGAACCGGGTTTGATTCCCCACTCCTGCACTTGCACCTGCTGATGTGACCTTGGGTCAGTCACAAGCTCTGGCACAGCTGTCCTTGAAAAAGAGCAGTTTGTGTCAGAGTTCTCTCAGCCCCACCCACCTCACAGGGTGTCTGTTGTGGGGAGGGGAAGGGAAAGGAGTTTGTAAGCCGCTCTGAGACTCCAAGTGAAGGGCGGGGTATAATCCAATCTCCTCTTCTTCTTCTTAGCTACCCATACAAAGTGAGCCAAAGGCAAGGAAGGATTGACACAGATGTCAAGAATGGTTAGCATCACTCACTCACCTGGAAGATCCGTTGGGTGAGCTGCTCTGTCCAGGCAGAATGGCAGGGTCTGTTGGGCTTGGAGGGAGCAGAGATAAGGAGAAGGACATAACGGGAAAAAGCAGGTTGCTTACCAGTAACTGGTGATCTTCGAGTGGTCATCTGTGCATTCACACCCATGGGATCTAGTGTGCACGCGCTGGATCAATCGGTGCTGTAGCAAGCTCTTTTAACGGATTTTCGCACCCAGTCCGTCGGGCATGCGCAGGAACCTCACCGCGTATGCCCAGAGGGGTGGGCGCGGACATCCTGCCAGTTCCTTTAAACCGCCGCAAATCAACCCCTATTAAAAATGTAGAAGCTGACAGCAGCGGGGAAGGAGGGCGGGTGGTGTGAATGCACAGATGACCACTCGAAGATCACCAGTTACTAGTAAGCAACCTGCTTATCTTTGACGTGAGACTCTCCAAGGCAAAAAATGCAGAGGGTATGGCGGTTGGGAGGAGCAAGTTTGCTACCGCAACCCCTGCACCTATTAAAGAATCCCCACTTCTTCGCCATAAAAGAAAAAAAGATGAGGGAACATTTGGAGGGGGGGGGTAGCCTGAAGGCCTGAGGTAAACTCCCCTCAAAAAATTTTTGAAACTGTTTTTGAAGAAGAAACAAACAAAAAATAAAATAAAAGAAGTTTGGAAATAATTCCTAAGAGCTGTGAGGTGAGCTAACAGCGAACCGATCAGACTGATGAAGAAGAAGTCTACTCAACGCGGCGGTAAGAAAGGAACTGGCGAGATGTCCGCGCCCACCCCTCTGGGCATGCGCGGTGGGGTTCCTGTGCATGCCCGACAGACTGGGCACGAAAATCCGTTAAAAGAGCTTGCACTAGATCCCATGGGTGTGAAGCACAGAGACCACGTTGAAGATCCTGGCTTATCTAGTTATTGACCTGAAGGATAGGAAGTAAATGCTAACGCCCTCCAACAATAACTTGTAGGAAGTCCAGCCCAGGGTACCAAGAACATATTCCTAGCAGAGGAACTGCTTTATGCAGATCACTCCACAAAGTCACAGCACTTTTAGCCGCTTGAAGATATCTCTAGAATGATATCCTAGACTTAAGTAAATGAAGAAGAGTTTGGCTGCCTGCTGGGTCACACAAGCTGTTTGGTGAACTTGGTAAACTGTGTTTCAGCTTCAAAAAAATGACAATTCAGCCAACTAAACCTTGACCAACCTAGCAGGAACTCTTGCCTTCAATATCTGGAATGCTGATTTGATAACTGAAATAATTTAGGCAAGATTTGAGTGCTATGTAGTGCAGCTGATTTACCCAAATATATCTACAATATACCCAAACGCACATTTCCTGCCATATTAATAAGTCATAGGAAAAATATTTACTTGGCACTGAACCTCAAAGTCTAAACTCTCAGGGAGGCTGCAGTGCACACCTTGGGAAACACTTGAGTTACTCTAGGGATGATGAATCTCTTACAGAGATACCACTTCCATACAGGAAGCTGCATGCATTTCACGTATACCTAGGTAATAAATGCACACAGGTGTGTAACCATGGTGGGAATCCCAAAGGGGCAGAGTTTCCACAGCCTGCATTCAGGCAATCAGAATCATGCATTCCAATTAAATTATTTTGAATAATTCTAAAAACATTAACTAAAAGCATCTCATGTTGGGAAAAAGATACCACCATCCTTAAACCCCTGCAGCAGCTGCATTAGAGCTTCTCAGGTCAAAGCTAGCCCATAAAAAGTGGGTCCCAGAAGCTAAATTAGCAGTTAGTGGGCAGCATCCTACTACTCTGGGCACAGAACGCCTTGCTTTCCTGGACTCCTCTCTGGTTTTGCAATCCATTCTGATCCCTAGGAAGATCATTCCCAGGGCTGTGGGACCTGCAGGAACCAACAGCTGTGTGGGATGGTGGGGCCGAAGATCCAATTAAAACCATTAAAAAAAAAAACAGGTTACATTTTTGAAGTTATGATGTGAGACAAAGAACAGGAAGAATTTACCAAGAACACAGGCAGCTGGAATATGTCATTCAAAACCACCGCTTGTACACTGCATGGTCCACAGAGCCGGGCAACAACTTCTTTCCCAAAGAAGTTTGCGTGGAAAATGAATAAAAGAATTCCAGATCCTACGGGAAAGGAAACAGAACATTCTTAGAAAGCACAACAAAAACAATGAGTCAGTGAAACCTGACCTGATGGGGGAAATTCATAAAAGCTGCCTTAAGGCTGCAACTGTTTCAACAGCCTGAGCATCCTGAGACACAGCAACAGTGCCTGGTTTATAAAACCCTTCCACTGACTCACAGAATGCGAGCGCCACAGAGATGAGACAGCCACTACCTGCATTTCTCTTAGTGTAAATCAAGACTGTTTTAGAAGATTCACCTTGTTAGAAGTACTCTTGGAAAATAAAAGTGTCAAATTTAAGGATGCTTTCAAATACTGATTTCCCTGTTCTGAAAAGCAGTCACCCCTCCTAGATTTCTGGTTGGGTTCCCTCTAGCAGTGGTGCTAGGCATTAGCAAGAGAGCCTCTGGCATCTGTTGAAGGCTCCTTGAGCCAGAGGGGAGTACCCTCAGCACAACAGACCTGTGGGATCCCAGGTCTTTGACCCCAGTAATTACACTGTAATTTTTGGATATACTTCTCTGTTCCTACAACCCCATCTCCCAACAGCCCCAAGAACCATTTCAGTATTCCAGCCATCAACAGAATTTCAGGATCAATCTCACCACAGGGCACAGGTCTTCTCTCACTCTCAATGGACAACGTCAAAGACATTTACACAAGTTAAAACACTTGGATTTTCAAAGCAGTATTCAAAATACAACCTTCGGGCACATTCTGCGGGGGCTTATAGGTGAAATCCAAAGAATAATCTGGTCCTTCACAAAGCCGATGACACGCAATATCAAACACGGGTTCCATCAGACTCAGACGGGCTTCAAAGTATTCCCTGATTGTCTCTTCTGCTACTCGTGAGAGCCTAAAACAGAGAACAGAAAACTATCAACTTCTTGGGCAAACTGCTACTGTGCCGCCTGCAAGCTAATTTCTTATGCAAGCTAATTCTTATACAGAACTATAACTGACCTACTAAAAACAGAAAACCTCAACTTCTTGTCTAAACTAGCAGAGCTGAAACATGCAGGCACCTCAAATCCACGGATTTCTGCAGGGTATGTGAGAGTCTCTACATACTGCATACCCTTCACTGTTGCAAAAAAACTGTTCGGGGTGTTGGAGAAACATGGGCTGTTATCACTACCACCACCCGCCCCCATAAATCCGCCTCTGTCACAATGATGATTACACACAGGACATTTTTCTTGTGCAGTGCAGAACATCCCTTGCTGCAGAGAGGAGCATATAATGGAAGGGATTAGCTGAGTTGGTTCCCACAGCCAACAGAAAGAGCTCCCGAGATAGGGCACTGCCTTCTCCAAGTCCTGCTTGTTACCCACTCAAGGGCTTACCTCTTTGGAGCTATGTATGGCAGATTGTCCTTTTGTAACGAAGACCATGGGGAGGTGGGAACTGGGCTCTGACGATGCACGTCTCTAGAGTCCACCTCCTCCCCCTGTCTCAGCCCTTTCTGTGCAAAAGGAGCAGTCCTCCACCAGGAATGTCCTGAGGAGCCAGGGAAAACAGGAGTCCAAGGAAACTGTACTCCTCAGCCAATCATTCTTTCAACAGTTGAAGAATATCCCTTGTTATTAAAAACTATTAACTCCCGTTAGAATTTTACAGGTTGCTAAACACAACAATACTAAAAATCCAAACCTTCGTAATAACACTGAGGGATTTTACTAGTTCAGCTCTTAGTAAGGGGGCAGATATATTCTAAGGATTTTGTTCTCAACTATTTCTAGTTCAGCTGTATTACAGTAGCCCATCAAAAGCTATTGATGGATTTCTACTTTTAACATTTACTACAGCAGTCTGATCAGAGATTTTGGAGGAAATGCAGGATCAGTCTGTGTATATTCCACACTAATTTCAAAAGAAATCTTCAAATGACAAAGAAGGAAAGGTTCACTTCTCAACTGAAGAGGGAAAATGTATCCATCCAGGCAGTGTCCCTCGTGAGGGACTGACACCACCAGCACCTGAGCCTTTGTCCAAAATACTTTAGTTCACGGCAAAAATCTGCTACATTTATTCTAATTCCTGACCACATTCCACTAGAAACACTGCCTGAACTTGTACAGGAAATGAGTTCAAACAGTGGAGCCATCCCCCCAAAACCCCCCCCCCCAAAAAGCATCTGTTTAACTACAGTTTGGAGTTCTTCCCAAACAAGTACTTACGTAGCCAAGTGACTCCTTAGGAGTTCATAGACTAGCAAGTTATTACACTGCTTAGCAAAATGAAGGGCATTGCTCTGATGCTTTGATAAAATGTTGCAGTCTGCTCCACTTTCAATCATAAGACGGACAATATCATAATTTCCTCTCTTACAAGCCTACGTGCAAAAGTTAAGAAAGCAGATGGTAAATATACAAAGACATTCAGATATTCGTTGGATATCAACATACTGGAGTAGGAACTACCATGAAAACGAGTCCAAAGTGACTCTTGTGAGAAACTTAACCACTGTGGAGATGACAGTGGCCTGAGGAGCAACAACAGCCATCCCTCCATCACCCCTTCAGTCCCTAATGAAGACAGCCTGGGAAGTAGGCTAGCACGTGGAATTCACTGCCACAGAAGACGGTGGTGGCTACAAGCATGGATGGCTTCAAGAGGGAATTGGATAAGGAGCAGAGGTCTATCAGTGGCTATTAGCCACAAGGTATAGACAGGAACTCTTAGTCTGGGGTAAGTGATGCTCTGTATTCTTGGTGCTTGGGGGGGCAACAGTGGGAGGGCTTCTAGTGTCCTGGCCTCACTGGTGGACCTACTGAGGGCCCCTGGTATTTTTGGCCACTGTGTGACAGAGTGTTGGACTGGATGGGCCTTTGGCCTGATCCAACATTGGCTTCTCTTATGTTCTTATGTTCACTGGACACAGGAGGATGGTGCTCTATCTTTCCCATGCATGCCCTTGTCCTAGCAAAAAAAAAAAAAATTAGCCCTGTATTCTGTTCCGATGTTACTGAGTTGGAGGGAACGCAAACCTCCTCTGCCTTCTGGAAAGTGGATTCCTTGGGTTGTGGGAATACAGCCTTAAGAATTCACTTTCCAGGGATCAGAAGGGATTTAAAGAGGGCTCCAACCCAATGTTTTCCTTCACAGGAGTGCTCTGGAATGACCTCCACAGAAGAAGTCAAATGGATAATGTGATACTGGGATGTTTTTCTCACGTACTTTTCTAGAGCAGCAACTTCCAGCCACCCAACTCCTTAAGAGCAGATGACTCTGGCCAAGCTGTTCAGGGATTCATCTATCCCAAAAATGGAAGAGGAAAGAAATATGTGAGCCACTCTTGAGTCCTCGTTGGGTAGAAAGGCGGGGTATGAATGTATTTAATTAAAACCAGTACCAGGCTCAGAGGAAGCAAAAAGAGAAGTGCTTGTCTTCTCCTGGCCTGCTTCCTTGCTACCTTCCTTTCCTAGTCTGAGCCTGACAAAACAAAACAGCATTAACCTCATGGATCAACAGAAGCAAAGAAAAGGCCAAGTTCAGTTCTAATGTTAACAATGAGTTCATTCATACACACAATGCTTTACACAAAGCTATCTGTTATTCAACAACGTGATATGGGGTTTAGCAACAGATCCAAGGACTTCCAGCACTAGATTAGTTTGCATATGAGATAGTGATTCATGTAAAGGAGTTTTCAGAAGGAATGCTGTCTGAGCGGACATGCTCAGATTATCCGCAGTCCCTTGGGTTCACAAGTCACATAAGCAACAGAATGATGTATACCTTCATTAAAGCAGTTTCACCACTATTCTGCTGCAAATTCACACATGCCCCAGCTTCCAAAAGGATGGCAACTGTTGTTAGGTTGTTCTACAAGAAACACAAACAATGATGTTAAAATGCAAATGTTCTGAAGTGTACACAGAATATAAAAAGTCAGACAAACACAGAATTGTATCACAGTAACGTGCTACCTCAACCAATTCCTGGTACTCCTAGACTAATACTGCATTGCTACTCCTTGGTGTAACAAGATCTGCACTGAAATAAATCAGGTGCGTTCCACATCTTTAACTCCACATTCAAGCAAAGCAGCCTACTAATACTAATGAGTCTTTCATAATTAAAGTGCTACAAAGACAATGCTGAAAATAACAGGCTATCAACACTGGCGCTTTTTCTCAGAAAGATGTCAAAATCAGGCGCTCGTAAGCAGTGTTTCGGGTTCCATAGTCTCTGAATGTTCCACAAGGCATGAGAAATTCAGGTTATTATTTTGGTTCCCACAATGGAGAAATTCTGTTACAGCAAGTAGATCTGTGAAGACTGGAAAGCTTCACAATCCGAGCAGCTAACCAGATTGCCAGCTGCCACTTCATTTAACCACTTCTTCCAAGCAAGCTGGGAGAAAAAGTTCCGACAGAAGTTCTGGAGGAAGAAAAGAAAAGCAGGCAGAAAAGTAACCAACCTTTTCTGCTGCATGAATCAGTGCAGTAGTTCCAGTTTTCTGTTTGCAGTTCACTTTAGCTCCTTTCCGGATGAGAAGTCGAAGGATGTCATCGTGACCTCCTGCAGCAGCGAGCATCACAAGAGTCATTCCACTAGAGTCCTGCAACAGTGGTCCGTTAATGTTTGGTTTCCAAGGACAGAAATGTTCCTGTGTTACAACTATGATTGCTACGGCAACAGAAGAGGTACAACCTAGCTGCTGAGGGGTCAGTCATGAAGCCATATGGTCAGACTTGACTCTCTCTCTCTTTTTTTTTTTTTGAGGCAGTCATTGTGGTTAAGGAATTTTTCCATTCTTCAAGAAAATATTTAGTGTACAGCACGGAAGTGCTCATCCTATGTTGTTTATGACCCACTTTACCTAGAAGGTTCATACAGGCTAGCAACTCTTAACAATCCACACTGGTAGTGTGAATGACTGGCTCTGGAAAAAATACAGGCCAACCCAAGTTTGTACTCATAAGAACAAAAACGTAAGAGAAGCCAATGCTGGATCAGGTCAATGGCCCACCCAGTCCAACACTCCGTCACACAGTGGCCAAAAACACCACGTGCCATCAGGAGGTCCACCAGTGGGGCCAGGACACTAGAAGTCCTCCCATTGTTGCCCGCCCCCAAGTACCAAGAACACAGAGCATCACCTGCCCCAGACCCAGAGTTCTTATCTATACCTTGTGGCAAATAGCCACTGATGGACCTCTGCTCCATCAGCACAGATCAAGAGGAAAATTCCCATCTTCAGTCAATGAATAAACCACAATGTGGTTCAAAGATGTCATGGAGACAAGCAATCCATCGTGGAGCCAAGTAATGATAGAATCATAGAATCATAGAGTTGGAAGGGATCTCCAGGGTCATCTAGTCCAACCCCCTGCACAATGCAGGAAATTCACAAATACCTCCCCCTCCACACCCGCAGTGACTGCTGTTCCATGCCCAGATGACAAAAAACCTCCAGGATCTCTGGCCAAACTGGCCTGGAGAAAAATTGCTTCCTGACCCCAAAGTGGGAATCAGCATTTTCCTGGGTGTAGAAGAAGGGGCCACAAGAACTAACCACTGAGGCAACCCTGCCCTCCCTCTCGTGATCTGCCTAAGTTCATACGATCAACATTGTTGTCTTACAGAAATCTCATGGAGATAAGTAATGATCTCACTCCAAAGGGTTAAACAATTATTCTAGTTCACCTTGGCAGCACAGATCCAACGGCTATATTACATGCCACGTGCAATTCAACAGGATTGAAGAATGAAGTAGCCAGCATAGTTCCTTCCGCATTTGTACATTCTTTCATTTAATGAAACACTCAAATTACTAAATCCCTGCTGTATTTTTATTCAAAGAACACTACATTAATTTTCATACACAAAAAAATTGGTTACCTCCTGATCAAGGTTATATTCTTCGCTGGAATTAAGTGCTATCTTTACTGTAGCATAATGTCCATTTTTAACAGCATCACGCAGCTGAGCTAGAAGAGAGCAAGTTTGACAGAAATAAATCAGTTGCAAATGCAGAGGAATGAAACTGCTCCATCTCTGTAGCGTTTACTCACTGGAGGATACCGCTTCCACTTGCAAGTGGTTCTCATCTTCTCCATCAAGGTGCTTCTGAAAATCTTCTAGAGACAGCCACTCCAGTTGCATGTCCATCCCCAAACTCACAGCTTGAGACTTCCTGAAGGGGAAATTGGGGGGGGGGGGGGAGAAAGACTCTGATCAGTTTGGTCATCAATAAGTCACCCTCTTTTGCTGATGAGGGGAGTACTGTTCAGAGGGCTGATGCTCCTACCAGCTGCAAACCCACTACTGCTTCTCCCTCTGACACTCTCAGAAGATGCTCTGAAACAGCGCTGTGAAACACAGGGGTGCAGAAGTGCCTTTGGCTCATGCAGGAAGCCCTTGGAACCCCTGACCCACTCACTTCAAGACAGATGAAAAATAATAATTCACAGTGGCAACAGAGGCAAGGCCTTAACCTACATTCCTGCCTATTCATCTAGTTGACCTCCACAGCCTACCTGCCACTACAGCAGCACATCTGCTGTTTTCATCATACATTCAGCATTCCTTCCAAGGCCAAACACATGGAAAAGCTGCCCTGTGAGCTGGTTGGCTGGGGGCTTATGACATCATGAGCCCACCACAGTGGGAGCACTTCCTCAGCTTCAAAAAATGGAAGGTCAGGAAGATATTAAACTAGATAAACATTTTAGAACACTTAAAAAAATGAGAGGTGGCTAGTGAGTGAGAGGGGGTGCAGCTCAGAGAACTTAATCAGTTTTTGATTTGGTAAGAAATGCATCTGCCAAAAGCATTACAAAGGCAGGCAAAAGCCAGGGACATCCAGGGGGAAACTAAATGCACTGAGTGCGCTTTTTAGAACACTCTAAATCCAAAGGCATGGCCATGTTAGTCTGCTGAAGCCATAAATTATAGTCTTGTTACACTAACAAACTTTACTGTGGCCTAAGTCTCTCAAAAACATGCCATCATAATAATAATACATTTATTTATTTTAAGGTGCCACAGGACGTTGGGAACAGATCTTATGATCCATGAGCACAAGGGCACTTCCTGAAGTTAATCAGACCTGCCTTCACCTTCTCCTCCCACCCAATAAAAATGTGGGTGATTTCATCTGATTTCTCTTCTTCACTGTAGCCCCCACCCCTTGATAGCATTTTGACCATAAATCTCCTCTGAACCCCATTGTCTCCTTTCCGGGGGCAAAGACCCCATGGTCCACAACAACTAGCACTTTTTGGTGCAAATTCTCTGTTACTTTATATACCCCGAGTTATTATTTTATAAAACACTGTGTACATTATCTATGTTATATAAATAATAGGTTATGTAAAAAATCTGAGTTGGCTAAAAAACTGTTTGCTGTGAAATTATGCACACAATTATTTATCCATGTCGGGGGGAGGGGGATCTGGTTTAAAGGGTACCATTACTGTTATATAGCAAGTATTTCGTTTGGTAGACAACCACACAGCCCAACTAAAAGCATCAACTTTTAACTGCAAGTTCATCCACAAGCATTTTTGGAACTGAAGCAATGATCGCACAGCCTGATGGACTCTCTAGAATATTTGGCAGCATCACTTCAGTTGTGGGCTTCAGAAGCCCTCCCAGTTCAAGATTCAAAAAGGCTTCTGAGTGATTAGTCTCAGTCCTAGAGTTGTAGGGTGCAGGAAGGTTAACACATGCCATTCCTGAGAGAACTGGGTTGCAGGCCTGTAGAGTGCAATGTTATGGGTTTGGAGATGGAAAAAGCTAAAAAGAGTGGGTAGGGGGAAAAGTATGTTGTGCTGAATGCTTTGGTCTCAAGTACGTAGGAATTCTTAAAGGTGCCAGTCTTAAGTATTCTAAATCCCTAGCTGTGTCTAGCACTTACTCCCAGCAATGACATCAATGTATCTTGACATCAATGTATGATGTCATACTTCTTACCTGAACAATCCTCGACGGCATCACGGTCACCCTCTGCAGCTATGTAAGCCCAGGTATCTGTCTCATCTCTTGTGCTCCTACTTTCCTTATACCTATCTCTTGATTTCAGTTCCTCTGTAGATCGATAGTCCTGTACAGAGTCCTCTTTCTTTCGATTGTCCCCGTATTCGTTTTTTTCTTCCGAAGAGATGTTAAATGCATCAAATGCACTTTTGATCTCCTTGAAACCTAGAATAGACAGTTATTACAATTATTATGGCTTGCACAAAGCACAGTCCATAATAATTGCTGCATAAACATTTCTTGAACACCCACAATGGAATCTAGTTCTTTAAGGAGACAGCTACGTTGGAGGAGGAGGAGAGGAGGGGGGGGAGGAGGAGAAGAAGAAGAGATTTGATTTATTCCCCCCCCCCCTTCACTTGGAGTCTCAGAGTGGCTTACAAACTCCTTTCCCTTCCCCTCCCCACAACAGACACCCTGTGAGGTGAGTGGGGCTGAGAGACGAACAGCTGTGCCAGAGCTTGTAACTGACCCAAGGTCACATCAGCAGGTGCAAGTGGAGGAGTGGGGAATCAAACCCGGTTTTCCCAGATTAGAGTCCGCACACTTAACCACTACACCAAAGGTGGTCACAGGATCACTCCTAAAGAAGGCCTGCCCAGATTCAGATTTCCCTAAAATAATCCATTTATGGCACACTGCAGTTTATGGCCCATTTTGTTCAGCAGCTGAATGGTGTAAGTATTGCTATAAGATGAATATGAAGAAAGTAAAACACTGCCATATACCAAAACTAATATCCGCTAGGCTAGCACTTCCCTAAGATTTTAGCACTAAATACATTAGAACAAATCATACCTAATTTTAAACATGTTTGCAGTGTACACCGTATCTCCAGCAACAAACACTACATCCTGTATTACAGCAGCGGGAGGCAGATTAATGCTCTAGAAAGGCTATATAGTTCATGCAGGTACCTTAGGCGTTTCACTTACTTTTGAATCCCTTCTGTTCTTTTCTGCTCTTTTCTTCCTTTTCAGAATCATGTCTCTTTTGGAGTTTATCTTTCACTTCACTTTTTTTGGCTTCTTTCTCCTGGAAATGAAGCTAAATATAAAACCAGTATTCTTTTTCTGGCCTGACCTGGATAACCCAGGCTAACCCGATCAGAAGCTAAGCACGGTCAACTCTGGTCAGTATTTGGGTAGGAGACCACCAAGGAATACCAGGGTTACCACACAGAGGCAAGCAATGGAAAACCACTTCTGAATGCCTTAACAGGGTTGCCATTAGTCAGCTGTGACTTGATGACCCCACAATTCTCCTCCCCTTTTTTTGGGGGGGGGGTGAGTCAAGAACAACATTTTTGGGCACCGTATTTATTTTAGCACAAAATTGTGCTAAAAGCACTATTCTTAAATAGTTACAGTGGAACAAATCCCGAACTTTGGTACTGTTGTACTTATTCTTCAGTTACAGTTTGGATGCAAATTTGCAGATAGTCTAAGAACCAACAAAAATGTAGCCCACTTGTTCCAAACTGAAGCAGACAGCTAATGAAAGAACACATAACATGACTTCAAAGATTTAGACCAAGCTTCAAAGCTACTTTAAAATATACGCAAGGGTTTGGATCTGCCTGAGGAACACAGAAATGTCTGTGTTTCAACCTCCAGAAGGCAGTTGATTTATTTAAAATATTTATATCCCTCCTTTCTTTCTGCCAGATGGCTCAAGACAGATCACAAAATATGCCTGTAATGTTTTTTTTAAAATGTTGGAACATAACACTACTTAATTTTATAAAAATCTTGACTCACATACCAACCCTTATCTTTACATCCTCCCAAAGAACACTGCTTGAAGCTCAGCAAGCCAGAACCATGACTAAAAAAGGCTCATGTTCTAGATAAGATGGATCAAGCATTCCTAAAGGGTGGAATCACAAGCAAGAACTGGAAGAAGATAAGAAATGACATATCGAGAATGTGTCTCCAGTGCAGAATGTGAAAACCCAGGAAAAGAAACTGGGAATCTCCAGCTTAAAAAAAAAAAGTTTACTTATCTACTTCATTTACACCCTGTCCTCCTCCCCAATGGAAACCCAAAGCAGCTGACATTGCCCTTCTCTCCTCCATTTTTCCTTCCAACAATCCTGTGAGGTAGGTTAGGCTGAAAGTGTGTGACTATCCGAAGGTCACCCAGGAGGGGGGGGGGGGGGGGGGGGGATCTGAACCTAGGTCTCCCAGATGCTAGCCAGACACTCTTAACCACTACACCATGACAGAAACACAGACATTTTGGGGAACACTGAACAAAACTCCTGTGAATTACAAAGGCAGGCTAGGCAGGCAAACAATACATGGGGCACAGCAAGTCTATTAGCCACATACTGTAACACTGCTGTAAATATGGCTTCAATCCTGCCTAAAATTCCTGTGGACAGAAGGATTTCCGTCAGCAGAAGTGCAACTTCCATGTCTCTCCCCTCCCACTACAGCCCTAACTATCCCGAAATGCTGATTCTGGGAGACAGCAGACATCCGCCACCCTGCACTTACAGCTTGGGGAAAAGAGCTGAAGGCCTGCCTTAGGAGAGGGGAAATCAGTGAAAATCAGCTCCCCACACCAGTGGAAATTTTAGGTGAGCTCCAACCCAAAAGCTTTCAACCGGTAGTTATCTGTCATTGCCTAAACTCCTCATAGCATTGACCACATTTAGATTTTTCTGCAAATATTCAGACAAAGAAGCAGATTTATAATTAATTCACACACTCTCACCCTGCTTAGAATTTCAACTAACTCAAAATGCAAGGTTCTGAGGCAGTTCTTGCCCTCTTTTGTTTTCACAGTAATTTCTATGAGTTTCTTTTCCAACACAGTTGGATCAGTTTCCTTAACATGTGTATAAGAGAAGTAACACATGTGAGAAATCTAAAGAGTTACAAAAACAATTCCTATATTATTTGAAACAAAGCCTTCGGAAGGTGCTCACTGTGTTGAAGTACATTACCAGTTACTCTTTTACAAGACTGTCTAGAAAAATGCCAGAACACTGAAGTTCTTCATTTAATGAAACAACATGGATAAAGGAAGCTGCATTCTCAGAAGCAGCAACCAAGATTTTCAGCCATATGGTGGTTATAACCATTTAATACCATCAAAAAAATTAGGATGATGGCTGGAGACACAGGGTGAGGGGTGGTAGGTTTAACATGATTTGAAATCCCCCTGCCCCCAGCAATAGAAATATATGGTGGAAGGGGATACCCAGAAATGAAAACAACTATAGTTCAAGAACCTTAAAGCAACATCAAAGTTACCTTAGATAACATGCTTCTGTCCTTTGAGATGTCCTCTGCACTGAGATCATTTTTAGAGAGCCCCTTCTTGCTTCCTGCGTTCCCTCCTTTACTGCAGTCAGACTCCAGGACAAATTTTTCAAACAGATTCTGCCCTACAGAATGCCTCTCTTTCGTTTTCTCCTCATCAGCTCTCCAGTTGATACTTTTTTCTTTGCCATCCGAAATGGCAGACTTTTGCAGCAGCACATCCTTTCCATGGGTCTGGCCCAATTTTGCTTCTTTGTTTTTCTGCTTCACGTGATTGCTCACCTCCCCTACGGAGTCTGTAGATTTGCGCCCTCGCTCGTCAATGGACAGTTTTGAGCCTTTTTGCACTGGGGCAGGCATAAGAGGCCTCCTATTCTCTAACTCAGCAGCCAGTTTTGCTTTCTCTGGTGGCTTCTGCTTTTTGTGCATGCTTTTCTTCTCCAGGTGCTTGTCTTTGGTGTCCACTTTTCTACTCTCCTCATGTTCCTCAGCCCTTTTGTGCTTCTTCTTCTTTCTCTTCACCTTCACTTCAGCACTATCGTCTGTGCTTGTTGAACTGTCTAGCTGCTTTTCAACAGCTTGAACTCGCGGCACACTTTCCCATTCTGCCTGAACTTTCCCAGGATATATTTTATGCTTCTCCTCACTGCTGTCAGAGTCAAAATCCACAGTTTCATTATCAACACCTTGATAAAAAGAATAATCTGGCGTCCTGGGTTCAACATCTAACTGCAGCGCACTGGATTTATCCTTTTGAAAGTATTTATTTTCTTTAGACTCCTCTTTTTGTTTTTTCTTTATATCTTTATACTCTCCCTTCTTTTTACTGCTGTCTTTTGAATCGTCTCGCCTCTGTTTTTTGGAATCTTTTGCATCCTCTTTCGCCTCTGAAGTCCTTTTCTTTGGTTTTGAATCTGAAGCCAAACTGTCAGAGGAATTTTCACGTTCTAGCCCAGGCCTCTCTTTGCCTTTTACTGATTTGGATTTTTTCTTTCTTATCTCATCTTGGTTTTTGTCCTCCCTCTCTTTAGATTTTTTCTTTTTCTTCTTTGGAGACAGGTCTCCTTTTGCATCACTTTGCCAGTCACTGTCTGCTTCAGAATCTGCCTCAAATAAATCATCATTTAAAGGCAGCTTCTGGGAGGGGGGAGACAGAGAGAGAGAGAGAAGATGGCATTTATTTAAATCATCTAGCATTTAACACACCTCTAGTTCAGCTGAAGCCTGAAGAAACTGAAATGTCAACATTTTCAATCCAATGACATTATTATCAAGCTCGACCTTTGAAAGATCTCTATGATTGTCTCCTAAGGGGTCTGGCAATATCAAGCACAAGATGCACAAACAACAGAGTTTGTCCAACAACTACAGCAGAACAGAAATACGTAGTGAATTATCTGCAAAGACATACACTGCACTTTTCAGTAAAATAGATTGCCTCCTGGATCATCAGACTAAGTCAGAAGTCATCAAACCTATTACAACCAGAGTGCAGTTAAAAGGGTACCAGCAGTGACCACAGAAAAGAGACCTAAAAATTAGTTATTGAGAAAACATGAAGTTATCTTATACTAAGGTAGCCTGAGATATATTAGGGTTAGTGCTTTATACTGTGACTGGCAGTGGCACTCTACGGAATCAGCCTTTCACGTCCTCTGCTTCCCAGTCCCTTTAACTGTAGATGTCCCACGAGGGACTGAATCCCAGACCTTCCCCATGTAAAGCATGTGCTCTACCACTGAGCAACAGACCCATCCCAAAGTTCAGAGAGGATGATCAGAGATGAAACCAAATGTACCTGTATCTCTTTTTTAACAGGTTTAGGCTTAGTATCCACTATTTTCTTTCGGAATTCAAGGAGCACTTCTTTACAGTCTTCTAAATGAACCTCGGGTTCCCACGTATCATCATCGGATGTATATCCTTTCCATCGCACTTTGTATAGTATTTTGCCCTGTTAAGCACAGACAATGATATACGCATACAATAAGCGGGAATTTTTCATTAACAAAACAGCTCTTTATAGAATAATTATTAAATGTCTAATAGTAAAACTGGGTGGCTCATACCAATCACAAAAGCAAAACAAAAACACCCAACTACCCACATACATGATTCCATATATTTGGGGGACTCTCCAGGTATGTTGAAAAATACATTAATTGAAAGAAAAACATCCCAAATAGTACAGTGAGGACCAACTGTTCTCCAGGAGATTTGGAATGTCAAGAACTGATAAGAGTTGGTTAAAAAAAAAGAACAGAGGGATGGGAAATTGCTGCCTTGAGACTCAGAGAATCCCAGAGGGAGAAATTCCAGAATCATTTAGTCCACACACACACACACAATTCCTTATGGAGCTCCACCTTATAATACGGCAGCTGGAAAGCAAGGGTGAATGCAGGCATTTATTCACAGATCACAGCTGTGAGCAATGTTGGCACTGGACAGTGAAAAGCTTTTAGTAAATGGAGCAGGCAAGTTCTAAGCAGAACTGGAAGGTATTTGTGCTATCTAGTTTGTGCAGCCACAACACAGCAGTATGCATCTCTGGGTGCAGATAGCCAGCAGAAAGATATCTGGCTGCTATTTTCAACTACTGACTTTTACATCTCAGTGATGAGACTCTCCCACGTTCGTCTAAAAATGAGGGGGGAGAGAGGGATGTGATACTCTAACGACTAAGAATCCAGGGAACTGTAGTTTAGTAAAAGTGCTAAAACTTCTCTTAAAGGAATAGCTGTGTTAGTCCACTGTAGTGAAGCAAAACAGAAATCAAATGGCAGCTTTTAGATTCTCCAGTGTCTATGCTGGAATATACGTGGTTAGTTTTAAAGATGACACTTGATTTGTTTTACTTTGCTAAATTCTGTTAGGGAATTCCTATCACACTACCCCAGTATTGCAACTTCATGCCCAGTAAAGAGAGGAAAAAGAGACTGCAACAATGAAACACTGGGAAATGCAGAACTGGTTGAGCATTAACTATTTGAAATTTACATGCTTGCTGCCAGATAGAGGAAGAAAAATGAAATAATGAAACTAGAGTGTATAATGAATTCATTTAATGGTGGTGGGAAATCAGTGGACTGCACAATTGGACTGAAATAACTTTGCATCTGCAATAAAACATGATTTTAAGTGCATCATCTTTTTTCTTTCTTGTTCAATAAACCAGATCTTTTTATGGGGTAATAATGTTACAGCCATATATATGTACATATTATTTTTCTAACGAAAGCACTGTGTATAACACTGCAACAGTTTCACACTATGGCCAATTACGCATTTTAAAAAGAAGTCTTATAGATCCAAGGATTTCCTTCAATGCAGGAAGTACTGTTTTTCCATCAGATGACCAACTTAAGGTCAACAAGATAATTTCAGAGCTGTCATGTTGGTCTGTTGCAGCTAAAATTAAACAGGAGGCACTTGAATAAAAGTTCAGCATAAGCTTTTACAAGTCAGGGCTTACTTCATCAGATGCGTGAAGCATGAAGCACATAAACAGACGAACACTTCAGGCAGCACCTGACAGAATGGGAGATAAGGCCGCAAAGTTTATGCCCAAACAAATTTTGCTAGTTTTGAAGGGACCACCAGACTCCTGTTTAATCTTACTGGTACAGACAAGTGCTGCTACCCACTGGGACCCTGAAGAATGTGCTCCCAAGCACCCAAGTTATGGAATAAGTGGTACACATTACATCAGCTTAATTGGCTGCACAGGCAACCTTGGGGGCCTTCTACATTTTCTGGTTACTTCATACGCGGCAAGGTATCTGAGAGGTTTAGAAAGCTCTTCTAAGAAAAACAAACCCTCGCTTTCCCTCATCCAGCAGGAGCAAGACTGAGCGGTTGCCCCCCCCCGCTGCACCAGTAACCCCCCCCCTTCCCAGAGGGCAGGAGACCCCCCCCCCTTCCCAGAGGGCAGCAGAAATGCTCCACTCCTCCTCAGAGGGAAAGGAGCGTGCGCGGTCCGCTCTTTCCCCACAAGGCCCCCCCCCCTTCCAGCCCCACCCCTTCAGTCTTCACGTCCAGGATCTTCTCCACCTCGAAGACATCCTCCTCGTCCTCCTCACTGTCATCCCCTCCGCCTCCCCCGCCTCCCTTCTCACCGGCGGCCTCTGCCTTCTCCTTCGCCGTTGCCTCTGCAGCCTCATGCACGGCTGCCGCCATGTTAGGGCCAATATTTTTCCCCCCACCCCAAACGTCGGCAGCCTTAAAGCCGCTGCGACATTCGCTCCCCTCCCCCACTACACACACACCCCGGTCACAAAACCGAAGGGCTTAGTGGGTAGTTCGGTTAGCGGCGCAGACTCCCGGGGACCAATCAGCTCCCCGAGGGCTCGTGGCGTCAAGGTCAGCGATCACCAATCAGGACCGGCCTGGGAAGAAGCCGCCACTGGAGCAGGCTGCTTGAGAAACCAATCCGAGGGCAGCGGTTGGAAGAGGAGCTTGTTCGGGAAGCCTCGGGGCTGGGTCGGCTCTCGAAGGGGGCGGGGGCGCGGGTGTAGGGCGCTTACCGAGGTGGAAAAAAACTCTTGACTGCTGGGCAGGAATTAGAGGGTGGTTGCTTAAGGGCGGGTGAGCGGGTGACACCAGCGGTACCATCAGGTGTATTAGGATCCGCTCAGAAATCATAAAGGGAAAAGGTTTAGTTAAAACTCTTCCTTAAAAACGGGGGGGGGGAGGAATGCCCAGGGGAAGTGCTGAGCATGAATGCAGTAGCCGCAGTCTGCAGTGAAGCAGTGGGGGAACTACTCCTGCAGGTTTTTAGCTAGGGATACCAGCCTCTAGTGGGGCCTGGGGATCTCCTGGAATTATAGTTTATCTCCAGACTACAGAGATCAGTTCCCTTGGAGAAGATGGGTACTTTGGAAGGTAGACTCCACGGCACTGTGCCTCACTGAAGTCCCTGTTCTGCCTGGATTCACCCCAGCATTTCCTGGGATTTCCTACCCTGGAGCTGACAGCTGTATTAAATGTAGCTCAAGCCCAAACAGGTTTCCTCAGAATGTCAAATTATGCATCATGGTGGTTGTCCTGTCCAGCTGAGCTGCAGCTAAGGCAATGCTTTTCAGGTGTGAGTCAACCCACAACCACTGAAGAGAGCTTAAATCATCTTTAACTTCACATGCATTCAGTAGATAATTTACTCACAATCAAGCTAATAGCTGGGTAGAGAAGTTACATCTTTGTGATCTAGGTCAATTCTATGGCCATGGTGGGAAAGAGATGAGCTTCCCCTTTTCCTTCGCGGTAAGGATAGACAAAGAAGCAGGAAAAGAGCAATAAAAATATCTTTGCCCCTCTGAGCTCAGGAAATTACCCTAATGAGTCAGTCAGAGGGAAGCTGCTGGGACCCCTGAGAACTACAATTCCCAGGTGCAACTACTCTTAAAGACACACAGTAGTTTTACCAAACTACTACTGCCTACAGTTTAATGCTCACAGGGGGCAGCACACTCCCCGCCTGGAATCCTACGGGTTCCACTACCCACATGCATTGCTAATGAAGCCTGATAACTACAACTATGCATAATTGGCATGCTACACTGCTAACTATGTTCTAGACAGAATGAAGGCATGCAAAACTCGAGTCTTCAGTCTTCAAGTTCTTCTTTGGTGCAGAGCAGGACCACATCAGTGACTGACTGGCTTGGTGAAAGTCTTGGTCAGCCAGGGGCGGTCCTGTGGGCCATCACATGTGATGACATGGACTTCAGTCTTGCGGACCAGTCCATCCTTGCCAGGCAAGGCCCGATCTATGAGTCCTATGGGCCACGAGTTGTGGGTTGCATCTTTCTCCCTCAGCAGCATGACATCTCCTTCCTTCAGGTTAGGCTTGTCATTTTCCCATTTGCGTCATCTCTGTAAAGTTGGAAGATACTCTTGCTTCCAATGCTTCCAGAAGGTGTTCACAAGGAGTTGAACTTGCCTCCATTGTTGTTTGAACATGTCCTTTGCCACAAAGGTCCCTTGAGGTGCTGGCCATTCACCTGTCTTTTGTGTCAGCAAGGTTACCAGTGTCAGGATGGTTGGGTTCTCAGGATCTGAGGACACTGGAACCAGAGGTCTGGCGTTGATGATGGCAGAGACTTCCACTAGGAGAGTAGACAACGTCTCGTGCATGAGGGAAGGTGTTCCTGCCAGCATGGAATCTAGAATCCTACGTGCGATGCCTATCATGCGCTCCCACGCTCCTCCCATGTGTGAGGCGTGGGGAGGATTGAATATCCATGCACAATTCTGGGCTCTCAGATAGTCGCTAAGTGTGGGATCAAGGTCGGTGCTTCTGTGTATTCCAAGCTCCCTGCATGCTCCGACGAAGTTTGTGCCACAGTCTGACCTGAGTAGCTTTACAGGACTCACTCTGCATTCTACTGGTACATTTGTAAGTAAGGCAAATAGTATACAAACACTGTCAGTCCCCAGTGCTCTCTCTTCTGAGGAGAGCCAACCCATGTCGGCACAAGCCCCTGGACCTTTTGCTACTCAGAGAAGTGGGGGGTGCATAGCAATGTAAGAAATGCATAAATAATAAAAAAAGTCTTACCCATTGACTTGTTCATTCTCAGCCTGATAAGCCAAACTGTTCCCTCTAACTGAACACAGAGACGGTTACATCTACATTAAAGATTTAAACAGCTTTTAACGGTCATTCCCTTTCCCCAGAGGAAGGTAGGAAATGTAGTGCTATGAGGAGGGACGGGGAATCTCAAGAATAGAATGTTCATCATTATCTCCAATTTGCCGTTCTCAGTATTCTTTGTAGAGAGCCCTGGGTTATAAAATCAATATGTTTGTAATGTTGATATCCCCACACCATCAAAAGAGGTAATCAGTCATATACACCAGGGGAAGGAAGGGCAGCATGCTTCTATTTTCCATAACCCGTAAACCACTAACGAAAGATGCTGAGGCAGGGTGAGGCTAGATTCATACAGCATGGTACCAGATTGAAATCCCTAAAACATACATGCTCCAGCTTGTGGTAAAATGGTAGCTAAAACCCCCCAAAACAATACAGTGCTTGTCCTGATGAGATGAAAAATGCTGGAGCCACATTCAAAGCCACTGAAACAAACAAAGCAGTCTCCATGTTACTGTGTTCAAGCAGTCACTATACATGTATTGTGCCTTATTCTGCTTCTTGTGCTGTGCAGGCTGTTAGGGTAAATTTCTCTGCAGCCCAGAACATTCCCAGTATCCTTGCTGATCAGACTCTTGTTTCAGGGTGGTGGGAGGCACACTTGCCAAGGCAAGGATTAACAGCAAGCCTTGGAATAGTGTGTCCTTGTTGTGGTGCTAGCTTACCCTTTCCCATGACAATGCCCATGTGGACACGACTCTCCCCGCCGGTGACCCTGAGGTATGCTACTTCTGCTATCGCCTTGGTTGATGCGTCTGAGAAGATGTGCAGTTCTCTGCGGGAGGTGGCAGCTGGCGACATTGGAACATAAGTACGGGATAGATGTATGCCTTGTAGACTGCCAAGGGAGTCTCTCCATGCACATCTTCATGCACATCTCAACTGCACATCTTCTCAGACGCATCAACCAAGGCGATAGCAGCAGTAGCATACCTCAGGGTCACCAGCGGGGAGAGTCGTGTCCACATGGGCATTGTCATGGGAAAGGGTAAGCTTTTGCTTGATGATGACTGTGCACCATGCGATTACTGTTCTCCTGAGGGCCATACAGCTTGCTGGCCGAGGCTAACTCTGGAGAAAGAGAATCAGCCTGAGATGGATTAATATTTGATAACTTGGAACCTTGTCTTACTGTGTTAGCTAGTAACTGAACTTTTAGATTTCTTATTTCCCCTCACAGTCTTCTTGTCTTTTAAACTATTTTTCTGCACGTTAATAAAATAATTGTTTTACTTGTTGTGGTTTTTGCCTTCACTGACCTCAAATCTCATTCCAGCATCTTCACCCAGCAACCACCAACCAGGTAACTGTTTAGTGTTTCGAAACTCATTCTTCAGGCCCACCCTGCAGAGTTGACTTTCTTGTTAATTTCCCTGAAAGGGTGGGAAGGGCAGCCTCACACTAGGGTTTTGTAATTTTGTCTTCTTGTAGCCCTTCTACCCATAAGTCCTTGGGCTGGGTTGAGGACTTTTGACAGTACTGTCAGAGAGAATCTCTTAGGGTTGCCAACCTCCAGGCGGTTGAAAGGAAGCAAAACTGTGATGTATTATGCCTCTGCACTAAGAACTTTGGAACTGCTCCCACACCTTTCCCTAAAGCTATATGAATGCCCTGCTTACAAGTCAGCAATAACAACCCCTGGGAACTCAGCAACTATGGCTGGCAGCAGACGATCTCAGCCACAAGTGGCTGAGAGATGGCAAGCTAAATTAATGAACACGCCGAAGCATCAGCCCTTGACCTGAAGGAATTAGTGACAACATTTGCAAAAGGAAAAGGCATGGTAAATGAGATTTTGATGTGTCTGAAATAGAAACATTCAAGAGACTTAAATTTTAACATCAATACACAGGATTATTCAAAATGATTTTTGATTTTTGTGCTAAAACTTTTGTTTGCGAAAAAAATCAAAGATTGTTGTATTAAGTTTTGTGCTTTTCATTTTTCCTACAATGCATCTGTTTTTGAAAACCGGTTAGCAGTGGGGGGGGGGGCACAAGTAGTTAGCCTTGCCTAGGGCACAAGAAAGCCTGGCACCGCCGAATCTTTCATCAGGGAAAGTTGACAACTCAGGGACCCTCCCAGGCCTGCCTGAGCTTTCCCAAGTGATACATCACCCTAAAACTGTCATTCCCTCCCAAAGGCAAACCGATCTGACCGATGAGAAATAGGTCTATTCAACGTGGAGGTAGGAAAGGAACTGGCGGGATGTCCGTGCCCACCCCTCTGGGCATGTGTGGTGGGGCTCCTGCGCATGCCCGAGGGACTGGGCGCGAAAATCTGTTAAAAGAGCTTGCTACAGCACCGATAGATCCAGTGCGTGCACTGAATCCCATGGGTGTGAAGCACAGAGACAACATCAAAGATCTGCCATTCCCCCCCTTCTGCTTGGGCAGCAGGGGATCTTATCACCCCATCTAGCCATTAACTTGTACTATCTATTTCAGCCATCAGGACTGGGTTCCTGAACTGAATCAAAAAACTAACTGGAGCTCCTTTCGCAGAATCCCTGGCATTATATATAGCTGAAACACAAGAATGAAGTTAGATCTAGGTGGGTAGCCATGTTGGTCTGAAGCAACAGAATAAAGTTAGAGTCCAGTGGCACCTTTAAGACCGACAAAGTTTTATTCAAGGTATGAGCTTTCATGAGCATGCACAATACTCAGATACATTGAAATGGAAGTTAACAGTTTGTGTGTGTGTGTGTAGATGCCTCTACATAGGGTGAACAGCAAATTAGCATACAACTTAATGAAGATGTTTTGTCATATGCAAAGGCCAAACAGCAATAAGGAGCTAAGTTTATAAAGTTTGTTTGAATTTAATTGGGGGGGGGAACAGTGTAGCAATAATACTTTACAGTTAATTAGAAAGAACAATTTAGTTGAAGCAATATTAAGGGATTAAAGAAATCCAGTGAAACTGGTGGTAAGACTGGAATGCCCTTGGTCTTGATTGAGGAGGATAATATTCTGGGGGTCTTAGGTTTGAAGACTGTAAAAAAGATCAGCCGCCTTTTTCTTTGTCTAGGTATTAACTTTTTTTTTTTTGCTGGAGTCATAGGATGAGTAATACATCAAATTGACCAGAGAGCCCAGTAGAAGCCAGGCATATCTAGTTCAGTGCCTCACTCTTGACTCCTGTGAAAACCCCACTGGTGGGTGGCAAGATCCTGGAATACAACAAGAGTTCCTAATCACAGTAATACCTGTCCTCTCTTGAATTCCTAAGCTATGATTATGTCTGTCCTACGCTTAAAAGGGAAAAAAAGAAAGTAGATGCTTAAGGAATCTTGTATCTGAAGTCCTGGCAAATTTTAGTAAAATGTCGATACAACACCAACTGAACCAATGGTGTATTCTCCTAGTAGCGGGAGATCACACAGCCCAGTTTCCTGAAAGATCAAAATTTAATCTGAACACCAGAGGTGTGTAACACTGCAGGAAGCAGCTGCAATAATATACTTGTGGTTACCACAGAATGTCAAAGCTATGTGACAAGTGCACTGATAGTTAAGAAGAGCTTAATCCGTTAAGATAATTTTAACTATTAAATGATTGTAGTAAAAGAAAGGCACTACAGGATCTTTTCCCACTACTGACATCCCACTGTTGTTGTAGGGATGGGTTGTGAGGCAGAGGAAGTGGCTCTTTTATTTACTGTTGGCAAGGGGGCGGGCGGTTCCAGTTATTTCGATACCCAATAGCTTCTTAGTGGCAGAGTCCCAGTCTTTTCCAAGTTCAAGACGCTGGCAGATAGCAGGGAACTGTTGGTGAGTTCTTTTTGCCCATTCAACCGCTTTCTTCACTGCATCAAATGCCCTGTGAACAACAGTGGAAGCAGGAAAGATCTGAGTACAGTTATCTCGACCATCTTCAGAGATACAAAAAGGAAGAATAGATTCAGGTGGGTAGCCATGTTGGTCTGAAGTGCACACGAAAGCTTATACCCAGAATAAAACTTTGTTGGCCTTAGAGGTGCCACAGGACTAAAAAAAAAAAGAATAGTCACTGCATCTTTGTTTCAATGGACTTTACAGTAAGCGGTTGACAGATTGGCTGCTAAAGGTTTTTATAGTTTCTATGTGTTTAAATCTGAACCATTGTTTTAATTATTTTGTAAGCTGTTTTAACCATCTTTAAGTAGGGGAAAACAGGATAAATATTATTTTAAACCTGAGAACTCTCCCCCCCCTCCCCCAATTATCATGGCTTAATTAGGTCTATACAAGTTTTTGTGTAGATTCAGGTGGCAGCAATGCTGGTCTATTGCTGAAGCAATAGAACAAAGTTAAGAGTCCAGTGGCACCTTTAAGACCAACCAAGTTTTATTCAAGGTATAAGTTTCTTTAGATACATTGAAATGAAAGTTAACAGTTCACATATATAGGCAGATGCCTCTACGTAGATGAACAGCAAATTAGCATACAAGTTAATGAAGATATTCTGACATATGCAAAGGCCAAACAGCAATAACAAGCTAAGTATATATGGTCACCAGGTCACCATTTGTTTGGATTTAGTTGGGAGGGAAACAGGTGTTGTAATAAATAGGTCAAAATCGGAGACAGATGTGTAAGGTTATCTTTCTTAATTGTAAACAGTAATAAACCAAGACTTGGTTTGCTCTCCTCTCAAGCATGGGGTTAACTAACAGCATCCTTTTCTTAGAGGTGTTACATCAGAGAAATCTATTCCAATATATTGCATTGCATTACGATTACTATTCCAATATACTATTCCAAAAAAGAAATACATTAAAATACAGAGGTGAGAATGAGTTTAGCATATGTAATGAGATAAGAAACCAATATCCCTGTTAAGTCCTGGGGGGAGGTTGTTCTGAGTGTTGTAATAACTTGCAAATGTTGCTGAAGTTCCTTTGTAACTAAACAGCTACTTTGAGGTCACCCATTGAATGTCCTGGAAGGCTGAAGTGTTCAACAGATTTCTCGGTCTTGTGATTCCTTTGCATACGTCAAAATATCTTCATTAAGTTGTATGCTATGTAGAGGCATCTGCCTATATACATGAACTGTTCACTTCCATTTCAATGTATTTGAGGAAGTGTTTGTGCACGAAAGCTCATATCTCGAATAAAACTTTGTTTGCCTTAAAAATGCTACTGGACTCTAACTTTGGTTTTGTGTACATCTGTGGCAAGTGGCAGACAGATGAATGTTTTTAATCACAGCCAACTAAGCTTTTTCTTTTGCTCAGCATCCACGATGACAACTCTGGGGATCCTGGAAAGCTTGTTCACTCATCTGTGACACTGTGGTTGATCTTAACAAATATGACTGGTTTTTCTTTGTTTTTGTTTTGAAGGTGCAACATAGCCACCTACAAACTTTAGTAAAATTAAACAAAAGTCCAGTGGCACCCCATTGTCTGAGGAAGAGAGCTGTGACTCACAGAAGCTTGTACTGAAATAAATGTTGTAAGTCTTTAAGGTGTTACTGGACTTTTGTTTTGCTATAACAGACTAACATGGCTACTACTTTAAAATTTTAGACCACACAAGTGGGGACTAGAGATACTTGCAGGGGATCCCTTCCCCCCCTTATCATTCTTCCACACTGGGCTGCTGCAGCGTTTTAAACCTCCCCCCGCTGCTGCTGACCCTGGGCCCAGGAAGCATTTAAACCTTTGCTGCTGGGCCCATTGTGGCATCCTTCCCCCGACCCCAAACACACCATTGCTGCTGCTGCTGTTGCTGCTGTTCCTGGGCCCAGTGAGGCCCCAGCCTGTACTACTGTGCCCCATCAATTGCCGCCCCTGCAGATCCCAGGGCTAGCAAGGCTCCCAGCCTCTGTTGCTGTGGCTCGCTGCCGCCTCTGGGCCTCGCCAGGCTCCCAGAAGCCATTGGTGAAGAGGTGGGAAGTTTTTATGTTATCTGCGCACGGGCAGACAACACTTTTGTTTTGAGGGGCAATCACACCTGCTAAATGTAATTTTTAAAGTATTTCATATTTTTCTGCAAACCTGGGGGGGGGGGAATGCTCCAAGTTGGCAGAAGTATCTGTTTTCTTTCTTTGTTGTCCCAATCTGTGGGTTTAGATATCTGCAGATGGGAGCCACATGTGGCTATTAGATACTGGGAACTTCCCTCTTGCAAACCTCACTGGAACAAAGAAGGCTCCCTGATAGCACATTACATGCTCTTTCCCAAGTCCCGGTTGTTTTAATGTCATCGTGCAGAAATTGCTAGTGGATTATGGGACTATACAGTGTTTATCAAAGAATTAGAGCAAACTGCAATTTGGGAAATACAAGAAAAAGCTAGCTTTAGAGGACCTTAAAGCACAGGGAGGGAAGTAAAGGAATATCAACCAAGCTGCAACCTGAACCAAAGACCTGTCTATAAATGTTAGAACTTGCAACAGCAATTTGAATAACAAGCAAAATCTAAGCTTAATACTTTGGAAGGAACTGAAATCACAGTCTAATGGAATACTGTGTCCCTAAAGGTAAAGGTAAAGGTTCCCTTGCTCGAAAGCCAGTCGAATCCGACTCTAGGGTTGCGGTGCTCATCTCCGTTTCAAAGCCGAAGAACCAGCGCTGTCCGAAGACGTTTCCGTAGTCATGTGGCCGGCATGACTAAACACCAAGGCGCACGGAACGCTGTTCCCTTCCCACCGAAGTGGTCCCTATTTATCTACTTGCAATTTCTTGCTTTCGAACTGCTAGGTTGGCAGGAGCTGGCACTAGAGACAGGAGCTCACCCTGTCTTGCGGCACCCGGGGCTTGAACCGCTGAACGACTGACCTTCCACAGCCTGCAGTTCAGCGTCTTAACCACTTGAGCCACCGCAGCTCAGGTCAAAATCTAGTAGTTACTACCCACCTTTCTCTTCAGTCATTACCTACTTCATCCACATGCAGTGCTGTAGCTAATCAGTGAGCTGGGAGCAACTGATATATATATTTTCCCCTGCACATAAATAAATGGCCTCAAACATTAACTCTGCTTGCCAAACATACCTTGATGGGGGAGAGTCATTCAATTTCATTAGAGATTTGAAAGTGATGCCTTCCAGTTGCCTGAGTCGTACAACCTGCAGTACCAGAAGTGTTGCAATCAACTGCAACAGCTTCTCTTTCCCCTTGAGACCTAAATAAATTGAAGCAAACATTGAAAAGAACCACCATTTTTTCACATTAAACAGCTCTTTACTAATGGTACAGGGAGTATTATTGCTCTGCTATCATATATGCTGTGGAAGGACATCAGCAGTATATGAAGTCCTGTTAAATACCAGCACTATTCTGTCTTGCATGCTAGGACCTTTGATCATGGAAAGCAGGGCTATTTCTGGGCAGGAACGCACAGGAACGGAGTTCCGGCTGGCTCCTGAGTCGGCCACACCCAGCAGGAACTCATTAGCATAATAGGCCACACCCAACAGCAGAAACTCATTAGGATTGGCTACAGTAGGCATGTGCGGCCTAACATGCAAAGGAGTCCCTGCTACAAAAAAAGGCCCTGGGTTTTGACAACAAACAAGGTAAACAGAATAAGAAGCAAAAGGTGGGTGTGGCTGGATGACCACACTTCTGGTAACATGTGGGTGCGGCCTAATATGCTAATGAGCTGTGGTGTCAGGGTGTGGCCTAATATGCTAATGAGTTTCAGCTGTTGGGTGTGGCCTATTATGCTAATTAGTTCCTGATGGAAAGTATTTACTATCAGTGCTAACCCCCCCTCATTATATTGGCATTAGAATTATAGAAGTATTGTTGACAGAAATCAATGTTTGATTCTTATTAAGTATGTGAAGCGAAGATACTGAGGCTTGAGACTGCTATCGCCAAAATTTCAAAACTGTTCTCAGGTTTAGACAGAATATTATACTCCAGTGCATCTTTCTTATGGAACACTGTGGTCTTTAACATTCTGGAAGCAGGCATCCAGCATAAGGGTGGATGTGATGAAAAGGGTACACCAGGGAATCCTGAACATATGTAAGAAACAGAAGATGCTATTACTTCTTAATGCATCAAAACAACCAGCAGGTTCTGGGAGGAGCTTTATTTTTCCTTTTTTAATGCTTTCAATTGTAGAAACTGAAGTCAGGAAATATATATTTTTAAATGAGCAATTTCTATGACTACATAAAGGAAGCCAGTGACTCACATGTATGTGTAATCCGCTTTGAGTCTCAATGAGAAAGGCAGACTATAAATAAGGCAAATAGAAAATACATAGGAACTAATCAAGGGCTCATTCAGGAATGCTATTAACAAAAGGAAATTACTGCTTTAAAAGAAAGGGGCAAGAGGGTAAATCAAAGAAACAGTAGCCCTGGATGCCTCACTGGTACTTTGCTAGTGCACTAAACTCAAGTTGGTACTACAATTCTGTTTTAAGCACACACACACACACAAAGACACAAATCAGGTCTGGAAAAAGATGGGAAGACAACACAGAAAACATCAAAATTTAACAAAGTTGTCTGGATTCTTTGCAGAAACTAAGAGAACAAATGAGGTCCATTCCAGACTGAACAGGTAGCATGGAAGCATTTGAAATATAATAGAAAAACCTGTGATCACTCCGCTTTTAAATACTAGATATCCTGAAGTAAAAGTAGCTTTATAAATGAACGAATAAATGGATTTACCAAGAGACTGAATTCCCCTTTTTGTTAGTGAGACGTTGACTAAATCATTCACATCCAGATCCAAAAGAGTCCCAAGTTCAGGTGTGAGCTGCCAGTAACCATCCTGCAGGAGAAGGAAAGAAAGAATAAAACAGCATCCTAAAAAAGAAAGCAGGTGGAACAAATAATTTTGTACAGACATTTAAATTGAATATGATATTCAGTTGGTTAAATAATTTTTAAAAATGCTGATGGAATCTCAGTTATTTTAAAATATATTTCATTTTTAAAATATATTTCATTATTTAAAGGAAAACATTAACGGGACAACCCTCAAAGTCAGCTGCAGGGAAGCCTGCTGTTATCATACTAGCATGTGACCCGGGAAGAGGACCCCAGGAGTTCCATTTTAGTTTCTTCTCTATCACCTCCAGAAATTATTTTAAACCTGAACAACAAAAGTGACAAGAAAGCCCTTGTATTCTTTGATGGGAACAGACAGCCCCTCTCTGTAATCAACGCCCCTGCTTAGACTGTAGGAATGGAATTACAAACTGCCCTGATGATGGATGGATCCAATTCACCTTAAGGGGGGGGGGTGTTCCTGGAATGGATCGCTCCTCCTTTTCCTTTGGGGGGGGATGCAATTCACTGCGACAGCTGCAGAAATTGTCCTTCCCCAAGCTTTTCCACAAAAGGAGCAACAGCTTCTGCCAAAAGTGAGCTGTAGCAATTTCTGCCTATTTCCTGGTCTTGGTACTCCCCCCCCTCCACATGCATCAGTCTGGTACTCCAGCCCTCAGGCACAGGAGGTTGTGGGGGAAATAATCCACTCTGTGCACCTGGCCTATAGGTTCTAGGAGCTAACTGATTGTACGGTTGATCTGGGACCATAAACTGGGAATTTTGGTCTGCTAATTTTACTTTTCCTATTATTCTAAGAAAAAAATCATGAATATTTCATTGCAATTATAACAAAAGAAGGGATCCAAATCAACATGAATGCATGCTTTGCTCACACATGCGGGGCTCCTAAGCCCCTCCCCTCAGGCAGCAGCAGCAGCAGCCTTCCATAGCTCCCAAAGCCTGCTCTGAAGGTTGGGGCATTCTCAGCCTGACCCCCTCCCCCCCATAAGGCACAAGGGTCACTGAAAGGCAAGATGACTCCCTTCCCCCTTCCATGACAAGAAACACTTTCTGTAAGTGCCCAAGTGGGAGGATGTTTGGTTCTCACTCTGACATGTACTAACTTGTTCATTAATGATTTGGAGTTGGGAGTAAGCAGTGAAGTGGCTAAATTTGCGGATGACACGAAGTTGTTCAGGGTGGTGAAAACCAGTGAGGATTGTGAGGCACTCCAAAGGGATCTGTCAAAGATGGGCGAGTAGGCGTCAACATGGCAAATGGGGTTCAATGTGGCCAAGTGCAAGGTGATGCACATTGGAGCCAAAAATCCTAAATATAAATACACGTTGATGGGGTCTGAACTGGCAGAAACTGATCAAGAGAGAGATCTTGGAGTTGTAGTAGATAACTCACTGAAAATGTCGAGACAGTGTGTGACTGCAATAAAGAAGGCCAATGCTATGCTGGGGATTATTAGGAAGGGTATTGTAAACAGATCAGCCAATATCATAATGCCGCTATATAAATCAATGGTGCGACCTTATCTGGATTACTGTGTGCAATTCTGGTCACCACACCTTAAAAAGGATATTATAGCTTTGGAAAAAGTGCAGAAACGGGCAACTCGAATGATAAAAGGGTTGGAACACTTTCCCTAAGAGGAAAGGTTAAGGCGCTTAGGGCTCTTTAGCTTGGAGAAACGACGACTGAGAGGTGACATGATTGAGGTTTATAAGATTATGCATGGGAAAGAGCAGGTAGAGAAAGAGGTACTTTTCTCCCTCTCTCACAAAGTGGGCACTCCATGAAATTGCTGAGCGGTCGGGTTAGAACGGATAAAAGAAAGTACTTCTTCACCCAAAGAGTGATTAACACTTGGAATTCACTGCCACAGGAAGTGGTGGCGGCTACAAGCATGGACGGCTTCAAAAGGGAATTAGATAAGCATATGGAGCAGAGGTCCATCAGTGGCTATTAGCCACAAGGTATAGATAGGGACTCTGGGGCAAGTGATGCTCTGTCATCTTGGTGCTTTGGGGGGTCAACAGTGGAATGGCTTCTAATGTCCTGGCCCCACTGGTGGACCTCCTGATGGCACTGGTATTTCTGGCCACTGTGTGATACAGAGTGTTGGACTGGATGGGCCTTTGGCCTGATCCAACATTGGCATCTCTTATGTTCTTATGTTCTTAATATACCTATAAGCAGAGGGGATCCAAGCTAGCTTACAGCATCCTCCATTTCAACCTCACAAGAACTACCCTGTAAGGTGGGATAGGCTGAAAGGGAGTGACTGGCCCAAGGTAACGCAGCATGTTTCCATGGCAAATCAAGGATTTGAGCCTAGGTCTCCTAGCTCCTAGGCCAACACTCTAATCTCTAAACCATGCTAGCTAACTTTATTATACGTTTTTCTACCAAAAATAAAAAGGCTGCTATTTGACAAGTCCTTTCCTCCCTTCAGCAGCAGAGCAACTGTGTCAGTCCTTCTTTGGTTCCTGTGGTCAGGAAGTGAAACCATCTTTGCTTTTCCTTGCAACAGCTGTTGAAACAGGATCCTATACCTGATTCTGCAGCTCAGAGAGCTGAGGCCAGAATACAGCACTCAGTGTTTTTTGTACAGCGGGCATTCTGCAGACTTTCTTCTTAGATCTCCTCTTCTTCTCAATGAAATTCTTTAGGGAGAGAGAGGACAGTTAGATTCAAGTCCAGTAGCACTTGAGAGACCAACAAGAGTTTCAGGATACAAGCTTTCAAGAGTCAGATCTCCCTTCATCAGACAAGGAGGAGGAGGAGGAGTTGGTTTCCCCCCCTCTACTTTAAGAAGTCTCCAAGCAGCTTACAATCGCCTTCCCTTCCTCCCCCCCCCCAAACAGGCACCTTGTGAGGCAGGTGGGGCTGAGAGAGTTCTGTGAGAACTGTGACTGGCCCAAAGGCACCCAGTAGGCCTCATGTGGAGCAGTGGGGAATCAAATCCGGCTCTCCAGGTTAGAGTCTGCCGCTCTTAGCCACTATGCCATGCTGGCTCTCACAAGCAGAGTAGCGTAAAAGAGAGATAAGTTAGAGAAAACTATCTCCAGATCTAGTCCTTTCGATGGGCAGCAGCAGCACTTTTCTAAGTGCCCCAACCCCAGGGCAGTACTGAGGCCAGAGAAGGAGAAACCACACAGCAGCCCACTTGAAGAGAAAAGGGCTCTTCTTGGGCCAACGGAGGGAAGAGGAATCCCACCATCAGCCACTGCTCTGGCACTCAGAACTCATAAGATGGATCCTGCCACCTTTAGTCACTAGCAAGTGCCCACCCATTATAATCCTAGCAAAAATCATGCAACACCCCCCCCCCCCGCTTTTTACAAAGAATAATGATAATAACGGGACACAAAGACAGCAGGCTTCTAGATAAACTTGGGGGGGGATCAAAACTGGCCATCCATAAATTAGAGATCTAGTTGTCAAACAGCATGCAAAGCAGGGAGGAGTCATGACAAACCTGTAGAGTCTCCTCTGGTTGTTTTCCAAACAGTGCTATGCTTTTCGGTTCTGCAGATGCCTTTCCTAGAGAAGGGGGACTGGGCAGACGAGCAGGAGGTTTCTTCCCCTTTAGACGGAGAAGTGGCCACTGGTCTTCTGGCAAAGGCATAGCACGTCGAGCTGCCATGGGTGCCCCTGACCCAGGCTCAAATTGGACAACTGGCGGAGCAGCCGGAGGTGCCGCATTAAAATTTACGAAGGGATTGAAAGGCAATAGTTGCGGGCCAGACGGTGAGGAGAGCTGATCTTGCACAGGCACGGGAGGTCTGACTTTTGCCTTTATCCTTGACATAAAGCAGCTGGGGGCTGAACTTCCCGCAGCAGGAACCGGAACTTCTGTGGAAGGTGGTGCTGATAAAAATGGCGGTGCCGAAAATAATGTTCCTCTGGACTCGGGAGGACCACTCTGCAGAACCATCCCCTGTCCAGGGAGGCCTTTCAAAGTGGGTGTAAGAGCAGAACCAAAGCCTGTGGTAGTTGCTGGCAATGGACTCTGGTTGCTAGTCAACAATAGGCTGCGACCCTGAGACAGTGCAGGATGTCCACCTCCGAAATATATGCCCTGCACAGGGAAGTCAGGAGGTTTTGACACAGCACTGGAACCAAAAACAGCATCCGAACGGGTTGGGATAGCTGATGGTGATGAAAATGGCTGGCCAGATGATAATGAGGAAGAAAAATGACTATCTGCTTCCAAGGCTAGAGGAGCAGCAAAAAGAGAGGACAAGTCTGCATATGGCTCCTGGTGGTCCAAAGTCAGCCTTCCGGCTTTTAAAAATTTCTGCCCAAGGAGTTGAGATGAAGAGTCCCCCTCGAGACCACTGACAGAATAATCCAATGCCTGAGGAGCAAGAATTGAGTGCTGAGACCCAGTCTGGGTTCACAAATCCTGTTTACTGTGTTACAACAGTCACAAAAGTGGAAAGGTTAGCTGGAACCCCCCCAGACTCGTGAATTATGCCTCCAATGGGCCTGTACACCTGGTGAGAAAGTTCACCAGAATTTCCCAGGCTTGTGGGAAACAACAGGAGAAACGTCTGTACAGGATTGCTTGGGAAAGCACATAAATTAGAGGCAATAATATGCCACACGATTTTTACTTTTTTTTTTTTTAAAACAGCATTCTGTTCAGATCTTGTTAACTTTATAATACTTCCTGCAGAGCCAAACATCACTCACAGGGCAGCCTCGGTTGCCAAACCAATTGCCTTGCGGAGCTGGAAATCCCGCCTTCCTCCCTCTGTGGATGATTGGGCCAGTGATATGTGAAGGAGCGAATCACATTCAAGAGATGAGAAGTGCCTGAGACCGCTGGATCCATATTACTACCTCTCACCTCCCCTCTTTTTCATCTTAATTTCTATCCTTAGCTGCCTGAGTGTATGCAGCTCCACTTTATTCTTTTGCTGACCGGCTATGTTGGGGATGGGGTTGTCATCCTCCAGGTACAGCCCAGAGACCTCCAGGAATTTCTACTTGTCTCCAGATTACAGAGGCCTGCTCCCCTGGAGAAAACGGCAGCTGTACAGAGTGACATTCTACCCCACTGAGGTCTCTCCCCTCACCAAACCTCTCCCTTCCCAAGCTCCACCCACAAATCTCCAGGAATTTCCCAACTCTAGACTTGGGGGAAGAGGAGGGAGAGGGGCAGGGGGTTACAGTGAGTTTGTTGTTATATTTACTACCTTTTGTGGGGGGGGGAAACGATAAAACATTTCAATAGGGGGGGGGGAAGACATCCTGTGGAGAATCTGCCCTTGCCAACAGCCGTGCCCCCCTGTGCAGGGAAAGAGAGATGCCTGGCTGTCTGGATCCCCTGTCCAACCCGGCTCCCCTTTCTCTGCACCCCCAAATCTGTTCTAATGCTAGAGCTGCCAAAATCACGGACGGTATCAAAGGAATTCCCCACCTGAGTGAGCAGTCCAATCTCAGGCTTCTTCCTTCTGCTGCCTTCAGTGCTTCTTCTGGGTGCTTCCCTGCTTCTCTCTCCTTCGCCATCCTCAACGGGCAAATTAACCCATGCATTCTGCTGATGGGGTGGAGGTGGGGGTGGAAATCCCTCCTATAAAAGCAGAATTCTTGCTCCCATCTCACAAATACTAGGGCTGTATTGGAGTGCAATTACAGACACTGTTTATGGAAGGTGAAAGGTCTCTCTTACCTGTCGGTCAACACTGACGGGAGAAAGATTTTGTCCCGAAAGTACAGATGAACTCATTTCTCCAAAGCAGAAGTCATATTCCTCTAGACATGCTAGACTATTTACCTGAAGAAAGAAGCCCACCATAGAATCATGGAGTGTTAGAGTTGGAAGGGACCTTGCAGGTCATCTAGTCCAACCCCCTGCACTCTGCAGGAGTATACTGAAAGATAGCCCTACATACCTACAACATACCCGAATGATGGTCGTCCAGCCTCCGCTTGAAAACGTCCAGTGAAGGAGCATCCACCACCTCCCAAGGCAGACTATTCCACTGCTCAACCACTCTTACAGTTAGGAAGTTTCTCCTGATATTTAGCCGGTAACGACTCCCTTGTAATTTCCACCCATTAGATCTAGTCTTGCAATCCGGAGCAAGAGAGAATAGATCCGCTACATCTTCTAATTGACAGCCCTTCAAATACTTGAAGACTGCAATCATGTCCCCTCTAAGCCTTCTCTTTCCCAGGCTAAACATACCCAACTCTTTCAGCCTTTCCTCATAAGACTTGGATTCCAACCCTCTCACCATCCTGGTTGCCCTCTTCTGGACACACTCGAGCTTGTCAACATCCTTCCTAAAATGTGGTGCCCAAAACTGGACACAGTACTCCAGGTGAGGCCTGACCATAGCAGAATAGAGCGGAACTACCACCTCCCTTGATCTGGACTCCACAGCTGTGTGAGCTGCAACACAGAAGGGTTTATTACTTATAGATTTATTTCTTTAGAAAATTTCTATGCCCCCTCTCCAGGGCACCAGCAGGAGTCAGCTTACAAAATAAAACACTACATAAAAACATAAAACACCAGCATTAGAAACCCAGCCAGATCAACTATAATAATAAAAGAATGGGCGCGTTTGCTTGTCTGTCTGTGGCTGGCATTACTCATCAGAAAACGAAGCTAATAGTCTCAAAATCAACCAACAGTTTCAGTGTAATGGTGGGAGTTCCAGTACCAAAAATGAAGGGAACTGGAATAGAATAACTCCAGATGATCTCTCAGTTACTTGGCACAAAAGTGACAGTTCACTCGCCTAGAAGCCAGAAAAGTGGAGGCAACATGGGCAGGGAGGGTAGAGAATACCCCCTCCTTTACTTAACAACGTTGCTGAGATGTGCTTTGAAACCCACTCCTTTCTCTGTGACTCCATGTCCTTAATCAATGGCTGTGCTGGTAACCACTGGAAGTCTCTGGGGCATCTGTTCTTAAGAGTTCTGCAAAGATTGAAGTCTTCCTGAAAGCTGAAGCGAGGCCTCAACCACAGGTGCACAGACCGAGAAGTGGGCTGTTTGAATGGTTTGCAAAGGATATCAAAATGAAATGCCTAAGGTGTACACATTTTCCTACAGCTGCAATTGTGGTTAAATATGTCAATTGCTGACCAACCGACTTGTCATATCGGTAGAAGAGGCTAAACGTTTGCACGAGTATACACTCATAGTATAAGATGAGTGCACAAGGCTCTGTTAAAAGCTTTGGACCACACACTGCCGGAATTGCGAAAAAATAACTTCACTATGGGCAGAGTCGCTGTCGTATTAGCTGGCGACTTCCAACAAATACTTCCTGTTATTCCATCAGGAACGAAAGCTGATGAGCTACAGGCTTGCATCAAATCATCATACATTTGTTTGGTGGGAAATGCTGTCAAGTCGCAGCTGACTTATGGCGACCCTGCATGGGGTGTTCAAGGCAGGAGACCATCAGAGGTGGTAGGCCGTGGCCTGCCTCTGCGTAGCAGCCCTGCACTTCCTTGGGGGCCTCTCATCCAAGTCCTAACCAGAGCAGGCCCTGCTTAGCTTCCAAGATTTGGCTAGCCTCGGCCATCCAGGTCACGGTTTGTAGATTCAGGAGACCCCACACAAACTCTCCCCCTAAATTGTTTAGTTACTCGCACTTCCACCGCGGCTACGTTTGTATCCAAAAACGTTGCTTGAGGAAAAACAAAATGTATTGGAAATAGTTATCATTACAGGAGGAAAATAAGACCAAATGTCACTTTCTGTGTTAGCCTGTGGACTGCACAGGGACATACAGTCTGTATAAATAGTACTGCAAATACAGTAAGCTACAGGCGTGCTCCCTAGTTATATAATACAGCAACATCAAAGAAACCCAAAAGGAGAAACCATGGCCAGCAGATATAAACACTTCCCATAGATCTAAGTAGAATATAAACAACAGCATTTCATGTAAAATACGCTGTCTGACTCGGTGAGGATTTAAATCAGTGTGGGAAAGTTAGCAGCAAGGAGAGCTGGCAAACTTTCCTGGTGAGGGAAATGGCAGGGGTACACAAAAGAGATTATCTCAATGTCCAGGCTGATTCAGACTGTAATCCTAGTCCAATCGCATTGAACAATCATTGTCTTATGGTGCCTTACTGTATTAGAGTCATAGAGTTGGAAGGGACCTCCAGGGTCATCTAGTCCAACCCCCTGCACAATGGATAGCCCAGGCAAGCCCGATCTCATCAGATCTCAGAAGCTAAGCAAGGTCAACTCTGGCAAGTACTTGGATGGGAGACCTCCTTGGAATACCAGAGGCAGGAGGCAGGGGCAGGCTTTATTCAGCCACCTCTCTGAATATCTTCCATTGCCCCAGTAAGGGTCAGTTACCAGAGGTCTCCATTACTTCCTGGTGCACGCACACACACAAAAACACCAAAAACCCCACCCCACCCAGAAATTATCACTATGGACTGACCATATACACTTACACTAACGAGATGGTCATCTTCTACTTGATATTGCATGTAGGGTAAGATGTCTACATCCTCCTTGGCTACAAGTTCTGAAACGTTGAGGGTGTCAGCACCCTGGTCTTCATTCCCATCCTGAATAAAAAGTGCCACAGAATTACAGTACTGGAAATATGCCCGTTTAATATTCCAATATCAGATAAATGCAGTATGTATATGCACCAACTTATGATAATAAAGACTGGAATTCATTTGGGGGGGGGGGGAAATCCGGAGAAAAACATCTCTCTTTTCCCAATGGTAAAAACATGAAGATTCGGTATATTCTTGGTTGTACAAAGTAAGCGTGTTACCCTGTTTGTCTACACTATATTTCTTCTTAGCTTCAGTTCACACATTACTTGTAATAATGTGTCTCTTTGTGTGAAGAACTGGGCACGCTCCCTCACCATGCAGATGAGGTCATGTAGATCACGGACATTCCACACCAATGCCCGCGCGAAGTGCCTGAGGAAAGGAGAAATCATGCCAGCAGCCCTTTTACACAATGGCATGGAACAGCCAGCTAATTTGTTTATCATCTGCATGGCACAGGGGAAGAGGGAACACGGGCTCTTCTGCCACACAGAGGAGTGTTGTCCTTGGTAACAGATGTATATGTGTGTGTGTGCTAAGTGCCACCAAGTTGTTTCTGGTTGATGGTGACCCTATGAATTAATGACCTCCAAAACACCCTGTCGATAACAGCCTTGCTCAGGGTCTTGCGAATGGAGGACCATGGCTTCTTCGATCCATAGGTAAGCTGAGAAAAGGAACTAAATGGATGGGTTTTTTTGGAAACATAATAGGTGTGCCAAGAGCATGTACTGACACTTCAAGTTTATACCTCAGGAGTGTCTGCTTACCTTAGATTCAGAGTCAGTCACAGCCTGGAAAATTTATGATATACTCATTGAACTATGACACAGTAAGTCTCAGTCTAGTTAATTATCTGTACCATCTCATAGCACCCTGCTAACAGTCATGACACCTAAAGAAGTCATTCTATGGTGGAGTCACTGGGTTGTTTACACACAAATAAGTGGCTGACTGAAAACCAGGCCCGTAGCCTGCGTGGGGCCCACGGGGCCTGGCCGTCCCACTGGTTTTGTGGGCCCCCTCCCCTGCTCCCCCCTCCCCCCTCCCAAATCAGCGCTGCCGCTGCCGCCGCCTCCTTCTCTGCCGGAGGACAATGGAACTCTCTGCAGTCACCGCAGCCCGAGAGGGGAGGAGAGGCGAGGCGACCCCGGCAGCAACAGGCAGTGCCTCCGCTGCCCGCGCGCCTCCGAGACGCAACGTGGGCGGCCCTCCTCGCCACATGTGAGCCGGCTGTGCTGCTCCGCTCTCCAAGAGGCCCCAGAAAGGCCTCTCGGAGAGCGGAGCGGCACAGCCAAAGCACATGTTGTGAGGAGGGCCGCCTGCGTTGCGTCTCGGAGGCGCGCGGGCGGCTGAGGCGCTGCCTGTTGCTGCCGGGGTCGCCTCTCCTCTCCTCCCCTCTCAGGCTGCGGCGACTGCAGAGAGTTCCATCGTCCTCCAGCCGGTCAGCCCCCGCTTTCGGGCGGGTGGGGAGGCGGGCCCGCCGCCGGGGGTGGGTGGGAAGTGACAGGCGGGCCGCCGCCAAGGCAGGAAAGGCTGTGGCCGGAGCCAGGACCCTGACAGTCAGGGCCATAGAAGGGGGGGGGCATTACGCCACTCCCGGTGATGTGTGTGCGGCGCGCACACACACACACTCCGCCCCCCCCTTTCCCCAGGGCCCCTCCACTAGGAGGGCTTTAGCTATGGCCCTGCTGAAAACTGACCAAACCAGGTGACCATTTGTTTTCCAACAGGCAGAGCAGCCAAAGGAGTCCACATAATAGTATGTCATGCTTCAGACAACAAATAATCTATATGGTACAGAGGAAGAGGGTGCATTAAATAGTTATGGACGCAGCAAACATATCTAGTAAAACTGGAAAGGAGAAAAAATGAGTTTCCCACAAAAAAGGACAGTGTTGCCGATTCAATGGATCAGGCTTTTGGTTTGTAAAGCCCACCATGAATTAGGTCACTTCTCTGTTCTATGTAGCACTTTATACATTGGTGGCATACGTTTCAAGAAAGGCACCCATTCATATTAAATTCATAAAAGCAACAGGACTCTACCTCTGCAGTTAATTTTCCAGAATGCTTTTAAGTGACAGCTAGCATGCACAGGATGTTTTAATCAAACACACCTACCCTTTTCTCGATTGCCACAAAACTTGTAAACTGAGTCACGATGGAATTCTCCAGACTGAGTTTAATGATCAGGGATTTCAATTGTTGTTTCTTCATCTAAGTAGTGGAGAGAGAGAAAGAAATGGCATTTCAAAACACTATATACTCAGCTCAAATGATTATTTAAAACAGAAATACATTTCTGAAAATATGAAGACACTATGCTGCGTTCTAAGAACTTTAATCCAATGGGAAAACTGAGAACGTTTGGTTAAGAGAATGGAGATTGGTTCTAATGAATGATGTACCCTATATATTGAGCAATTCTTGAGAAAGAAGGCTGGAAACATCAACCGGGAAGTCGTCGGATTGCTTATCTGGGAGTAATGATTACTTGTCCTACAGTGGTGGGATTGTTGAATCCCCTCTTCTATAGCAGCAAGGTTTGAAATAAAATATTACCTTTGGATTACGTTTATACAGGAGCTAGCTATTTAGACAGGAGAATATTTGGACTGTTCCCTTCATATTTTTTTACTTTGATTATGTATTTGATTGCCTATATATGAATTTGAATGAATTTTGTAAATACCTATAAGGTGATTATACTTATTTAGTATTTTGCACACAATTTATATTTTTATTAAATAGAAGAAGAAGAGATTGGATTTATACCCCGCCCTTCACTCGGAGTATCACAGCAGTTTACACACTCCTTTCCCTTTCCCTCCCCACAACAGACACCCTGTGTGGGTGGGGCTGAGAGAGCTCTTTCCAGAACTGCTATTTCAAGAACAGCTCTGACAGAACTATGGCTTGCCCAAGGTCATCCAGCAGCTGCAAGGGGAGGAGTGGGGAATCAAACCCGGTTCTCCCAGATTAGAGTCCGCGCACTTAACCACTACACCATACTGGCTATTATTTCATATATTGTATGTTCATACACAGTGCTTTCTATTGTTCTGTACTTATTCCATCGTGGTCCCTGTTTTGTTGATGTTCACCTATGTAGAGGCATCTCTCTCTCTCTCTCTCTCTCTCTTTACACACACACACACACACACACACACACACACACACACTCTCTCTCTCTTTACACACACACACACACACACACACACACACACACACACACACACACTTAGATCCAGGTGGCAGCCGTTTTGGTCTGAAGCAACAGAACAAAGTTAGAGTCCAGTGGCACCTTTAATAAAACGTTTTGGCCTTAAAGGTGCCACTGGACTTTAACTTTGTTATGTATGTGAACTTGTTAACTTCCATTTCAACATATCTGAGGAAGTGTGCATGCACACGAAAGCTCATACGTTGAATAAAACTGTTGGTCTTAAAGGTGCCACTCGACTCAAACTTTGTTCTACCCTTAAACACTGTTCGGAGTCCATTCACGTCAAAGAGCTTAAAATAGGGTCACTTTCCTGTACTGTTAGGGAGCTTCTCAGAGAAAGTAAAAAGCCCACCAAATAATGTATTATTTATTTACTACATTTACATCCTGCCTCCCCCCCCCCCCCGTCTCAAAGTGGCATATGTTGTTCTCCCCTTGTCCATTTAATCCTGACAAGAGCCCTGCGAGGTGGATTAGGCTCAGAGTGTGTGGCTGGCCCAAGGTGACCTGGCAAGCTTCCGTGGAAGGGAGAGTGAGGATTCAAACCTGGGTTTTCCAGATCCCAGGCAGACACCCTAGCCACTACACTACACTGGCAAAACACATGGTGTCCTAATGCCCCTGAGCATTACAATGGGTAGAAAGCACAAAAGTGTTCCATAATCCTAGAGAGAGTGCCAAGTCTGCAAAAAAATGTTGTTTACAGATGAATCCTAATTTGGAAGTATGCCCCTCAAGTTAAAAGCAACATCTTTGTACAGAATGGGCAAAAAGGACAGCATTTTGGATTTTGACAGCAACACAGCATAGTGCATGAAAACACAGCAATGGGCAGGAAAAGAAGTCTACCAGAAGGATAGGGGGGGGGGGGCAGCTGGAGTTCTCCCAGGATTACAACTGGTTTCCAAGCTAGAGATCAGTTCCCTTGGAGAAAATAGCAACTGAACTCCCTGCTCTCCCCAAATTCTACCCACCCCAGGCCCTACGCTCAAATCTCCAGGAATTTCCCAAGCAACCCTCTTGAAAGAAGAGGGGATGAGCACTGGCTGCTTAGGGGAGAGAACGGGAATTGGTAACGAAGGAGAAAGGAAGGCAGAGCTGGTGGCAGGGAGAGAAGAAGGAAAGTGGTATTTCCCTTCTTTGTGAGTCCTCACAGGTCCCCTATTATATTACCAGATCGAAATGTAATCCATATAGGAGGACTGAGGTGTAACCCCTGGTTTAGGGGTTAGACTGCTGAACTAGGATCTGGGAGACCCAGGTTCAAATTCCCACTCTGCCATGAAACTTCTTAGGTGAGATTAGGCCAGACACTCTGTATCAGCTTGACCTACCTCAAAGGAGGAGGAGAAGGAAAAGAAGAAAGTTTTAGAACAAATAATCAAACAGACAGTCCTTGAGCATTTAGAAAGGATGGCTGTGATTACTAAGAGCCAGCATGGGTTTCTCAAGAACAAGTGATGTCAGACTAACCCTATCTCTTTTTTTGAGAAAGTTACTATCTTGCTGGATCAGGTGAATGCCATAGACATAGTTTATCTTGATCTCAGTAAGGCTTTTGACAAGGTTCCACATAATATTCTTGTTGGCAAATTGGTAAAATGTGGTTTGGACCCTATTACTGTTAGGTAGATCTGTAACTTGTTAACAGATCACACCCAAAGAGTGCTTGTGAATGGTTCCTCATCCTCTTGGAGGGGAGTGACAAGTGGAGTGCCTCAAGGATCTGTCCTGGGAACTGTTTTGTTCACTATCTTTATAAATAATTTGGATGAAGGAATAGAGGTTGCATCAGTATTTAGTTCCTGTAGTCCTTTGTTACATGCCCAGGGAAATGCTGATCACCACTTTGGGGTCAGGAAGCAATTTTTCTCCAGGCCGGTTTGGCTGGAGATCCTGGAGGTTTTTTGTCATCTTCTGGGCATGAAACAGTGGCCACGGGGTGTGTGTGTGTATTTGTGAATCTCCTGCATTGTGCAGGGGGATGACCCTGGGGGCCCCTACCAACTCTATGATTCGAAGAGGAAAAGGAGGAGTAGGAGTTGGATTTATACCCCACCCTTCACTCAGAGCCTCAGAGCTGCCTACAATCTCCTTCCCTTCCTCTCCCCACAACAGACACCCTGTGAGGTAGGTGGGGCTGAGAGAGCTCTGAGAGAACTGCACTTAAGAGAACTGCGACTGCCCCAAGGTCACCCAGCTGGCTGCATGTCGAGGAGTGGGGAATCAAACCTGGTTCTCCCAGATTAGAGTCCACCGCTCTTAACCACTACACCAAACTGTATAAAATGAAGATGGTGAGAACTCCTTGGAGGGAGGTTGAGAAAATGTAGTGAACAACAACAATAAAGAAATTCTCTCTCAAAAGCAAAAATGCACTGATGTTATTAATGTCTTAATAAACTGGAGTGCTAACATATGCATTAAGGCTGGAATGCTTGTAGTGCAATCCTGAACAGTGTTGTAGCCTTCTAAGTCCACAGCAGTCTGCACCATTAATCAGTTAAACACTTTTCGTTGATTGAAAAGGTGCTCAACTAATTAGAGATTTTTTAAAAAGTTAATTATGTTTAATAAAAGCACTTCCAAAAAGTGCATGTGCCAGCTTTGCATCAGTGTGCTTCCTATTTTCTCATAGAAGTGGAAATGAACCCACCGAGATGATGCTTCCTGAGATGCAGTCATGCATCATATCAGAAGGAAGAGAATGGGTTTTATTCAGAATTGCAGTTTTATCAATTTGCAGATTAATTCTGACTTAACTGATTAACCAGTTACATCTCATTTAATCATAATATTTATGTTATTTTAACACACACACACATATATTCATATTCAATTATCCATGTAATCAAAATATTATTTATAAGCATAGCTGATATGTGATAACTTCAGCTAAGAATGTATGCTCTAATGAGATATTAGTGACTTGCTGTCTCTCTGCTTAGCCAGAAAGGCTGCATTCCAGAGCAGTAGATCTATCCCTGGGCTGCAAATCAATCTTTGGTTGTCTGAGAGAGGAGTGTTTGTCTCAAAACATAACAAAGCAATTGAATGAATGGGCAATTAAGTTTTGAGAAACAGGCCTTCATCTCTAACCTCACATACCAATGTTATGTGGGTGGGGGGATAAAATATACCGTTTTTGGGTGCTAGCAAAGTTGTCAGGGAGAAAAGTTATGGTGAAGACCTGGATTTTCCAAAGAGCTCCCTTCCTTTATTTGTTTGAATCACTATAAATGGCACCCCTTGAAAATCTTTATCCGGAGATTTAGTTGGAAAGTGCCTGCATGCCTGAGTTTATTTGATGCATACTAATCTTTGTTTCATCTGATTTACTTTATTTATAACCCGTCTTTCTCACTGAGACTCATGACAGATTATACAGGACACATGTGGATTCCATGTACTGGATTCTTTCATTCTTCAGGCCGGTAAATTGAGCGTTAATTGCCTGCGTAAAGTCAAAAGATTAATCAAACTTCCATGTGACTTTTAAATAGACAAATTCAACCCTCTGGCAGAACTGAATCATGACAAGGCGATGACCCAATTAGGACTGCAGTCCAACTTTATGGATCATGTTTTCCATTTTTCTTGTTAACTTACTTCATGTTCTGTTTTGTTCTCATGAAGAACCCCTTGTTCATAATCCCTAATGAGGGCTCTTGCTGTAAGTTTGTGGAGCATCTATATAAACAGAAGAAAAGGGACAAAGTAAACATCATCACATGTATCTAAGATTTTATTTACTGGCTCTTCTGACAGCATAAGGCAGATATCAAGAGCTCTGGTTTCAAAAAGGTGGTCTTTGTTATGGTCTAGCACACTTATTATCACTTTGACAGATTATGGTGGGGCCAGAATTTCATTCCCCCCTAAACATTCCTCAGTACAAGTTTCCATCACATATCTGTCTAAGTCTGCCTTGACCAATGAAAGTTCATATTGAAATTAATGTTGCTAGTCTTTAAGGTACCTCTAGGCTTTTGTTCTGTTTTGCTACAAAAGACTAACTTTGCAATCAGTGCTCCCATGCTTCTTTGCGCTGCAGGATCCCGGTGAGCGGAGCCTGGAGATGTCTCCACTACTGGGTCAACAAAGGAAGCCGTATCTCTCTGCTTGCATGCATGCACTGCCTTTCCAGATCCTGTGATCCCACTGAAGGCCTCACACCCCTGCAGCAAGACAGTAGGGAACTCTACAGCCCCGGCCTACTCACAGTTCCTGTTCTCTTCTGCAGTTCAGTTGTAGATACCATTGTCTGCAATTCTTGGTTATCTATCAGTGCTTTTAAAGTGGCCTGAAAGAAAGAGCGAAGAAGGTGTTGCCCTTATTTTAACCTCTCCTCACCTTCTTCTATGCTATTATGGTGCCTTTGCCAGGCTCTCCTCCAACCAAAGCATCAATGAGCTCTCTCTCTCTCACACACACACACAAACACACACACACTCTTCCAGCCTCTCATAATGCAACAGAACACATGATTTCACTTACAGGTTAAGCATGGTGGTATAAATATAATAATTATCATATATTTTTATCCTGCCCTTCCTCCGAAGAACTCAGGGTAGTTTATATGGGGTCCCCCTCCAATTTTAACATCAGAACCACCCCAAGAGTGAGATTTGGCTGAAATATAATGATTGGCTCAAGGTTACCCAATGAACTTCAAGCAATTATCTCCATCAAAGGCTTCAGTCACATCACTACTGCAAATACCAGCACGGTGCCTCCCAGGCAAGATGCACAGGGCTAGTTCTTAATCCCAGTTGATCTCCACTGAGCCCCACCCTCCATCTTCAATTGGTCTCTCAAGAAGTTAAAGGCCAGGGCCAAGGTAGGGAAGCAGAGTGGGAGCAAAGCAGCAGCTGCAGCTCTGAACACTAAGTCCTGAGTGTCCCTCCAAAGCAGCCAAATCCCAATTTAGTTCAGGTCTTTTGGTCTTGTCCATACAGTCAAATCCATTCATTCAGGCAGGGATGGAAATCTTGGTTTTGGACCGGGAACTGTGCTAGCCATACCCCTGTTTCTCCAGCGCTATTACACACTGTAGGAGATTCAATCATGGGTTGAGCCAACAACTCAGCTCCCTAGGCAAGTCTGCCCAAAGAGTGATTGACACTCAGATAAATTCCACAAAATGCAGTTTTTGTGGCAAAAGGCCCAGGAGAAGGACCAGCGGATCTACAGCTCTCTTGGTGGATCTTTCCTGCAAACTCTGTGTATCATTTTCTTTCTCTATGAAATTTAACATGCACACAACTCCATGGGACCTACATAATTTTTTATTATGCACCAAAAATTACATCATTCCTGGTCATATAGGAGGCCTTCAGATCAATCACAACCCTCTTTCTCACTGGGGATGGAACAGATTTCTTTACATTTCTTCTTACCTGAGTACACTGGGAGATAAATCCATAGACCAGAAGGTACTCATTAATAAACAAAGATTGTATCTGAGCAGGAGCATATGTTGGCTCAGGTGCATTTGTGTCAAATTGCTGCCATTTAATTGAAACAGCACTGCATCCCCGAGAATGCATTCGAGAGATCTGACAACCTATCTGGATGCATAGATGGAAAAAAGGTAATTAATGCTTGTTCCACTTTGCACTTACTTTTTACAGAGCAGAAAACAGAATTATACAATTACACACACTCTTATACAAATTCTTCTTTGTACAAGTCTTCACTGGGTAGTTTTTACAACTGCCCATTTTCTTAGTTGGGTTTTATAATCACTTGAATATGAGCAGTCCAATTCCAATTAATTCAAGGGAAATAGTACTAAATTGTACTTGCCTTTCTCTCCCAGTTATACTTTGTTTTCGCGTCAAAATATTCAAAGGTTCCAGCTCCATATTGGGACAAAGATCTCAGCATGTGACGATTTGCTGCGTAGCTAATATAAACATATAAAAAGCTTTAAATATATGTCTAAGTACACTTTTTTTAAAGTTGTAGCTTAAAAAAAAACTATCACAGAGAAGCAACCTGAGCAAACCCAATGTCGTATTTTTCCTAGCGTGCCTTGGACATACTTCTGTTGGACCTAGGGTTGCCAGCTCCAGGTAGAGAAACTCCTGGAGATTTGGGGTTGAAGCCTGGGGAGGATAGAGACCTCAGTGGGGTGCAATGCCATACAGCCCCCCCCCAAAGCATCCATTTTCTCCAGGTGAACTGATCTCTGTAGCCTGGAGATGAGCTGTAATGCTAGGAGATCCCCAGATCCCACCTGGAGGCTGGTATCCTTAGCTGGACCCTGGACTCTAAGTGTTAAGTCTGTTCTCATAATATTCAGTGGAAACTGGCCAAGGCTGGCCAAAATATGGTGGCGCACTCCAAATGATGTACACCCACACTGATGCACACACACTCAGCCACTTTCAACTGGATCCTCCCCAATGTGGGTGAAGCCCACAAATCCATAACCCCATATGGTTGTATTTTGCAAAGAGAAAATAAAAGGGCTGCACCAGTCACTAAGAGATAAAAAATGAGGCCAAGGCTGATGGTGCAAAATAAAGTAAAAATATATTTTATTACTCAAGGTAAAATCCCCTATGTGTTCTACCAACAGGCCTTTTCAAGGGTATCTATTAGTCTTGCAGTAAAAATAGTAAAAGATCAGTATTTATTATTTATTAAATTGGATTTACTAGGCCACCCTTCCCTGCAAGCAGGGCTCAGGGAGGCGTACAACAAAAACAAATACAATAAATACTTTAATTTAAAACCAATGTTAAAAATTCCTAAAACATATCAACAGGTAAAACAGTACACTTTCCAAGATGGCGGAAGAAAAGATTCCAGCTTTCACAGGCCTCTTGGAGGGAGGGGTTAAGGAAGGTGGGGGTGTATGTATAAGAGTGGCAGATTTCATACTGCCCCGTTGCTGGCCTCAACCAAATGCCTGGCGGAACATCTCTGCCTTGCATGCCCTGTGGAAAGGTAATAACTCCCACAGGGCGCAGATGTTCTCTGGCAGAGAGTCCCACCAGGCAGGGGCCAGGGTCCAAAAAGCCAGGGACCACAAGGAGGTTCTTATTCCCTGAGCGTAATGCTCTTCCAGGGGCATACTGACAGAGGCGGTCCCAAAGGTATGTGGGTCCCTGACTGCTAAGATCAGTAGTGCTCTTTTTGAAGATACACTTCAAGACCATACTATACACTACAATGCTATAGCACCAAAACACTGTAATACTATAGCACCAGTAAAAACCGTTAGAAGTGAACGACTGCACAGTCTCTTAGCCTCAGACTTCAGATAAGGTATATAAAAGTCAGAGAGAGAGAGGCCAGGACACTGACTATCCTTTCCTTTATTCTCTGATGCTATCCCTTTGATGTGTAGATTGCTACTCTCAGGGAGTCTTCCTTCCTTCCAGTTTTGACACTTTCCACACTATGCTAGTCTTCTCCATCTTGGTACCATGATGGCAGGACATGCTTCCTGCATCTCTATCCATCCTAGCTAGTTAGACTAGATTAGAAACCTGTCTCTACCCTATCTTGTCTAGAATGGAGTTCCTTACAATAAAGGACTCATATTAGTTTACAAAGATAAAAAGGCTCAGTGTGTAACTTTGTTTCTTGCCAGCACTCAGAACCCAGATGGGCTCTGCTGCGTTATGTGCCTTGAGCACTCTGCTAACCAAATAATCCATCAAAAACAGGCTATTTCCAACCAGCCTCCTGCTTAGCTAAGCATGCAGCACACCACCAAACGAGAGAGCCATAACCAGCGAGTCCACAGAGCCCCCCGCCCCAGCCCTCCTCCAGTGGCGGCAGGCACCAGGAAGCAAGGGAAGGTTTTAAAAGAGACATATGTCTATTTAAATCCCTTCCCTTCTCTTCAGGGAGCGTGCCACTGCTGTGATATCTTCTCTCCCTGGGTCATGCTGCAGTGGCGGCACGCAGCCCAAAGAGAAGGGAAGGGATTTAAAGAGACATATGTCTCTTTTAAAACCTTCCCTTGCTTCCTGGCACCTGCTGCAGCAAGCAAGCAGGCCAGGGATCAGACGGTCAGCCAGTTGCTCCACTCTCTAGTCCTAGTCTGTTCCGATGCTGCAAGTTCACTCCTCAGGGAAGAGAAGAAAAAGAAGAAGAGAAGAGATTGGATTTATATCCCGCCCTTCACTTGGAGTCTCAGAGCGGCTTACAAACTCCTTTCCCTTCCCTTCCCCACAACAGACACCCTGTGAGGTGGGTGGGGCTGAGAGGACTCTGACACAAACTGCTCTTTTTCAAGGACAGCTGTGCCAGAGCTTGTGACTCACCCAAGGTCACATCAGCAGGTGCAAGTGGAGGAGTGGGGAATCAAACCCAGTTCTCCCAGATTAGAGTCCGCACGCTTAACCACTACACCAAACTGGGAGAGTACGGTTATGAATGGTGGGGTGAATTTCACGGGTGTCAGGGGGATAGAGCTACGGTAGGCAGGCTACTGTTAGCTGCTAACCCCAATAGTTGTGCTTTTTGCACACACACCCCGGTTGCTTTGGTTTAAACCCCCTGAAAAATGTAAAAGCTCACCCCCCCAAATAATCCTAGCTACGGGACTGCCAAAGAACCAAATTAATCTATTTCAGCAAGGACTCTCGGGATATGGAACAATCTCACCTTCCAGATTTTTCTGAATGCCATGAGATTTAGGGAGGAAAAAAAATCAACACCCTCTTGGAAAACTATTCCACAATAAAGGGGCTGCCGCTGAAATCCCCTCGATTGGGCCACAGTATTCCACACCATGTGGCAAGAGGAGGCCCTGCTGAGTAGAATACAGGGACTGCACAAGTTCCCATCAGGAAGAAGAAGAGGAGATTGGATTTATACCCCGCCCTTCACTATCCAAAGGTGTCTCAGAGCGGCTTACAAGCTCCTTTCCCTTCCCCTCCCCACAACAGACACCCTTGTGAGGTAGGTGGGGCTGAGAGAGCTCTGACAGAAACTGCTCTTTTTCCAGAACAGCTCTTATCAGAGCTACGGCTTGCCCAAGGTCATCCAGCCAGGTGCAACTGGAGGAGTGGGGAATCAAACCCGGTTCTCCCAGATTAGAGTCCGCGCACTTAACCACTACACCAAAGTGGCTCTCGGAGAGATGACCCTTCACGCACACAGGGCTCAGGCCATGAAAGGCTTTAAAGGTTAAAACTGGCACTTTGAACAGAACCCAGAAACAAACAGGCAACAAACCTAAAGCTTTTAGCACAGAAATTATGAGAGCATGTAAATTCATACCACTCAAAAGCTAAGCAATTGCATTTTGAATGAGATGGCTGCCAGACAGGTTTCAATGGCAGCTCCACATGCAGTGGGCTTCCAATAACCTAGTCTAGATGGTTATCACAGCATGGATCAGCAATACCTCCCTGTTTATTCTCACCACCATGGCCCCGCCCTCCCTGGTTTCAAACGCCAGGCTGTAAGGTTCTTGGAATGGGAAGCCTAGTATCTTCTTGCAGTCTGAAGTGCCATGCCACTTTGATGGCACCACAGAATGCATCCGTGTTATTCACTGCGCCGTGCAGTTTCTTGTGAACGCAGTACAAATGATCATCTGATAAGCACTTGCCCAACTCCACACGTGAATATCCTGGTGTGCCGGGCGTTTTCCTTCACAGTCTGCAAGGTCATGGCTTCGTTCTGAATATGTCCATCAGATATTAGAAGAATGCTGCGTTTGCCTTTAGAAGGATATAGCAGACTCAGGTAATGCAATGCCTTCCATAAGTCAGAGTTTCCCATTGAAGGGGTAGCAGACTAGGAAAAAAAGGAGGAGTGATAACAATAAAGGGGTATTTTTAAATGGTTAAAATTATAAGAGGGTTGCCAGCAGAGGATGGGGGGAAGGGTTGCCAGATCAAGGCTGGGAAACTCCTGGAGATTTGGGGATGGAGCCTGGGGAGAACAGGGACCTCAGTGGGGTACAGTGCCACAGAGTCCACCCTCTAAAGCATCCTTTTTCTCCAGAGGAACTGGTCTGTGTAATCTGGAGATGAACTGTAATGCCAGGGGATCACCAGGTCCCACCTGGAGGCTGGCATCCCTATCTAGTACAATTATCTGGCTTTTGATCTGCTGGTTATGAAGCCTGAGTACTGCTTGAGCAAGGCCTTGTTCATCTAGTTGCCACTTAATCACATGGCATCATACCCTACAGACCGTGAATATAGGCTCAGCTAACCGCCCGATGGTCAGCCTCCTCAAGCTAAGATGACTGTAACATACTCTACACAGATCTGTCTTGGAAGCTGATTTGGAAATGCCATTTAGTTCTGAATGTCACAGTAAAGTAGCAAGGTGGTGCTGCAGGGAATGTACCTTGCCCATGCTTAAACAGCTCCCCTGTCTTTCCATTTGTCTCTAGGACCAATTAAAAGGGTTGGCTCTTATTTTGAAAGCTTCATATAGCTTGAGAATGTCAAAGACAATAGGGAACCCTTTGTGTACAAGTATAGCCACAAATAACACCCACCAAGGGAAGATCATCCACAATTCACAACAATATATGCTCAAAACTGTATATTACATTCATTGAAGTACAAAAACGGGTTAGTGGTCATAGCCCAATAGAATGTATAGTCACGTATCCAAAAGACTGCTCATAACCATTAGGTATATTTTACAAAAAGGGCTTCCGGTCTGGCTCCCGCGAAAGGCAGACGCATCCTCGGGTCGCTCCCGAGGGCGCCTTGCCCGCCCGCGGTGGAGGAGGGAATCCGCGCAAGCGGAGACCCGAACGAGCCCCTCAGATGAGAGGAGCTCGGATCCGGGGCGCTTTAGGGCGTTCCAGGGGGGAGTCTCTCTTTCGGTCGAGAGATCGGAGATTGAGACTCTCGCCATGCCCTGCCCCTTTGGACCTTGCTGCGTGAGCGACCCCGTTCTACGGGGTTTAGCGGAACCACCGGGCGTCACCGAGTGATGAAGCGGGGGAAAAAATGGAAAATAAAAGACTGGCGTAACTGTGAGTTGTCAAAATACAGAGAAAATGAACTAAGAACGTTTCCCCCCCCCTTCAGCGGAAAATGAGGAGGTTAATCCTCTATAAGCGAGAAAGAAAAAAAAGAAAAGAGGGGGGGAATGGACTGAGCGAATAGTGATGTTTTCCTTTGATGTACTTGAAAATAAGCAAGAGGTTTTGTTTCCCTGGAGCGCATTTTAAAAACTTTACTAAAAATAAAAAAACAAGATGTCGGAGCTGGGTAAAGACAAGCGGGGGAGAAGGGAGGGACTTCCGTCTGGGCGTTTGTGTCAACGTGAGTGCCGGCTGTTTAATATTTGGACTGTGTATGGCTATGAATCCAACGGGGATTGTGAAGGAAAAGAAAAGCTTGAATTGTGACAGCGAAAAGTGCCTCATGAGCGCTTATAAAAGTCAACAATTGAAGAGGAGAATCCAGCGAAGGGATTGGGAGCGGATAAAAGCGAAATTGAAATTAATACCATTCTCAAAGCTGGAGATCTCCGGGCATGGCATGAAAGGAAGACAGCTTACAGCACAGGAACTGAAAGAGTTAACAGCGACCCGAAGGAGGAGGGGAAGAAGCCGGAGGCAAGAGAAAAACAGAGGAAGCCCCTCCCGTCACTGAGAGGGGAAAAGTAACCAGCGCGTTAAAGAAGCGGTTCTGAATGTGCCTTGAAGAGACTTTTTAACAGAAATTCAAAGGAACATTACTAACAAATTAACATAGAAAGTAACTGTAATGGAAAAAAGATGTTTGACAACACGCAGAAGAAGCCTTTGATGATTGGACATTACTAACAGTTTAATCTAACAGTTAATACATCACTCAGCTTTCTCTTTCTCCCACTATATACCCTCCTTATCTTTCTTTTTAAGCGAAACTCCTCCCCTTTTTAGGGGAGTCAATAAAATCTTTATTAAAAAAAAGGTATATTTTACAAAAAGAATGTGTTCAAAACCAACAGTAGGCTCCTCTGTAATTCCATACATAAATAGTGTCCATAGACCTCCAAGCAGAAAGTAGCTGCGGCAGAAGACGTCCACTGTGGAAAGAATAACAGCCGTACGTCTCTCCCAGGTATAAATCAAGGCATTTCAATGATCTTCAGCAGAGGTTGGTAAAACGGAACCCGATTTCCAAAATAACATAGGCACAACTCAGCTGTGTTATTTTGGAAATTGGGTTCCATTTTACCAACTGCTGTTGAAAAACATTGAAATGCCTTGATTTATATGTGGGAGAGACGTACATCTGTTATTCTTTTCACAGTGGGCGTCTTCTACTGCAGTTACTTTCTGCTTGGAGGTCTATGGACACTATTTATGTATGGAATTACAGAGGAGCCTACTGTTGGTTTTGAACACATTCTTTTTGTAAAATATACCAAATTGTTATGAGCAGTCTTTTGGATATGTGCCTATACATTCTATTGGGTTATACAGCTTGGGAGCAGAGTACATAAAATATGAACTTCTCTTATATGAATCTGTTCAGCCTTTATGTTCCCCCCCCCTGCTCTGGCATTCCCTCAGTGACCACCCTTTACTACCCAAAGGAGTCTCAGAGCGGCTTACAAACTCCTTTGCCTTCCCCTCCCCACAACAGACACCCTGTGAGGTAGGTGGGGCTGAGAGAGCTCTGACAGAAACTGCTCTTTTTCAAGAACAGCTCTTATCAGAACTATGGCTTGCCCAAGGTCATCCAGCCAGGTGCAAGTGGAGGAGTGGGTAATCAACCCCGGTTCTCCCAGATTAGAGTCCACGCACTTAACCACTAGACCCAACTGGCTCTATCATCAGAGGCTAGTGCACTGTTACCACCAGAGGGAAGGTAAGTACACTTTCCTGGGAGTAAGCCCCACTGAATAAAATGGGCCTTGCTTCATAGCAGACCTGGTTAGGATTGCTCCCTAAATTACCTAACAGCAAGTGTCTGAATTTGCTTGTTTCTTCTTTCCTTGCTATCGCTGTTTCCTTTTGTGTGGTGATTTGATCTGGAAAAGGGCTATATGACCAAGTAGGGATAGGAGCTCCAGTTATGTGATGGGTAGTGCTTTTCTGAACAAAAAAAGAGCCAGTTTGGTGTAGTGATTAAGTGCGTGGACTCTAATCTGGGAGAATTGGATTTGATTCCCCACTCCTCTACTTGCAGCTGCGGGATGACCTTGGACAAGCCATAGTTCTGTCAGAGCTGTTCTCTCAAGGGCAGTTATCAAAAGAGCTCTCTCAGCCCTGCCTACCTCAGGGTGTCCATTGTGGGGAGGGGAAGGGAAAAAAGTTTGTAAGCCGCTCAGACTCCAAGTGAAGGGTGGGGTATAAATCCAATCTCCTCCTTCTTCTTCATTGTGTAGGGGATGCAACAAACAGAATAGAACAGTATTAAAGTTACTTACTGAAACAAACTCCTTCAGAGCAGTGACATCCACTTTGTACTTTCCAGGACTGAAGGGAAAATGTACAAAATCTATACAACAAAAAACAGTACTTTTGAAAATACCTTCTGCCTCTCCAAAGAATGACAATACTAGAATCTGACTGACTGAATCATTAGGGCTGCATGGTTGAATCACTGGATTAATCAACCAGGGTTGGATCCTATGACTCCTTTCCATTAAAACACCCATAAAATGGCTTTCTCCTCTAATAAGGAGTGGCAGATGTTATTAATTCTTAATTTGTAATTCATTTTATGCTCCCCCCCCCCCATCCTCCCAAAAGTCATTCCCAGTGAAGTTTTGGTACGGAGTTTATTTAATTGCAGAAAGGCCATTAAAAATGGAAAGCCCTGACCAGGGAATATCTTTTCCCCCTCACACTTTCAGTACAGTTACCATTTAATATCTATGCTCTCTCCTCTACCTTCAGACTGCAATTTCCCTGAGGCGAGGGCTGCTGAGAGACAGGTGTTAGGGAAAACCACAGCACTGGCCACCCAGGGGCTCAGGGAGCTGCACAAGTCATCTGATTTATGTTCTTATGAGGTTTGGGTTGGATTGGGGTGGTTCTGGGAGCACAAGGCCACTCTTAGCCTGCAGGGCAGGGGCCTGTCTTTTTTTCTTTATTTATTTTTTCAGCTTATGCTGCAAGGCATGTACATTAATGGTGGTACTGTGATCATTACTAAATCACTGATATACTCATTAACATAGATTAAAGGTAGAAAGGGTGCTTACAGGGCGGCCCTTGAGCAGAGACAGCAAAATCTCTCTATCCCCAACCCCGGCATGACATGGCCTATCTTGACCCTGTATTTGGTTGAGGATGAAGCCCTTAACACTTTTACAGCATGCTCTGAGAAAGTCAGTCAAGGAAACAAAAACACCAGTGTCCTGCTTATTCATCACCAGATTAACCTTGAACTTTAGGAATGAGCTGATCCCCCCTCCCCGCCCCTGGGGAACCAGTCCAGTGAACGGACCCCATGGAAATATGTTAAAGACAAACATAATAGGGAGAAAAATGAGTAGCACCACAAAAAATTGGGAGAACTTCTTACTTGTACCAAATTTTATAACACTTAGCCGTGGTAGAAAATGGCATGACTCCAGAGCATGCAACGCAATCTGCTTGGCTTGCCGCATTTCTGAACCTGCCATGGAATTGGAGCAGTCCAGGCAGATGATTGTTTCTCCACAGGGGCTTGAAGGTTCGTACGGTACAGCAAACTGTGGCTGAAATACTAGCATGCATGCCTAAAGGAAGAAGATTGAAAAACAGTGATGAAGTAGACATTACTAGATTATGCAGAAGCTGCTAGAGAAACTGAGTAGATGGGCACAACGAGGGAGAATGACAGCAGCAGAAGTCAATGATTTCAGGCACTTGTCAAAGTTCAGAGACCACACATGCTAATAGCACCAACATTTCCAACACATGAAAAATTGTATGTGCTGCTTTATGTTGAGAGTGCCTTAGAGTTAGGGTTGCCAGGTCTCCTCGGCTAGCTGGCAGGGGGATTTGGGGGGCGTTCCGGGAGTGGGCGGGGACATTGTGCAGCAACGCTCTGCATTTTGGACAAAACTCTGTTTTTTGGCCTAAAACCACAGAGTTTTGCCCAAAAAGCAGAGCATCGCTGCATAATGTCCCTATTTGGGAGGTGGGGCTTCCCCGCCATCCAGGTAGCCAGCGGCCAGCAGAAGCCCAAAAAATCAGGGGAACCCCCACTTGGACCAGGGGTCTGGCAACCCTACGTAGAACCCTCATCACTTGAAGAGGTGGATTCACTAGGAGAACAAGGTGGGTGTTGGCCCTATTCCCTACATATAAGGGGACCCCTGTCCTCACATACAAAGGGACCCATTTTGTCCCAGGGCTCCCCAAATGTGGAGCTGGCAATGGGGAAGAGCAAGTGGGTGGGAAAGGCAACAGAAGCTAAACTAGGGTACCCAAGATGAGGTTAACTGACTGCCGTTTCTTTCACTCACTGCCCTCATATTCTTTTGTAACATCCTCTGCGGTTTACCCAATCAAGCCATTTGGGTTTCTGTCACTGAATCAAGGTGCAGTTCAGACGACGTTACGACATTTTTATTTCAAGAGAGAAGACACAAGTGCATGCTTAACTCCCAGGAAAATCAGCGCAACCCAAACAGGTTTAGCTGTGGCTGGAATGAACTGATCTGTCACCTGATCAGTTGTAATCCCAGGAGTTCTCCAGCCACTACCTGGAGGCTGGCAACCCTATAGTTTTATTCCTCTGTGTCCTTGGAACCGCAGAAGTTATTTATCAACTTATAGACTATGACTAAAGAGTTGTTTTGATACTCACTTGTTAGTTTATCAGTGGCAGACTTACCTCAGTCTCTTTGTCTGGATGCTTCTCTACCCACATTCTGGGCAAATGGACATCGCCAATCCCAATTCCCAGTGCAAACCCAGCAACACCCAAGGAACTGTCCTCCACAGTATGGATCACGGCTTTACAGTCTGTTTTCTGAATTGGTGTGTGAGGGAAGCGGGTGTTTGTTAGTGTCAGTGGGAAAACCCAACTTATTTTCACCTGAATTTGAAATGAGCCGCTGAGCTAGCACAAGAAAAACAGGTTGCTTACCAGTAACTGGTGATCTTCGAGTGGTCATCTGTGCATTCACACCAATGGGATCTAGTGCGCCTGCGCTGGATCTGCAGATCCAGCACAGGCACACTAGATCCCATTGGTGTGAAGAACAGAGACCACAAAGAAGATCATACAGGATCAGCTACAGGAGTATTGGCATTGACACAGCTGTTGTAGGCAATCCTTTTAGTTAAGTAAGAATGGCTGGAACCTGATGATTGTGCAGGTACATTACAGAAGAGTGGTTTTTGTGGTGAAGTTGAGCAGGAGACAAAGGCTTGGGCCCTTCAGCTAAGTTGGATTCTATGACTCTCTTCCACTAAGTCTTCTTCAAAAGAGAATGACTTACTTCAACACAGAATGACTTTTTGTGATGGATTCAGATGGGGTAGCCGTGTTGGTCTGAAATGAAGTAGCAGAACAAAGTTTGAGTCCAGTAGCACCTTTAAGACCAAGGCTTCCTCCAATGAAGAAAAGTTTGCTGAAGGAAGTCTTGGTTGAAGCGGAGTCACAGGATCCAGCTCACTGGTGAAGAGAGTCACAGGATCCAACCCAAAGTATTTTTGTGACCGTGCAACACCATATAGTGCTTTTCAATTAAATATACTGTTAACATTATTGCTTGCCACTCTGACGATTTGAAGGGGAAAGATAGAAATTAATGAAAATGAATACGGTTAAAATCTCAAACTGGAACCATTTATTTAACAATTCCTTTGCCAGGTCCTTTGAAAATTTCCTTTTAAAATTCTCTAATTACCACTGCCTTGCCCCCCCCCCAGCCCAAAAAACAGACACCAGGAGGGTTTACATACCTTTATTTTAAGTTTATGTGTCCAGCTGTCAATGTAATCAATCTTAAAGGGCATTTCAACAGACATCTCCAAAGAGAACCCACTGTCATTAGATAAAGAGAAACCATATGTACTCAACAGCTGCAGTTATGATGGGGTTTATACCATGAGAAATGTCTTGGGGTATTTTCTCGAGTTTTACTGTAAAGTGATTCTGGTGCTAACTAGAAAACTTCATCTTCATAATCTACCATAAAATATGGGTCTTGAAATGACGGTCATGTCTCTTTCTATTATACAGTCTGAATTAATAACGACTGAAAGGGGTACAGCACTTAGACAATTCACCTGGGACAGCCAGACACTGTAACTGTGTTTGAAGTTTAAAAAACATAGCCAGGGATTGTGTCTGGAAAAAACACAGAAAAATAATCCAGGAAATGCTGTAATGCAACATGGTGGCCACATCTGAGTCATCCGTAAAGAATAACTGAATGAAACGGTGGCAATTGTGGACTAAATGGTTAATGTGGAACCAGCTGTAGTCCCTGCACATCTTTTGACAACACAGCAAAGGTCCATCTAACCCAGGGGCGTTGAACTCATTTGTTACGGGCGCCGGATCTGACATAAATGTCACTTTGTCGTGCCGGGGTGTGTGTGCCATAAACGTAATGCCAGGTACCGGATATATAAACTGTATGAAGGACAGCAGCTGGTAAGCTCTGAGTTGGTGTACACTCACTGCAAGGCCCCATGGGCTGGGAGGGGGTGCAGAGGAAAATCCACATGGGTGGACTGGAGAGCCAGCAGTGCAGCACTGGGCAGACACTCCAACGCTGCTTGACTGCTACAGATGTAGGGTTGCCAAGTCCTACGTGCTGCTGCAGTGGGGGGAGTCCTGGACTTCCCTGGGAGTTCCTTGGCCTGCGTGCTTTGTGCATGTGCTGCGATGACATCACCCGGAAGTGATGTCATTGCGTTGGGCACATTGGGGGCAGGACTACTATCATTCGAGGGGGTGGGGTTCCCCCTGGCAGCCCAATTTGGACCCATTGAGCGGGGGTTCCTCCACCCACCCACCCCGGGGGACCTGGCACCCCTATACAGACGAGGTTGTTCTGCTATGCTGAAGCCACAATCTAAATGGCTCCACCCACTCCCCCTGAGCAGTCTTCGGTTCCCTCCCTTGCAGTAGTTGTTCATGGGCTGCATAAGAGCCCTGGATGGGCCAGTTCTGGCCCCCAGGCCTTATGTTTGACACCCCTGATCTAACCTATTATGCTTAAATTGTAGATTTTTTTTAAAATGGAACATTTAAAAAATGTATTATGCTAACAGATGATAACTAAAACTACTCACCCTGGTTTTGTTCCTATTTGCTTAATTGCAACTTTTGTTACTGTGTCCTATTAAGGGAGAAATAGATTAGGAATGGTTACAATGAAATAAGGTGGAATGAAATAAATATATGCATGTGTAAAAAACTTGGTAAAAGAGCTCCCTCTCTCATTAATTTGTATCTCCAAGATATTGAAAGAGCTGGTGCTTTTGATGCTTCACAGCATACTGCATGCTATGCTAACATGTTTTCTTTACACAACAACCTTCATTTTACCCATTCAGCAAATCACGTGGGTCAGGCCTGCAAAGTACTGCAAAGGGTTTTTTTAATCCCTATTTTTATAGCTCTTAAACTCCCAGTAGTGTTTACATAGGAGAAAAGCATGCTGTCCAAGACTGTGTGATGTTTTAATCTGGTAGGAAGGTCTATTTCTGCATAGCTATCACCACCAAGTTGTTTATGAGCACCATTGTAATGTCATAAAAAAAAGACTTTGGGGAAGAATTTTGGGGCATGTTTCTCTCATTTAACCAGGGGAAGCTGGTACTAACATCAAGTTGGTATAGATAGTGTGCTAGGCAAATGAGGCAGATTGAGCAGATTGATCGAATTAAGCAGGGAAGGCTGGTGTAATTTGGACATCCACCACCTCAGTCAAAGGCCTGGCAAACAGCTCCATTTCACAGGCCCTGTAGAATCGTAACAAATCCCACCCTTTATCCCATTTTAATGCTTAATTAGTAAGTAAGAGAGAAGCAGACAGAACAGCATAAAAACAGCTTTTCAGCAGATGCTTTTTTCATTGGTTTGACCAGCTATAGCATCACACCAGGCCTCAAGGGTCTCCTGTGTGATCCAAAAATGTTATTTTGTCACAAATATAATTTCCTTGTCTGTCCCACATGCTTTCTAGCCTCTACAGCAGACCTGCCATGTAACCTTAAGCAGGTGTAAGGCAGAGCTTCCATGCCTATCTCCTTTAAATCCTAAACCTAGCAGCAGTGCTGCCACTTATAGACGGCCCTCTGTAGCAGAATCATTTCCTGATGCCCACAACTGTACTCCAAGCAGAGATGCTGACTGACAGCCTTCATGGTTAGAGTCACTGCTGGAAGCACAATTGCAAGCCCCAGGAAGCACTTCCTGCTATTAACAAAAACCCACAATTATGTTTTCAAGAAGAAGCCCTGCCACCATGAGCTTTCTCTGTGTGGTAAAAACTGCTGCTCAGAGTGTATTTCTGGGCTCCGCGAATGCTTTCTAAGTGCTACAGGAGAGCACTTGTGCAACCGTGTACTTTTACAAGGACTCTGGGAAATAAACTCCCACAGCTTCCCTATAGTTTCCAGACAAATATGCTGTTATAGTTTCCATTAGGCAAGCACTTAACATTGTTCAAACCCCATTGTACTTGGTTTCTATAGGCACCGTAGAAATAAATGAAGGGTAAAGGAAAGGGTGGATCATTCCTACTGTACTGGCTTTCTCCTCCACCAAAGTTTGTAAATGTAAACAGATCTTTGGATTGCATCTCCGGTAACAGAGAAGGATCAACACCTAGAAGGATGGAACTGTAGGAACTTGCTCATTTCTAGGCGTATACCAGCTGACTGGTTTTGCAGCCTCCCAAAATGGAGTTTGGGCAATGCAAGATGGCAACAGCCACGCGAAACAAACTAGCAGCATCATTCACTCACTCTCTGTCACACATAGATGCAGAAAACCTTCAGAACAACTTCATAAAGGAAATGGTGCACAGCGTTTGTGAAAATATGGAGTGTAGCAAAGTGGAAAGAGAAGAATGGTCACTCTACCACAATGCGAACCACATCCACAACATACCCGTCACACTCAGGCAGACATCTCAATACCCCTGTTAAAGAAGACACAGCTAGGGGGGTGCACTGCCTTTCTGTAGGCATAAAATCCAGCCTTCTGGCTGTTGAGAAAACATGATAATGTGTGCTGCCTGCATAAAATGTGCCACAAAAATGTGCCACAAACAGACATTAACTTCATAATAATTTATTATGTAGAAAGGGTCTGACTCCTGTAGACACCCACTGAGTCTTTTCTGTAAGGGAGGTAAATATATTCTAGGGGGGTTGCATGTGTTCAATTTGGAAACTGTTCCACAGCGCCTCTATAGAGCCTCATTATGGATTCTCCAAGTCAGTGAGAATTTAGACCATTATCTTTGCCATCTTCTGCAATGTATCACAGAAACCCTAAGATGATAGGTTTAAGATTAGAATTGGGCCAGGGCTCTATCAAAGCCAAATCATAGCTGCATGCATTTAAACACAGGCAAAAGGTCCTTTTCTCCTCAAAGGAGGATGGTCTGCTATATGAGCTTAATCGAGACCTAGTTCCATTCCCGCCGGATGCAAGAAATAGACATGATTTAGTCTTGGTCTAGCAAAGGATGATATATTGAGACGTGAATTTAAAACAAAGAGTAAAAAAAAATTAAAAATAAAAATATTAAAAAAGAAAACGTTTAGATTATAAATATTTCAGTAGTTCTGACTTTCAAATTTAAATGGACCAACCTGTGTATTTTCATTTAATGCTTTGTCTTGTTGCCAAGGTGCCACAGCCGCAGGCAGGAGGAAGGAAAGATTGCGATCGTCATAAGCCAGCTCCGTAATGTAGGTGATTTTGATTAGAACCCTGGTTGAAGGTGGCAGGTTTCCAACAGAAACAGTAAAAATGTCCTATGGGGAAAAATATACTCATCAAAACAACATTTTTACAAGCAAGTCGACGTCATTTTACATGATGCTACCATGCCGAAAATCCTATTTATGTTATTAATTCAAGATAAAATTAGAGAAATCTATAGAATCACAGAAGAACTAGAAACTACTAGTAGTGGTTTACTGAGATATTCTACTTGAATTATTTGCAGATGTTCAAATTCACCATGTAAGATCACACCACCCTGCCTTACCTGGTGCGTCTGTTCCTCCCTTGGCACGGACTATGACTTGCCTATTGGGGCCAGCACACAGAGACTCAATTTACATCATGTGCACATTCTTGCCTTGTGCAGACATTCTATTCCTCCCCCCCAACCCAATACTCCATGAATTTCAGAGCGCTTGGTGGAGGTATGTCAGCAAGATATGAGACCATCTCCTTTGTCTTCCAAGTTCTCTAGTATCTGCAAAAGAGCTGGGGGAGGGGCGGAGTTGGGGGGGCAGTCTCATGTCATACATGCCTATGCAGTCATAAAAAGAATCATAGCCAGTAGCAACCACAAATAATAGCAGACTATTGCGAGCAGGCAAACCTTTGTGTACATCTGCTACAGATGCCACTTTCCTCACATATCTGTTGCCTCTGGTTTGGCAAGTGGGAGATAGCCAGTAGGTACTTCAGGGTGGACCAGATTTGGGGTTAGGAGTCTCTGATTGCCGTCTCCTAGCATTGGTTTATGCTGGGAGTGGAGGCCCCTAGAGCATGAGCACCTGTACGTTACTGTTTTCAAATCAGATACTTGTATTATTTCAGAAAATAAATGGAGCTCCATGTATGCTGATCTAATAAAAGGTATGATAAACCATCCTGTTCTCCTTACAGGGGCATCCTGATCCATCAAGTAAGCTCCATCGCCTCGAGTGACAGCGTCTCTGTATTCCCGGTGGGCTACTTCTTTTTCCTTCACCTACAGAAATAATTGCAAAATCAGTGTAACTGGTAAGAAAAGTTTAAGTCACTTCTACTATAGGTCTGCATTTGGAAGGAAATCTGGAGAAACAGGTGTGGTAGAATCATCCTCACCTTTTGGCAACATGATATAAGCAACTAACTTTCCAAGCAGTTAAATGTTCTTTGTTGTAAGTTAGTGCTTGGTAAATTATGGTCTGTATTTACCCTTTGACTTTTGGCCTTAAAGGACCAGTAGTTGTTTTATTGCTGTTATTGTCTTACGATTCTTGTGTTGTAAGCCACCCTGAGCCCACATGTGGGATAGGGTGGGGTATAAATTAAATTTTTATTTATTTATTTTATTGCATTTTTACCCCGCCCTCCCTGCGAACGGGCTCTTTACGGCAAGAAGGTCAGATCAAGGTATTTGGCTACCTCAAGATCCAAAGCCAGATCAAGGTATTTAGCTACCCCAAGACCTTTGCTCCCATGCTGCCCCAGAGTAGCCAAGGCATGGGAGCACAGGAAGTATCTCCATAGCCCCCCCCCCCCCCGATCCCAGGCAGCAATGACACCAGTGCAGGAGGTGCCAATAGGCACAAGCTGTATCTGTTGGTTCCTCCCATTTCACCACCAGCCAGCTACTGGCATTCCAAGCAGTTACTTTGGCAGTAAACTGGGCCTGGAAAGACCAAGTTGTTTTACTGGGGGAAGGAGGGATACACTGCTAATTTCTGGAACATGTTTTGTTTTGAAGTTCATACCAGCAAAGATAATACACATCCTGGAAGTTGCCGTCCCTCACCTTATCCACATGACTGGAATCAGCACCCATTTCAGCGGGGCTGCTGCCTGAGCCCCTGGATGCCTGAATGGCCTACCAAACTACAGATCTTGATCTCCATGGTACTTTCCTAGCACTTGGGAGTTTACTGAGTGAGATACAAGGAAGTGATGCAAGAATCGAGGAAGTGAGCAAACAACATGTTGTTGCTGGGAGAACAGGAAGTCTCTTACCTGGGAGAGGTTTCAAGCAGGACTCTTGCCAGGGGTCCATGATAACTTAGAGCCAACCATGCCCAGCCTATCCCCATGACCGTCAACCTCCAGATCATCTTACCTCTCCTATTATATGTTTCCCTTTGATGAAAGCCTCAAATCCACATACAGCAGCTGTGTCATCCAAAGGAAAGACGTATTTGGCTTCAATGGGGCTGTCAGATGTATTTTCATAGGTCTGAAATACTACCACCTGAAATGTATATAAATATTACGTGTGTGTATAATAACAAGGTATCGTTTCCAACAAAAAATTTCTAACCAAAGTACTTTCACTCAGGTGCTAGGTTTGAAAATAAGTATTTTCCATCCTATGATAAATATCTTGAAAACAGCTGAATGTTACCCTCTGCAAACAATGGACATTGTCCTTTTTAAACCAAACAAAACCCTAACCCAACAGAATCTTCAATAGTGTAAGGTGTTACCTGTGCCACGAAGTCTATTATTCTTCCCTTGATATGAACTTCTTTCAGAGGAATCGGGTTTCCAGATCTATCCAGAAGACCAGCGGCTATATTATTCAGCATATTTTGTCTTGGCATCTCATAATCTAAATAAGAAAATTTTCAGAAGAAGGATTAGGCTAAACTTAAACAATCAGGTTCAGGGTGGTTTTCCAATATTTTAAAGAAGTAAAGCTTAGAGGGGCCCTCTAAAATATCCTGGGTTTTTTGATGCTACGTGAGGTAAGAAACAATAATGGACTGTAGAGACAGAGACCCAAGAAAACTAGCTATACTCGAGGAAATGACATGTATACACAGGCTTATGAACAAGAGGGAGACGAGAAGGAAATAGGATGTTATGTATATGGGGGTGGGCTGTGATGCACAGAGACCACGATGAAGATCAATAGGGATATGCCAAGTAAGGCCAGAAAGAGACTAATGGTGGTCCCTTTGCATTATAAAATCAGAAATACAGCCACTAATCCCATTTACCAATTCTAGTTTCCCCATGAACCCTTTTGCTGAAGTATTTAGAAGAGAAGAGATTGGATTTATATCCCACCCTTCACTACCCAAAGGAGTTTCAGAGCAGCTTACAATCTCCTTTCCCTTCCCCTCCCCACAACAGACACCCTGTGAGGTAGGTGGGGCTGAGAGAGCCCTTTCGAGAACTACTCTTGAGAGAACAGCGCTGAAAGAATTTGTGACTGACTCAAGGTCACACCAGCAGCTGCATGTGGAGGAGTGAGGAATCAAACCCAGTTTTCCCAGATTAGAGTCCATGCTCCTAGCTACTATGCCAAACTGGCTCTCACTGAATGACTGAATTCTAAATTCCAGTTGATGGAACGTACCACCGAAATAAGCATCATAATTTTATACAGAAAATGTTTCTCACCTTTGGGCTGTGCCTGATGCTCTGGGACAGGTGCTTGGTCTTCTAGCTTAACCTGAATTATGGGATGGAATTCCTCTACTTTGTCATCAGCGAGGCGAAACTTAACCACATATTTCATTTTGATCTGACTCGTTCTGTATACCACAAACTCATCATCCTTGTGGAAGAAAACAGAAAGTAAACATTAGGAGCTTTACCAGAGCAACAAACCAATTGATGAGCTGATTTTGCATTAATGTCTGCTAAGAGCTGGTCATGACAAAAATGTTGCCAGCTAGAGGGAGATCCAGAATGGGCCAAGGTGACATGGTGAACCAAGAAGAGGTACACGGTAGAGAACCGATGCCTTCATTGGAAGTAGGGTTGCCTGTTCTGGTTTGGGGAATACTTTGAGATTTTGGGGATGGAGCCTGGAGAAGGTGGGATGGGGAGGGGAGGGACCTCAGCAGGGTATAAGGCCACAGAGTCCACCTCCAAAGCAATCACTTTCTCCTGGGGAACTAATCTTGGTTGCTTGGAGATCAACTGACCTTTAAAGCCCTATATGGTCAGGGACCTACTTACCTAAGGGACCACCTTTCCCCATATGTTCCCCAGAGAGCACTAAGATCAGGGTCCCAAAATCGCCTTGCCCTCCCAGGCCCTAAAGAAGCCAGGCTAGCTGCGATGAGGGCCAGGGCCTTCTCTGTGGTGGCCCCTTACTGGTGGAATGAGCTCCCGGATGACATCAGGGCCCTGCAGGACCTTCTACAGTTCCGCAAGGCCTGTAAAACGGAGCTCTTCCACCAGGCTTTCGATTAGGGTGCTGTCTTTAACATTGTGGCCCTGGCCCCCAACATCAGCACTAACTTAATAACCAATAGCCTGGCAAGAACCCGGATTATGGTGGTAGTTGACCATCTGGATGCTGAGAGAACGCCGCCATCTTTTATGAACACTTATGTTCCTCAATACCTACATTTTATATGTTGTGGTTAATGTTCCCTCTAAGCTGTGGAGTCCTGTGAGCAAAAATCCTTCTTTGTGAGCTACTGGCATTAAACTTGTGAGCGAGCGATTTGGCTACTGCATCAGTGAGTTTGCTCTGGAGTCATCCTTCCTGAGCTAAGACAAAAAATCTGTGAGCTGGAGGCTAAAAAACCGTGAGCTAGCTCACAGTAACTCAGCTTAGAGGGAACACAGGTTGTGGTTTTAATTCATTTTCTGTGTTTTAACATACCTCGTTGTTTTAATATAGATATATATTCTGTAAGCCTCCCTGAGCCTGCCACAGTGGGGAGGGCAGATTAAACAAACAAATAAATACATCTACTGGCTGTCTCCAGCCCAAAGGACGCCCACTCCGCCAGGGCCTTTTCCGTCCTGGCCCCCACCCTAGTGGAATATGCTCTGCTTGAGATCAGGGCCCTGTGAGACTTATTACAGTTTTGCAGGGCCCATAAAATGGCGCTGTTCCGCCAGGCCTTTTGTTGAGGTGGCAGATGCTCAATCATTTGGCCTTCCCTTGCTGAAAACTGCCCTATTACATCTGCCCATGCAAAGAGATGCTGTTATTATTTCCGCTGTGACTCTTTGTTCTGTCAACTATCTAGCCTTTTGGAGCCCTATCAATTAATGTATACTTCACCACCTTTTAAACGGCCTTAAGTAATTTACTGTGATAACTAGTTTTAATGACCCTTTAAGTTCTGTTGTTGTTACCTGCCCTGAGCCCGCTTATGGGGAGGGTGGGATAGAAATCTAACAAATACAATTAAAAAAACACTGTAACAGCAAGGGATCTCCAGGTGGCACCCAGAGGCTGACAACCCAAGTTGTGTAAGAGGGATGGGGAATCTCGAGGCCTACAAGCCTCATTAACTTCTGCTGAGCATTTTACTATACTGATCCTGGGGATCAAATGGGTCCCATTCAATGTTCCCTCTAAGCTATGGAGTCTTGTGAGCAGAAATTCTACTTTGTGAGCTACTGGCATTAAAGTTGTGAGTGAGCGATTTAGCTGCTGCATAAATCAGTTTGCTTTGGAGCCATCCTTCCTGAGCTAAGACAAAAATCTGTGAACCGGAGGCTAAAAACCTGTGAGCTAGCTCACACCAACTCAGCTTAGAGGGAACTATGGCATGTCTTTGTGCTTTCTTTTTAAAATCTTTACAACTTTAATTGTATTAATGATAGTTGTTTGTACACTGATAGAAGAATTCACGATATTCAGAGGCAGTCCAGTGTTAACTCCTATGGGATCACACAGAGCCTCAGTGCCTTTGTGCACTTTTTTCTTCAAGTGAAAACCACCCAAAGGGCACAAATTAAAGCACACACACACACGTACAGAATGGTTAACAACTACTTGATCATTTCAGCGATGTTTGGTATTCCCAATTGTGGTTGTTGTTGCGTGTGGAAGCTGGGAGGGGATTTTCTCTGCATGCGGATGTCTTGGGAAGTATATTTCTAATCCCAGGAAGCGATTTGTGGGGTACTTGGAGAGGGGGCATCCATATGGTGTTAAGTGGGGAGTACTGATTTCCTGTCTCATTCAAATTGCCTAGATAATGAAAACGGGGAGAGAGTACTGTACATCTTATGTTTCGTGTTTATTTTATTTTATATATGTCTTGTATCTACTTTATTCTTACATAGTTGTATTAAAACCTTTCTGACTTAAAAATGAAAACAAAACAACTACCTAATCACAGTACCAACATAAATGAAGCATTTCACAATGTTGTGTTGTCTGAGCTTCCTATACCTTGGATAGGAATGTAAGTATTAACAGAATGCAAGAATTGACAAAGTGAACTTCTCTCATCAAGATAAACATGCACATGGTGCTTTATGGTATTCAATGCACTTCATATGTAAACATTCTACCAATTCTTACACACCCAGGGAAATGCTGATCACCACTTTGGGGTCAGGAAGCAATTTTTCTCCAGGCCAGTTTGGCTGGAGATCCTGGAGGTTTTTTGTCATCTTCTGGCCATGGAATAGGGGTCACTGGGGGTGTCGAAAGGGAGGTATTTGTGAATTTTCTGCATTGTGCAGGGGTCACTGGGGGTGTCGAAAGGGAGGTATTTGTGAATTTTCTGCATTGTGCAGGGGGTTGGACTAGATGACCCCGGGGACCCCTTCCAAATCTATGATTCTACGAATACATAGTGATTTATATTCACATGATTTCAGCAGACCTTGCAATTACCCTGCAAGGTATGTCACTGTGATAATTCCCATACTCCTTTCTTTCAGGGGGGAAGGGGTTGCTGGGTTTTTTTCACACTAGGAAAACAGTGTGATTATTTGGATCTGTACCTGGAAAGCTGAATCATTGCCTTTTGCCTGGCGGATTCCGTGCACGCTTTCATAGCCTGACGGGGCAGTAGTTAACGAAAGATCCTTCTGATAAGTATCCAAACACCTTCCAAGTGCTACATCACAAATCACTAGCAGTCGAGTTCCATCTGTCTTATTAGGCTGAGAGTACTTGATGCTTGTACTGTTAAAACATTTGTAAGAGTTTTGATTTAAAAATTTTAAGTAGCATTCTGTAGCCCATGGCTTAAACCGTTTCGGTCTGCATGTGAGCCGTGGGGTGTTGGGGGGGGGGTTCTGATCTCTGACCACACACAAGTCTTCTGATCCAAGCTGGATATGACAGGATGGGCATGGCTGCTGTCCATGTGCCTGCGCCATTAATGTATAAACAGGAGGTAAAAGGGGATCTCATTTTTAGATGAAGAAGGGCAACACAGGATGGAGCAGAAGGCACTTAGGGCATGTTTTAATTTTTTTTAAAAAGTTAATTAGCCTAAACAGAACAAAATAAAAACAAAACATTGCATATTTTAACAATGCAATCCTGAACAGAGTTACACTATTCTAAGTCCACTGAAATCAATGGGCTTAGAAAGGTTTAACTTCGCTTTAGCACACGGCATTAACAGTTATTCCACCATAAAATAAGATCTGAACCACCCTTCCCAAGGTCCCTCTATCTTTGGGGCCAGCCACTTTTATAACGAAAGACTGCTTCATGCAAGACCATTTTCAACCCTTCCGGTTCTGTACCACATGACATATATATTTATTTTTGTACTTAATTTATATCCCAACTTTCTCCTCAATGGGGACTCAGACCAGCTTATACTGTTCTCCTCTCTTCCATTTTATCCTCCTACAAACTGGTGAGGTAAGTTAGGCTGACAGTGTGTGTGCCTGGCTTGCGGTTACCCAGTAAGCTTCCTCGGCACAGTGGAGATTCGAACCTGGGTCTCCCATATCCTAACCCAACACTCTAACCCAGTGGTGTTTAATTAATTTGTTATGAGGGCTGGATCAGACATAAATGTCACTTTGCAGGACCTATATTATTTTTTTACTCAAAATACAAACATGCTTAAAACTTAACATTCTTACAACATTTCTCTCCCTGATGCTTGCCCTCCCACTCTCACTGCCCATTACTCATTAACACTGGGACAGTGTAGAGGGACACAGCCTCTGTCATCTGTCAATAAATGACCAGTTGCCCGCAGGCCAGATAAGAGCCCTGGACAGGCCGGTTCTGGATGGGCCCACAGGCCGTATGTTTGACACCCCTGCTAACCACTGTACTGCACTTGCTATCACATAGACATTTCTTTCTGTGAAATTGATATATGTGCTCTTCACTTGGCCTCCTATGCACATTTAATTACATTTTCATCCCACTCTTCTTCCGACTCATTTTACTGACTCAACAAATACATGAAGAAAGCTAAGCTGAGGATTTACCTCCTGTTTAAGCTGAGAGCGAGGGATCAGCCCAAGGCCACGCAGAGAGCTTTATGGCTGAACAGGGATCTGAACGGGCTCTCTCCAGTCCTGGTCACACACTGTGGTTATTTTATCACTTTCTCTCTCTTGAAAGTGCAGGAAGCAGCATGACCTTGCCTTAAATTATACAGATCTCTACCTTTTCACCGTAAAAAAAGACGTCACTATAAATAGTCCAGACCTTATGGAATTGCTGAAATAAACGCCACAGCCCAAGTTCCCGGAATCAGTTCTTTCGATGCCATGTTCTTCAACTACCATCTTTGGCAGGAGGAGGCCCCTACAAAAGAAAGATTAACATTGTAAAGCATCCTGGTGCACAGACATGTGCCTGTCATGAATGGGGGGGGGGAGAGGATAAGCAGGCAAGAAGGACTCATAGAATCCATGCTCACTCTCTGTTTCCACCATCACCATCAATGAATAAGAACTACAGGGCATGAAGAAAGCTCTCATCCCACCTCTCAACCTGCAGCGTACCACTTTGATACCCATACTGATTGAAGAGGCCACAAGGACTAGAGGGAGAAAGGGCCACCGTTCCTCATCCCAGCTGCTTGCTACTGCAGCAGTGAGAAAGAGAGGCAATGGTCAATCTCCCGCTTGCCAAGAACCCTAAACAGCAAATCACCTTGACATTGTTTTGGCTATTAATTAGGAAAAACTTTTAATCTCTCTTTAGCCAGTTTGGTGTAGTAGTTAAGTGCGTGGACTCTAATCTGGGAGAACCGGGTTTGATTCCCCACTCCTCCACTTGCCCCTGGCTGGATGACCTTGGGCAAGCCGTAGTTCTGATAAGAGCTGTTCTTGAAAAAGAGCAGTTTCTGTCAAAGCTCTCTCAGCCCCACCTACCTCACAGGGTGTCTGTTGTGGGGAGGGGAAGGGAAAGGAGTTTGTAAGCCGCTCTCCTTTGGGTAGTGAAGGGTGGGGTATAAATCCAATCTCTTCTTCTTCTTCAGGGAACAATGAATGGCTAGACAGTTGCCACTGCATTCTCCTGTTCACAACTGGAAATACACAGAGCACAAAAGCAGGTACAAAATTTGGGGGCAGGGGAAATGTAACTCAAGCCACTACCGAGAAAGGATGCCAACAAAGTTGGAAGGAGATGAAGCGTGGAGTAAGGGCTGAATGTTGCCAAGAGTACTCTCAAAAGCAGCCGTTTCCATTCTTCGACTGACATTATATATCTGCAGAACTTCTATGGGACATTTGCTGAAAGACATTTTAAAAGGAATACAGAGATCATATGAATTTTCACAGGAGGCACATTTGAATTTCAAAACCAGCCACTACAGATACAGAAGCACATATGTGATATAACATCCTGCCTCACCTAACATCAGTGCCCAAGAGTGAGAGACTGTGCACTGGGCAAGGAGCATTGGGCAGAGATGCTGACAGAAGGAGTACAAGACCAGGAATACCCAGGAGTGAAGCAAGTCATCACTCTTTTGAATTTTCCTCCTATATGCTTACAAAAGAAGAAGGTTCGTACAGTCTTTCAGAACTTATTTTATAAAACTATGCCTTGGGGGAAAAAACACTTAGAACGTGGGCACTACAGCACTAGAAACAAGGTCTCAGTATGAAAACTTACCTGAAGTTATTTTGGACAACTTGCTCTTTAACATTATTAAACTCGTCACTATTTATATCCAGAACATCTATCTTGCACCCCAAAGACCGGTACTTGGAAAGGGATGGCGGGTCAGGATGTGACATACTTATTTCATGTACATTCAGCATGTCCCTGATTAGCTGTAAAAATAACAGAGATGTTTCATTTTATAGACAGAGTTCATTTTCATGTTCATTTTCTATACAGAGTTACAATTAGGCTAAACTTCACTAGTAAGTATCATCAAAAAAGATACTAGTAAGTATCATTAAGAAAAGATCCCTGTCCTGCAGAGACTGCAATCTAAAACTAGATGGGACGAGGTGTTGTTTTTTTAACAAAAATCAGAAAAAGAAAGAAAACAATCATTTGGAGAACATATAAGAACAGTAATGGCTTTAGATAATTACAGTGAAGGAATATTTGGGAAGGACATAGGCTTAAATTCTCTCTCTCTCCCTCTTCCTAAAGGTTTTTCAAAGCAAACTGAAGACGTTTTTATTCTGGAAGGCCTTGGAACTGATGGCAGCTGTCTTCTTGCACTGCTTGGCTGATTTTCATATTTTAAGGGTGTATGTTATTGTAATTACCTGCATTTTTAAATTTCTGAACTGTTCTCTACCTTGGTTGCCTGAGACACTTCCTTAATAAACAAAATCTATGCCAATTAAAGAACTCCCACTTGACACTTCCTTGCACATTAGCAATTTGAATTATGCTGATAGTGTAAAGAATGTCACTTGGTTACAACAGGGAGATACATCAGCCTGACAATAAAAAAAATAATTGGGATGCAACATCAGTGAGGGTTGTTTCCCCCCAAAAAACTGGGGAAACAGTCTGTCTAAATATATGGAATATACACTGAATCTCGAAACCAACCTCATAGGAAGCGTGCTCACAGCACTCTCTCTGATGAACATGATTTCCCAAACTAAGGACTCAGTGCACCCATTATTAGGAAATAAGTGTTTCACCTGGTCAGTATTTTCACACTGGTGATCTTGGCCAAAATTCATGACAAGCCTTGAACTGTAGAACTTTTTAGTGTGCAAAAGTGAAAGGAAATTTCACCACTGTGAAACCCATTGCACTTGTGATTATGATTACAACAAATCTTTACAAACGAAGGCACTGAAAACAGGCATCAAATGCTGGCCGCTTATCTAAATGTTACCTGGCAGAGATCCTGCTTGTTAGACAACAGCTTTTTGCAAACATTGTAGTCTATCTCACTTTTATGAGGTATGATCGTGTAGAATTCCGCTAACACTGCGGTCAGCTCGTTCGGAGATTTCCCCTCATCCAATGCCTTCTTGGCCCGAAGCAGAACTCCTTCCGCTTTGCTCACCTTTTAAGAAAACAAGGTATTTGGTTTACAGATCTTTGTTTACATTTTTTTAAAAAGACAAAGATGCGCATTCTTGGTGACATTAATGCTACCTCAGTAAGACCATAAGATTTCCCAGAGTTTTATTAGCCAGTAAGTTTACTGCACTCTGAAAAAAAGAAAGCCACATTCTTAGGCAGACCTTTGAGCTCATCAAGGAAACCTGCCACACTTTAGCCTTTTTGCCACTGTTCCCAGCTCCTTAATTCACACACATTAACACCAGATAAAGGTCTTATGGGGTGGATGGGGAGAAGAAGATTTCTGATGTTTGCCCTTTAAAAAATAAAAATCAGGGTAGACATGCCTGTTTTCTCTAGAAATTGAAAGAACAAAAGTCTGAGCCCAGTGGCACCTTTAAGACCAAAAAAGTTTAATTCTGGGTACAAATGTTTGTGTGCACTTCTTCGAAGGCTGCATGCGCACAAAAGCTTATATCCAGAATTAAACTTTGTTGGTCTTAAAGGTGCCGCCAGACTCCAACTTTATTCTATTGCTACAGCCCAACACGGCAACCCACCTAGAAAATGGAAAGGTTCACAAAATAGCAAGGGATTGCTTTGGGGATGGAAAGATTGCTTTCCTGATGGCTGCCTTTGTGATCAGTGATACTGACCACTCACAAAGTAGCGCTGGCATGGGGATGTGAGAGGGAGAACTGTGCATCACTTATACCAACGACACTGCAAACAATATCCAGCTGTCACCTATATGACAGCGCAGCCACATTCTGTTTGACAATCCTGACAGCCACGGGTGTGCACTGATCACCAGTGTAAGTGATCGCTACATAAAAAGAATGCTGTCTTGATGAAAGATCAATGGATCCCGTGCAACAGAAGACCAATGACCGTGCACAACATGGTGCAGAAGAACTGCCTACTCCCATATGAACCTACCCAACCACTCTGGTCACTTTCAGAGGTCCGGCTTCAGGTGCCAAAACTTTGGAACTCCCTTCTCATGAAGATTTATCTGTCTCCCTCTATCGTTATCGTCCGCAGGTGGGTGAAGATGTTTTTGAAGAGAAGAGGAGATTGGATTTATACCCCGCCCTTCACTCAGACTCTCAGAGTGGCTTACAATCTCCTTCCCTTCCTTTCCCCACAATAGACACCCTGTAAGATAGGTGGGGCTGAGAGAGCTCTGAGAAAACTGCTCTTGAGGAATCTGCTCTGAGGTGACTGACCCAAGGTCACTCAGCAGCAGCATTTGGAGGAGTGGGGAATCAAATCCGGTTCTCCAGATTAGAGTCCACTGCTCTTAACCACTACACCAAACTGGTGTTCTATTTGGCATTCTCTCACTAACACTTATTAGCTCTCCTCCCTGTTTGTGTGTTTTATGTGTCTGTATGTCTTATTTGCCAAGGAAGACTGGGGTTGCTGAGCAGAGAAAGGCAACGGGCAAACCACCTGTGCTCATCTCTTGCCTTGAACACCACATGGTTGAGGTCACCATAAGTCGGTTGGTGACTCGGTGGTACACTCTTCTTCTATGTTTTATTTAATTGTTTTAAATATATTTGTCTTTAAATTATTTTTAGCACTTGAAGCATTTCAATGTTTAAAATCTTTCAGTGTTTTAATATCGGCTGCCTTGGGGACACTAAATTGAGTGGAAAGATGGCACAGAAATGTTTTACATAAAATAAATAAGCAGAAGTCCTAAACAAACACACTGAGTACTTGAGTGCCCAGGTCGCGTCTGGGCCTGTTAATGAAGGAACCCATGGATGGGTCTCCTTCTTTTTTTCTGGAATTCTGTGGAGGAATTCTACGTGACAGCCATTTCTCCATGCCCCAATTCCATGTGCCTGCAAGTATGTGCACGAATATGGTACCCATGCTACCTAGGGAGGTGGTGAGCTCCCCCACCCTGGCAGTCTTTAAGCAGCAGCTGGACAAACACTTGTCAGGGATGCTCTAGGCTGATCCTGCACTGAGCAGGGGGTTGGACTAGATGGCCTGTATGGCCCCTTCCAACTCTGTGATTCTGTGATTCTACGAAGGTGATCTGGTGGTTTTCTTTCACCCAATCAGCACTCTGCTTGCTGGATGTGCAACCATCAGGTTAGAAAAACAATACAACCAGCCCTGCCCATTTGATTGTAGTAATCTCACAAGTCCCACAGCCTCATGGGATCACAGCACAAAACCACACTCCTATGAAGCAATGCTTGCACTAGGCCACAGCCAGAACAGAAAAGGAAAAACGGGGCCCTTTATCCAATCGAAGTATTGCCCTGTTTCATCCCAAGCCAGCTGGATTCTGCCATCTAGAAAGGGAAAACACATTCGCTTGGCAAAGCATTGCAGTTAAAATTGAACGGAATACATGTTTGCCAGGGATCAAATATTTTCAGGAGGAATGGCCTTACATCATTCAGGCTGATGCTGGTCACTGGTTTACGTAACAGATGTTTCAAGACCCCGAGTGCTTCAGCCCAGATCAGTTCCACAAAGACACCAACTTCTTCAGACAAGGTGCCACTGCTGATGGCTTCTACTACAAGCATCTGCAATACATCACAGTGGTCAAGACACGATGAAGCAATCATTGTTAAATAGCAGCTTGCATTTTAAAAAAACAACCTCATATAGAGAAGCAACAGTAAATTCTGGTGATTAAAATACATTTTTGGAGCCATCTAGGGTTTGCTAACAGGCCTGGAGAAAAATGTCCAGTCCCTTTAACAGAGGATTAATGGGAGGCTGAAGGCAGCAGGAAAAGAGGAAGACCCGACATATGATGGACTGACTCTATAAAGGAAGCCGCCGTGGCCCTCAGTCTGCAGGACCTGGGCAAGGCTGCTAAGGATAGGACATTTTGGAGGACATTAATTCATAGGGTTGCTGTGAGTCCGAAGTGACTTGACGGCACTTCACACCTACAATGGAAAGCTATCGATCAGCTGGTGTTATTTACCTCCTTGCCAAGAAAAGCTTTACCTCCCCGTTTCCATACATTAAGCCTCTCTTATAAAAGGGCACTTTTTACCAGGCTTGGCCATCTAGTTGATATGTTACAAAAAAGCAGCTGGTTTGTCTCACCCATTTTCTCTCCAAACATTTGTAAAACATACGTTTGGAAACAAAAAGTGTTATGTCCCATCTTGCAAAACACTTAGCACGTACTGTATGCAGTTCTTCCCAATTACTCCTATTCTCATTTCAGTGAAGTAGAGAAGAAATCGCTTTATACCCCGGCCTTTACTACCTGAAGGAGTCTCAGAGCAGCTTACAATCTCCTTTCCCTTCCTCTACCTACAACAGACACCCTGTGAGGTAGGTGGGGCTGAGAGAGCCCTTGAGAGAACAGCTCTGAAAGAACTTATGACTGACCCAAGGTCACACCAGCAGCTGCAGGTGGAGGAGTGGGGAATCAAACCCAGTTTTCCCGGATTAGAGTCCACGCTCTTAACCACTACACCAAACTGGCTCTCAAATACTTCAGGTGAATGGAATGTGATTGGTTAAAGACTCTGATATCCCAAGCTGACCCTGGGGAAAAAAGGAGTCACCAGATCAGACATCTTCTTTGGCTTCCTTGTACACGAGAGGCATGTGCCAATGAAATTCCCGTTGAAGAGAGGCCTCACATGTCTATATCCAAAGAATTAATTATCAGGCCAAGAGTTAAAAACTGTACTAACCTCTTGTAACTTTGTTGAAGCTAAATGTTCTGCTTCACGTGGAAAGTCATGTCTTAATTCAAAATCTGCTTTCTTCAGCTCTTCCATACAAAGCACATAGGCTCTTCGGGCCTCCTCAGAAGTCTTAGTTGATGTCCATTGTTTTTGGTACTGTGTAAAAAGGCATAAACACGTCACAGAAATCATCCCTTCACAGAATCACAGAAATTCTAGTTCACCTTGTGCTATGATGTAAATGGCTGTTTTTTGAAAGGTCTGTAAGCCCACTTCAAACTTGTTTAACTGTCAGAGTTCTTATGCAGCAAATCCTCAGAAATGTAGCTCTAACAGAGATCTAGAGACATCCAACAATACAACTGAGTGAACTCACTAAATTACAATTTCCTTATTTCTTTGAAGAAAGTCATGTCAGCAGGATTCAAGCCAGTTTAAAATTATCTGGATAGGTGTCTGAACAACTGAGCTTTTGTGCTTCGTGTGTAAGTTACAGATTCACTCTACAATCATGCTTTGAAGCCTAGGATCAAACTTAACTATGTCAATAGAGTATCACCGCTACAGAGCTAGGGAAAATAGCCCCAGCCCACTCCACAACACTGATGTTATCTTAAACAGTGTCATAAAAGAGAATTTGTGAAGACAAATGAAAAGGTGCAGAAAATGGTGAGAACTTTTTTCACGTCCCCCATAAAATTAGAATTTGGAGCATCCACTAAAATTGATGGGCAATTTAGAACATACAGAAGAAAGTACTTCTTGCTTACTGCAACAGGATGTAATGGTGGCCACTAACTTAAGTAGCTTTAAAAGGAGATTACAAAATTTACGTAGGACAGTTATTGTGGCAATAAACCTCTGAATAACACTGCTGAGGGGAACCAAGAGGGGCTGGGACTCTGCGCACTGCTGCAGCTTCTCCTGGAACATCAATCTGGCTCAATAAGAAACAGGACGCTAGAATAGATGGACCAGTTGGTCTGATCCAAGCAGGAATCCTTTTCAGTCTTTTTTGTTGTTGTTGCATATGTGCATGTGTGTGTGTGTGTGTGCACCTGAAAGTCATGGCGACCTCTGCAGACTGACCCCTACTGGGGGCCTGGAGGATATTCAGAGAGGTGGCTGAGTAAGGCCTGCCCCCCCCCCCAACTGCTGGTCTCCCATCAAAGTAGTTGCCAGAGTTGACCCTGTATAGCTTCTGAGATCTGAGGAGATCGGGTTTGCCTGGGCTATCCAGGTCAGGGCACCTCCTCTTCAGACTTAGGAGTCAGGAATAATACAAGCAGAGCATTCTAAGAGTGTTTCAATACTATGAGAGCACTAGACCTTGCACAAGCATGTCCCCAACTTACATAGAAATTGAGATGGGGCAGGCTGAGGTAGCAGGGTCAGAGTGTACTGGTTTTATCTTGTGTGCCAAGCATAATAATAGGCTGTTTCCGCTACAGTGGTGCAGTTCATGGGTTGTGATACCACCATTAAATTGGTATGAACAGAGGCTGGGCTGTCAGTCAAATTTTGATATATGCAAATGGTATACAAATGAATGCAATGGCCCTTTCTCACACACTCTATCCAGGTACTCTGGCAGCTGGAGTGGAGAGGCAGGATTGCAGTGGTAAGTCCTGACTATCTGACCTACATGCTATCACTGGAGTGTACATATTGAGCCTGTGCACATATACACAGCTATGTACAGACAGCTATACACACACAGGCTATAGAAATAGGTTCCAATGAACAAGCACAGTTGAGGCGGAACTTGTTGCTCCAATCCTGCTCCCTCTCCCACAATATGTCCATTCTAACTAGCTAAAATGTCTGAAAAGGGCTAATAACTAATGATATACAAGCTCCAATTTACAGTTCACATCCTTATGGCGAATGGCAGCTCATGCCCTCACACGGTACTATATGATCTTTCTAATTACTACTGATAGGGATTTTAATGGGGAAAAAAGAGAAAAAGACACAGTGACTACTACAGTGTGTTGAATGTTGCACTGAAGCCAGTGAAGGAAGAAACCAATGTGCGATCGTGACAGAAATCACAACCTACCTTGACTCCATCCAATATACTGTAACATGTGTGTATGCGGAAAGGATAATCACAACACTGGAGAGCACACTGAAGTTCAACAACAACATATTCACTTTGTGCTGTAACCTGGGGGAAATGGTGATTTTGTTAGTTTCCAACTTGTAGCTGCCCATCAGATATAACTCAGCCTGATGAGCTGCCCATCATACCATGAAACATCCATTATAAGAAGAGATTGGATTTATACCCCACCCTTCACTACCCAAAGGAGTCTCAGAGCAGTTTACAATCTCTTTTCCCTCCCCCCTCACCAAAACAGACACCCTGTGAGGTAGGTGGGGCTGAGAGAGCTCCCTCTAGAACTGCCCTTGAGAGAACAGCTCTGAAAGAACGTGTCACTGACCCAAAGTCACACCAGAAGCTGCATGTGGAGCAGTGGGGAATCAAACCCGGTTCTCCCAGATTAGAGTCTGCGCTCCTAACCACTACACCAAACTGTCTTTTATGTAAAGGACTTGATATGGTGGGCTGGATATTTTTTGTTAAGGGATCATCAGTGGAATTTTGACTTTGCTGAGGTGTTTCCCTAAATACCATGGTTAAGAAAGGTAGAGCCACTGGTAGATTTTTTTTTCTTCCCTACTGATTACATGTCACAGTAACCACTGAGAATGTAGTGAATATTGTCACATGAGAATGCTTAAATCCCAAATGAATGTTATGAAACTGGTATTTCCTCACTTTTTGGACATGCTCAAGTTAATTCTGGCAATCACCTTTAGGTGGCTGCAAACATTTACCAAAGTGCATCTGATAGGGCCCTGAATTTTCCAACCTTCCCTAAAGCTGTCCAGGATTATCAACATTTACGGGTAAATTTCAATCACCATTGAGCTTAGAACATTTTACTGCATCATATGTCACTTCCAGAGAAACGTAATTGAGACAGACACACCCCATTTGATACACAGCAGTAGCACTGTAATCAAGGCATAACACCGGTGAGAGGTCTATTGGTCATTTACTGATTGAATACTGGTTCCTTTACTGATGGAATAATATCAGGGATAATTATGATCTGTTGGGACTACTACGCAAGAAGGCCTTGCACTGAAGGTCTGTGTGCAGCAGACTCTGTCTCCCATAAGCATATGTCATAATAAATTCGTAAATAAATAAGACTTTAAGGTACTCCAAGACTGTTACGTTATTAAGGCTCCGCTTGGTGGAGCCCCTGCTGAGGCTGAACACAGATGTGATTTACATTGTTTTTACCACAAAAACAAGTTCTTACCTTTTCAAGGACATCATACTTTGCAACCTCAAAGTCTTCAGGAAAATAAGGGGTATTTTTATCATTATTTGAAAACCATCTGAAACCGATAAAGAAAATCAGACTGTGCACTGTTGCTGCATGCAAAGAAACACACTGCATGGAAATTGGTGGTCTAATTGAAACAATAAAGCTCCAGTTTTAATTGCGTACTAGGGTTGCCAAACCCTGGAGGAAAAGAATGTCCTGGCCCTTTACGGAATCTTAATGTTCTGTCTCTTTAAAGGAGCCATGGAAATTTCAGGTGCCCCTTTCCACCCATTCAACCTCTAGTAAAGAGGGAGACATTTTTTCCCTCCAGGTTGTTGGCAACCCTACCATGTATTCTTCTGAAGCCCATTTACTTAGAAAATACGTACGTTGTCTCTCCAGAGACTTGTTCAAGGTAACTCACAAAGCAACAGCAAACACAATAAAACCATAAAAAACACCATTACATTGTCAGTATTAAAAACAAGCTAATTTTTTGTGACTTTTTAATGTAACTGACATAGCCCTAGGGACAGGTCCATAACACACACACACACACACACACACACTTTAAAAGATGTGTGAGAGCCTGGGTAAAGATAAGATGCAATGCTGCAATTGGTTTCCACAGAAGGAACATGGAACCATATTTTCTTTTTGTGTAAAGCTGTTTACAAATCAAGAATACTCTCCTCCATCTATGCATGACTGTTTGGATCCCACTTATCCCATGAGGACAACTTCACTGTAGCACAATAAGTAACATGTGGATTTAGAGGCCACACCAAGGTTTTTCTTACCCCCAGGGTTCATTCATTATACAGGGTTCAAGCTTTTTAATTATGAAAACCCAGCCTACAGACAGACTCTGGAAGGGCCAGGTGGGGCCTTTCCTGTCCTCATGCATAACATCACATGGACCATGACAGCTGACAGGAATCAAAAGCCTCTTTGTCTTTATTATTGAAGATGGCAGGTGCAAAGACAGGTATACACTGGGGAATGCTCCCTCTAAGCTGTGGTGTCTTGTGAGCAAAAATTCTACTCTGTGAGCTACTGGCATTAAAGTTGTGAGCAAGCGATTTGGCTACTGCATACATTCGTTTACTCTGGAGCCATCCTTCCTGAGCTAAGACAAAAATGTGTGAGCCAGAGGCTAAAGAACTGTGAGCTCGCTCACACTAACTCCGCTTAGAGGGAACACGGGTTGGGAGGTAGTAGGGGAAGGGGCAAGAAGAAGAAGGGAGCACGGGGGGGGGGCAGAGTAGTGGGGAGCTGTTTGAGGGCTTCCACTCTGGATGTTTTTGTTCCTACTTCCCTTGGAAAATCAGACCTCTTGGTTATGTATTTATTGTAATTGTAGCAACAAGTGATTGTATTTGGCTTTGTTGTCATGAAACTTTTTGAAATTTTGGAATCTTTAAGATATGACTCTCTGATTTTCTTTCTTTCTTTCTCTTATTGTTTGTTTTTCTCTTTTTTCTCTTTTTTCTTTTTGTGCTTTATTGTTTTTTATACATGCAAAAATCTTCAATAAAGAGTTTAACCACCATGGAAAATAACCAGACCTCCATTTTGGTAAATGTTTTCACAATTTAAGCTGCTATCAACGGGGCAGAACGTTTTTTTCTCTGAGAGGTGGTGATAGGCCCAAGGTCACTCAGTAAGTTTCACAGCTGAGTTGGGAGCCGTGGCTGAGCCAGTCACACTGAAACCCCACCTTCTGTCCACTTCCCCCAAAGTAATATGTCTAGAGTACATTGGTTCAAAGAACACCTGAAAGTTGCCATTGCTTAAATCCATTTTAAACATCATAGGAATCAAAGAACTTGACACAATACAAGTTTCTAGTCTCAGCCAACATGCTTGGTAGAGGGCTTTGTTTTTCTTTAAATAATGAGGTTGGCCAATTACCTTAGTTCGTCTGTGTTGCTGCTATCATCAGACTTGCTGCTATCATCAGACTCGCTGTCGTGCCAGTCGCTCTCACTGCCATTTTTGGCACCGTCGTTTACCTTCTGACTGTCATCCAGACAGACAGAGACAATCTTCACATCTATTGGAATGACAATAAATATTTCCCATAAGGTTACACTCATATTTGCATAATACTGGTAAATCTCACAATTAAGAAGTACATTTGGCATTTGAAAAAGCAATTTTCTTGATCGTTAAAACTGCCTGTAATATAAAATATGACAGGAACACAGAGAAAGCATTCAGGTTTTCTGCTTTATATTCTGTAAAGACATATGTTTGTCAGGTTCAAGGTTCTGGGACTAACCTTCAAGGCCATAAACTGTCTGGGACCAACGTGCCTTCGGGACTGCCTCTCCTGGTATACCCCCTAAAGAGCACTGTGCTCAGCTGAGAAATATCTTTTGGAGATCCCTGGCCTGAAAAATATCCGGCTGTCCCCAACGAGAGCCAGGGCCTTTGTGGCCTGGCCCCAATCTGGTGGAACTCTCTGCCTTGCCCTGAGGGACCTCGTGCAGTTTTGCAGGATTTATGAGACAGAGATGTTCCGCCAGTCTTATGGTTGAGGACAGCAACATTTTTTAATCATCCTGACTCCTTCTCCATTGATTTCCCCCTTGGGGTTAGGATAACTTGATCTCAGACACAATCTAGAAAGGTTATTCTATTTGTTTGACTGTTTTTAACCATTTTAAACTGTACCTTTGAATGCTGTACACCGCCTTGAGCCCCAATTATGGGGGTAGGGCAGTTCAGAAATCAAATTTCAATAATAAAAGAAAGCCTGTTTTGCATTAGAAATTATACCACATAAGCTTATAATGAACTCCAAAATTCTCTCCACTGGGTGTTTTCTCAGAATTTGGAAAGCTAAATACTAACCAAATACTATTATGTCCAGTGATCAAGCTTGAAAGGCAAGTATGTTACATATCTCTCCTTATATATAATTGAATGGTGGGTGCCAAAGTTCTAATTCTAAAATGCACTCCCTTAGTGTATGGCTGATGGCACTGCTCCTCAGCATATATCGCCACCAATCAGAAGGCAAAGCCCAGGTCCCGCCCACACCACAACTGCTGCGACAACCTGGTCTTTTGCATATGGAAGCTGATTGGACTTCACTCCATTCCACACTTCAAACTCCCCCCCCCCCCCAAGGCAGTTGGAATGTCAGTTGCATATGGAATCTGCTGTATTCTGGTGGTGTGCAGGTCCCAGATTCATGTTTTAAAAGCAGACTGACACTGTTTGCCCAAAGCACTCTCCCAGAGCCTCTTTCTAGATCTCGTTGTATTTATTTCCACAACGGGCCTTATTTCTAGTAGGTTATAACACAGTAATTCACTTGTTTCAGTGGGTTTTAGACTAGAGTTACTCTGCATGGGATTGCACTGTATGCAGCCTACATCACAAAAAGATAGCTGCACTTGAAAAATCCTGGCACTGGCAGCAGTCTGCATTCCTTTGTTACATTTATTTGCCCTGACTTTCCAGGAACCCAGATTGAACATACAAGTTCTTCTAAGCAGCGGCTTGGCCTAGCCCTCTTTTTTTCGGAAACACAGACCTGCATCCAGCAGGCACCTTAAGAATACTTTTGCAATGGGTCTCGCCTCTGAATCCTTCAACTTTGCCCCCAATAAACAGAAGGAGCAGCAACCAACATCCATACTTAAAACGTCAAAATCAGGGAGAAACCCAGGAGGTAAATTCACCTTTCAAATGACTATCATGATGGATTTAATCTCCCCAGCTAAGACATCACATCGGAGCCAATTCCCATTTTACATTTTGGCACATTTGTTTTAAAAGCAAAAGTATACAGGGCCAGATAAAAGATGGCTACAGATATGAGGTGCTGTGTCAGTATCCGACAGGCCAAGAACGTAACTTACAGGCTCATGCTTTTGGCCACTTTTTCAAGTCAGATAGGTTCCATTCACTGGTTTGATACAGAATTACCATATTTCACCATTCTTTTCACCCCTAGCGAATCTGGCCACATTTACCCATGCAACAGTAACCTCCAGGCTAGACTATTGTAACATACCCTGTGTGGGACTGCCCTTGAAGACAATGGTGGAAACTTCATCTCGTACAAAATAATCAGCTCAGTTACTAGGTCACACCAACCATTTCACATATACTGACTGACAGTTTGTTTCTAAGTTTGATTCAAGGTGTGGGTTCTTCCCTTTAAAGCTACTCATGGTCTCAGACCTGTATACTTGGCATGATCGCCTCTCCCTGTGGTCCTCAGACCAACACCTTTTGATTAGCCCCTCCCATACATTATTTAGGATGGTCACTGCTAAAATCCAGGGCTTTATCAGTGGCTGCTGCTATTTTATGGAACTTGTTAGCATCTCCTTTGTAGAGATTCCACAAGTTGTACAAGGTAAAATTATTCAGGAGGCCTTTTGACCTTGTTTTTAACTTTTGTAAAGATTTTTAATTGTATATTGTTTCTATTACCATGGCAGCCCTCTTTCCATCAGTTTTCAGAGAAAGGAAGGCTAAAATGCTCTAAACAAAAAGACACAAATGGAAGATTTAGCAAGAGAAAGAGATGGGAAGGCTTAATTATTGCATTTCTCTTTGCTATGAAGTCAGCTCATTTTAAAATGTTAATAATTATATTGTAACTAGGAAAAAGGCCCGTTATGGAAATAAATACAACAGCCTCTAGAAAGAGGCTCTGGGCGAATGCCCCGGCCTTGTAATTGCAGAATTATGACAATGAAAAATTGATGATCAAGCACACTTCATGCAAAGGAAAACAAGAATACTGAAAGCCTCCCCATCTACTCAGTAAAGTACAGGACTCATTTCAGGAATGCTGGGGAATCTAACTCTGAGCAGCAGAAGCTGGTGGGAAATAAGCTTAAAGGGACAATTGCAATTTGCTGAAGGGGGTTACTTTCAAGCAAATGTACAGGAGCTTGCATTTGGGGATGGGCAATGCCACATTTATAAGGGGAATACAGACCTAGTTTAAGTGCTGTGTGGAGTCCTCATTTAAATTCTGCTTGCAGCTCAGTGTGGAAAAGCATAAAATGCATTTTTCTAAAAGATTTAAAGGGACCGTGTAACAGCGTGAGAACTCCAGATGCTGGAGAACTACTGAAGCTAAGCAACCATAGTCCCAAACAGTAAATGATGGTGCATAATAAATATTTACATATTCTCTCTCTCTCTCTCTCTCTCTCTCTCTCTCTCTCTCTCTCTCTAATAATTCAGTAAGACGCAAACTGACACAGCGAGGAGAAAATGCGCACCCACAGTGTGTGGCCTGGTGCGCGGTCCCTCAAAGGCTTAGCCACGTTCCATTGGCCATGTCCTCTGAGTCCCGCCTCCGACACAGCGTCACACAGCGGGCCGCGACGAGGCAAAGCACCAGCGGGGACAGACGATGGCCGGGAGGCGGCTTTCTGCCCAGGTGACACAGAGAGAGCCGGCCCAGGAGGCGAGAGCCGCCAGTGGCGGGAGGCGGCGGCCGCCTCGCTAACAGCAGGGAGGCGGGGGAGGCGAGGGGGACGCGCTATCGGAAGACGACGAGCCCCAAGCGTCAGGACACGCCTCGGGCAGCAAGGAGCGGCCAGCGGTCGGGAAACGCACTCAGGACATGCACCGCCTGAACGGAGCGACGCCAAGGCCAGAGCTGGAGAGACGGCCAGGAGAGGGACTGGCCGTGTCCTTCCCCTTAACGGGGAGGTGGGGCCACACAGGAGCCACGGCAGGGAACCGCGGGGCTAATGACAGGAGGAGAGGAGGGTCGTCAAACCCACCCACTTCCCTTCCCCCCCACTTTCTCTCTCTCTCTCCCTCCCCCACCCACCGGCTTCGCCAACCCACCCGCCCCGGCGGACACACGGAGGCGGCTCTCCCCCTCCCCCCTCCTTCCTTCACCCACCCACCCTACCTCTCTAGGTGGCCCGTTGTATCCGTCCTCAACGGGCTTTGCTCCCTTGTGTGTGTGTGTGTATGTATATATACATGCATATATACATGTATATATACATGTATATATACATGCATATTTAAATGCATGTAAAGAATTGTAGTGTGCACACGGGTCATGAAATTCTAGGTACAACAATGATAATTTAAGAAACCTCCAATGAAACGCTAATATCATGTACTCATAAGTGGACAGGGATAATATAATCCCAGGCGTGAGAAGTTTGCAACCCCTGTTGTTTTGTTAAGTGCAAGTACTTTTCAAATCAAGATCCAAGTAAGGTAAGCTTCTCTTACCAGGTGTACTTTCCAAGGCCTTGAGGGGTTCCGAGTCAGAAGGGGGTAAAAGTCTGTTTTCTTTGACTGAGTCCCATATGAAATTGACATCTACAGTGGGAAGCTGCTTCTTCTTGATGGTTTTCAGATGAACAGAACTGAGCGCATCAGCATCGTCAGTGACAACATGCGTACACTGAAATTAAGTTAGGAGAAGGTGTTCAAAATGTAGAATTGCTCTTTTGTAGAACTCTTGCTTGCAAGGCCAACAGAACGCATACAGGTACAACTGGTACAAACTGCTCCTTCTGTTTACGTTCTCTCTCCTTCAACTGCAGCTGGTAAAACTGTTAGAAGAACCAGATGCAACATCCCAGTGCCTCAGCCTCCAAGAAGGGACCCCAGAGTAGCAGGGGTAGACAGGCAAGCACTAGATATCATCCTGTTTACTCTTCTTTCACTGAACCCTTAGAAGTGTTGATCACCTTTCTTAGGGAAACCAACTTCCTTCCATCTCGTCCTTTCTCTCTCTTTCTCTTCCATGCACACAAGATGGAGAAGCAGGATGCCTCTCAGCATCTGAATCCATTTCCTAGCTAGATAGTATAGGAACTGTCCCTATCTCTCTACCCTCCACTATCAAGTATGTATTTCTAGAATAAAGTAGTTCTTATTTTGTTTTAAACTGAAACGTGGCTCTGTGTAAATCTGTAGTCTTGCCAGCACATGTTAGGCCCAGGAAGCACTGGTGCATTAAAGACTAGTGTGCTCTGCTAAACATCCTCAACAATATTGTAGCACTTTAAAGACTAACATTTACTGCTGCGGAAGCCCTCCTGAGCTTTAACTCATAAAAACTTAACGCTACAATAAATGCGTTAGGAGTTGAAGATGACACAAGAGTCTTTGTGAGACTCACAGCCTCCTCCTTCACATGCAGTGCAACTGACCTGCCCAGAAATCAATACAAGACTTACCTTATCATTTATTGCAAATGTTATCTGCCCGCCATTTTCTTTAATGCAGTCCTTCAGCTTGTTCTTCTCCTGAATGGTTATTTTTTTCAGTTTCAAGAAAAATCCACAGTTGGTGAAAATTGGCTCGGGCATCCTGCAAAGGCAAACCTCAAACTCAAATGGTTGCATGCTCTGACTCTGCCATCGGATCACTGTGAATGGGCCTATCCCTACGTTTTTCCTTTAACTGTAGTGATGTTGATGTTGGAACAGAGTCCAGGATGGGACAAAAGAACACTAATACTCCTAGAATGGCTGTGAATGTTTCCTAAATGAATAATTCACCTTTGCCTGGGAGAAATGACAGAAAGGAAGAACAGAGAGAGCTGTGAGTTTGTTGAAACTGAAGCACCTTGAGGTGTAGAGTCTCTCAGCTGTCTTGCAGGGCTGCCTCTTTACCTCCAGTTATGTTCTGCCTATGCATTCATAATTTTTTTAAAAAAATCACAAAACATACTGGAGTTTTTTGGCATTCTAAAGAACCAACAAGTTTTTATCTACCACAAACTTTCACAGACTAGAGCCTACCTCTAGAAACATTACAGACACCAGCAATCTCTAGTACTTCCCCATCAAAAGAAAACTGCATTCAGTAGCTTTGCCCTGGAACTTATGTCCACATAAGAATATTCACAAAGAAAACTGTTTTTTTTAAGTTCCTTAAAACTGTTAAGTACTGCTCAGTGTACATTCATTAATACAGACATGGCCAACTTGACACTTCCTTATCAATCTGTATATCTAATAGTGAAAGCGCCCCCTGCATGCGAATATCTAAATCCACACATCGGGGCACCTGGGGGGCAGGGGGATTTTCCTGCACATCTGGGGCGATCCCCAGATATGCAGAAAAATCTAAAAACTGTAAAAAAACTATAGGGGGGATACTGAAATCCCCCCAAAAGTAAAAGAGCGTCCCCTGCGCATGCGCAGGGAACGCTCTTGGAACAGCTTCAGCGGGAGGGGTGGGGGGAGAAGGCTTGGCCGACTGGCGAGGCCTTGCCACCGCTACCAGCAGGGGAGGAAGGAGAAAGTTTGGCAGGCCGACGAGGCCTTGCCACCAGGGGGAGGGAGGGAAGTTTGGTGGGCCAGCAAGGCGCTGCCACCGCCAGGGGAGGGGGAAGCTTGGCAGGCTGAGGTCAGGCCTCGCTGTAGGTGCCGGGGACGACAAGGGAGAAGGCTCAACTGTGGCTGCTTCTCCTGTGGAGCGTCTTCCCCCTCCCGCGAGTATCGCGGGTCCCCCTTCTTGTCTTCTCTTAAGTTCCAACTCCACACCTGAGATTTATCCATGACAATCTTTATTATTTTGGCTCATGGAAGAAATTCCTAAAGAAACCCCATCTGAACTCTAACAACTTCCACCCTGCCATGACCTGAACTTTGATCAACACTCATGAGTAGACCCATCCAAAGCCCATCACAGAGTTACCATGCACCAGCAGGCAACTGGAAATTTACATTCAGGCCTTGTTTGTTCTTTTCCTGGATGCATCTGTTCATTCACTGTGGGAAATGTGTTGTTGGAAGAGATGGACCCTTGGTTTGATCTAGGGTACTCTTGTTTGTTCCTAATCCAAACCTTATCAAAAATACTTCTACACCTCAAGGAAAGGTGTACTTGAAAGATTTGTACACAGCCATGGTGTGGTCTCATTTGGAATACTGTAGGTCCTGCCACACGAAGGAAGAAGGGACGGCCAAAAGTGCAGCTTTTAAAAGCCACACCTAAGTAGGCACGCGGCGGCGGGATCATACAGATCCCATGAGCCGCTGTGCATTTGCTCCCCGGCACGATCAGATGCCGGGGAGACGGGGAGAAAGCCACGGGAGTCTGCTGAACTGCGCATGTCGGAGCATGTGCAGTTCGGCAAGGAGCCGGGGATGCGCCGGCGAAAGAACGTGCCAGCGATCCCACGGCCGCCGTTGCTGCGGCCGTTGGAAAAGAACCACCTCGGTAGGTGGTTCTTTTTTGGTGCGGATCATTGCTGGAAGAGCCGGATCGGGGACGGACACGGTACGCTTCCCAGATGTTGCGGTGGGATCGCGCTCGTTTGCTCCGCCCCCGTTCCGTCCGTCTTCCGGCCCTAATCCTCTCGTGTGACCGGGGCCTGTATTTAGTTCTGGTTGCTATATCTCAAAAAAGACACTGCAGAGCTGGAGAAAGTACAGAAGAGGGCAACCAAAATGATCAATGAGCTGGAGCATTTTCAGTCTGGAATTTTTTGGTTTAGAAACAGGCTTGGGCAGGGGGTGAGTCAGGATAGAGATTTATAAAATTGTACATCCAGTGGAAAAAGTAGATAAGAGGGAGCTTTTCCTCTCTTTCCTGTAGCAGTAGAACTTGGGGGCACCTAATGAAGTTGATGGGCAGTAGGTACAGGACAGACAGAAATACATGAACAAGTAATTAAATTGCAGAATTGACAGTGGAGGTTGTGATGGCCACAAGCAAAGACAGCTTTAAAACGTGGTTATACCGATTCATGGAGGATAGGTCTATGAGCAGCTACTATCCATGGCTAGTAAAAGGAACCTGTATTCAGAGACAGTAAGCCTCTGAAATCCAGCACTGGGGGGGCAGCATGAGGGGGAAGACCTTGGCTTCTATTCCCTGTTTGGTGGCCTTCCAGGGAAGCTGGTTGGCTGCTGTGTGAAACAGGATGCTGGACTACATGGACCAATCCAGCAGGGTTCTTCTTATGGTCTTGTGATTCTAAACAGACATTCCACTCCTTGCAACCAGAGAAAGAGACAGACTGACAACACCCATCATGGCGTAGGGTAGAGTGTTGGTTGAGAGATCTATGTTCAAATCTCCGCTCATCACAAAACTCACAGGGCAAGTCTTTCTCTGGCTAACTTACCTCACAGGGTTGCTGTTAAACTAAACTAAACTACTGGAAAGAACCACATGTGCTGCTCTGACCAGCCCCAACCAATGAAATACAGGCTGTGTCTTCTACCACCTTCATTGATAGTGGATAAACACGGCAGGCTTGGTCTTCACAAATATTTTTTTATTCAATGGTTCCTCCCTCAGAGAGCTAAAGTGCAGGGCTTGGTTGTCCTAGAACTGGCAACAAGTCTGCACTGCCAGATAAAGCAGCTGGGCAAACTTAGGGTCAGTTCTGATGAGAGGCTCGATGCTCACCTACTTTCTTCCTGAACTGATCTTATGATAATACAGGGGTGGCCTTAACTGAATCACTGTTATTGTTTTTCATTTTCAGCCTCCCCTGCCTTGCAGAGCTGTTAAGAACATAAGAACATAAGAGACGCCAATGTTGGATCAGGCCAAAGGCCCATCCAGTCCAACACTCTGTGTCACACAGTGGCCAGAAATACCAGTGCCATCAGGAGGTCCACCAGTGGGGCCAGGACATTAGAAGCCTTCCCCCTGTTGGCCCCCCCCCCCCAAGCACCAAGAAGACAGAGCATCACTTGCCCCAGAGCCCCTATCTATACCTTGTGGCTAATAGCCACTGATGGACCTCTGCTCCATATGCTTATCTAATTCCCTTTTGAAGCCGTCCATGCTTGTAGCCGCCACCACTTCCCGTGGCAGTGAATTCCATGTGTTAATCACTCTTTGGGTGAAGAAGTACTTCCTTTTATCCGTTCTAACCCAACCGCTCAGCAATTTCATTGAGTGCCCACGAGTTCTTGTATTGTGAGAAAGGGAGAAAAGGACCTCTTTCTCTACCTGCTCTATCCCATGCATAATCTTATAAACCTCAATCATGTCACCCCTCAGTCGTCGTTTCTCCAAGCTAAAGAGCCCTAAGCGCTTTAACCTTTCCTCATATGGAAAGTGTTCCAACCCTTTTATCATTCGAGTTGCCCTTTTCTGCACTTTTTCCAAAACTATAATATCCTTTTTAAGGTGTGGTGACCAGAACTGCACACAGTATTCCAAATGAGGTCGCACCATTGATTTATATAGGGGCATTATGATATTGGCTGATCTGTTTTCAATACCCTCCCTAATAATCCCCAGCATAGCATTGGCCTTTTTTATTGCTGTTGCAAGCATAAAAATGGAGGAACGGGGAAACCTGAGTTCTTTGCAGGGAAGGGCAGGATAAAAATGTAGACACATACATACACAATGAAATATAAATCTGACAAACACTCTAGATTAAAGTGACCACATATATAAAGGAAAGCAGAGTTTCTGTAGGTATGCAAGGGGATTAGCAGGTGTTGACTGTCACACTGGGGGAACAAAAGCTACACCTGTTGAAGTTCTCTATTAATGAACTGTTAAAAGTACAGCAACTTTGTCCTGTTTGCACCGGGCCAGCTCAGTGATGTTTTGCTTACACTGCTTTGTACATTCAGAGGGGTTGGTATCTGAACTTAGGCAGATCATGAGAAGGAGTGCAGGATAGGTTGCCTCACTGCTTAGTTGTCATGGCTCTTTTTTAAACGCCCAGGGAAATGCTGAGTGCCACTTTGGGGTCAGGAAGCAATCCTGAAGGTTTTTTGTCATCTTCTGGGTGTGGAACAGCAGTCACTGCGGGTGTGGAGGGGGAGGTACTTGTGAATTTCCTGCATTGTGCAGGGGGTTGGACTAGATGACCCTGGAGGTCCCTTCCAACTCTATGATTTGTAAAGCAATGCTCCTGATCCAAGCCACAGCAATTTATGCAATACTTCTGGTAAATTTCATCTCCGAAGATAGCAAAAGCTCCTATTGTGACACAAGGCTTGCCCAAAGCAAGATGTAATATGGAGTCTTGCAAATGTTAAAAAAAAATTTACACTGAAGAAGCAATCCTAAGTAGATCAGTTCCACGGTAAGTCCCATTTTATTTGATGCAATTTGCTCCCAGGAATGTGTTTTTAGGATTTCAGTCTCAACAGAACCCCTAAGGTCCTGCTCATCAAATATCCCCAGAAAATCCTTGTCTTTAAAAGCCCCTGTGTGAAAGCCACACCTAATGCTGGAACCAGCTCTCAAAAGGGACGAAGGAGATTGTTTTCAATGACTCATCAGCCATCCCTGATCCTAAAATAAATAATATGAAACCAGGCAGAGTTCATTTCCTGGATTAGAAAATAACACCCCTTTTTTAATACTACAGGAGTGACAATGTACAGGACCAGTGTAGCATCAGGATCACAAATTTTAAAGCATCAAACAATCTCCAGTCTTTTATCCTACTGCTTGACTAGGCAAGGTTTGGGAAGAATATGTTCTACTGTTATAAAGCGGCAGAAAAAGCAAAACCAAACCAAAAGAGAATAGAAAAGCTTGGGGGAGAGAGAGAGAAAGAGAAGTTCAAATCCATGAAGGTCCCTGCTGGGCGATCCGGGCCATTTACTTTCTCTCAACTTAGTCTGTTATGACACTTTCAATACTAGCAAGACGTTTTTATCCCGCTGTATGCTTTCGCAGATCCACCCTCAGATGCAGGTAAGTAATAGATCCTGGACAAACCGATCCATCCACAAAGAGGTTATGGAAAAGAAAGACTGCAAACGGCAGGATCACAGGGCCTATGAAATGCAGAAATACTTGGTTGTGATTAACGGGACTAACTCTAATTAAGCCTACTCAGAAGGAAGTTCCATGTTATTAAATGGGGCTTACTCCCAGGAAAATATCGTTACGCCTGCAAAACGTAAAATGCAAGTGCAATTTTAAAAAGTACAAATATCATTAGCGGCAAGTAGCAACCTCCCTAGTTTTACTAAGCTTGTAAAAACTAACCTAGTACAGACTACTAGTAAGTCTATAATGGCGGAGGAAATCCCCGTTCTTCTGCTTCCCCAGTTGGGTCGCCAAGGCTACTCTTCGGGACTCCTCCGCCTCTGCACGACCAGCAGAAATTCTGGAAGCGAAACTGGCAGAGGAGCCCTGCTAGAAGGAGAGAGGGGAAAGCTGGCAACCCCAGTTTTAGTGAGAGATGATCCGATTGGCGACACTATTAAAAAATATCCGATTTGATTGAAAAATCAAAGGCGAAGCAGAAAGGATTACGCACCTGCAGCAGCACCAGAATCACAGCGCTGCAGGCACTTCCCGGTTCTCTTGACAAGGCGAGGTTCCCGAAAGCGACTGCGCCACCTCTCTCGAAAGCAATGCGAGGAAGAAAGTACCTCCCACACACAAATCAGCAATTGGTTGCAGATGCGAACCGAACAATCGAACACCGAAAAAGAGTGCGGGCGCCCTCTTGCGTAGCACGGGTAACAACAACGTAGAGTTCCGTATTCATTGTTTTGTAGCGGTAACAGATGCAAATCTTGTGGCTCCTGAAACAGGAACGTTTTATTCCAGCATAAATGGACTACAAGCAGTTTTTCAGATGCCACATAAGGAGTGGCCGCGAAACTTTGCGCAGGAATAACTTGTGTTAAGTCTTTTAAGTGCCACAAGACTGTTCATTTCTAATTATTTGGACTAGAGTGCTCTTGAGCATGTGCAGAATACTTTTCTGCTGTGACATGACTACCGCCAGCCCCTAAGGAACATCTGGCTTTAAGAGGAATAGAAAAGCTTCCATTGCAGAGAACGTGAGGGGGGATGTACTAAAAGGAATGACAGGCTCGCCCATTGGTATAAAAAAAAAAAACAATTCCACCCTCCCCCAAAGTGGGAGCCAGGGATGCCAAATGACTTGCATGAGCTCCATTGAAATATATTACAGCAGCACACAAAAGATGAAATTAAAATGCAGAATGGATTCTGAATGAAGGTCTCTGGTCTCAGACAGATGGAAGGACAGCTGCCAAAAGTGGCATGATGCCCCCTGGGGAGTAGCAGAAATGTTCTGCCAGTGCAATGGGACCCCCGCCCCGCAGGGAAAAGACAGTCTCTAGGATCAGAACCAGTGCTCAGGGACTGGAATGATGGCCCCTAGAGTGGAATAACAGTCCCTTGGAAGAGAATCAATGCTCTAGGACTGGAATGACAGCCCCCAGAGTAGAATGATGGCCCTTGAGAGTAGCAGGAGTGTCCTGCAGCTGCAACAACAGATCCCAGAGTGGAGTGATGGCCCCCTGGGCATAGCATAGGAATGCATGAGCATTCTGAGACAGGAATGACAGGCCCCCAAGTGGAAATACAGGCCCTAAGAATACAATCAGTGCTTTGGGACTGCAATGACAGGATACAAGTTTTGTAAATAAATAATAATAAAGAATGTGGCGGTAGAATGGAATGCACCACTCAGTTCACAGGGGTGGATTCCAGCTTTGAATGCTCCAATAAAACTGTATTCAAGTAAAAGGCTAATCCACGAAAAAGGTTCCATCATCTCTAAACAAAGAGATTATTTACTCTGTTCTCTCAAGGCAACTTACCTTGTTCTCTTCTCCATTTTATCCTCACAGCTACCTCAAGATACATTAGGTGGTTGGTGGGCTAAATTTTCCATTCGCAGGGACTTTTACACACCAGGGGGCATCCCAAACTGTGATCTTCCAATGATTCCTACATTGTCCTACATGCCTGACATCAGACTGCAATCCTGTGGGCATTTTATTGGAAACAGTGGCATTTGTGCATAACGGGATCAAGGTGTAAATTATTACTGTGCAATAGTAGTAGGTGTCTCCTGTTATTCTTCCTGAAGCATTAAAAAGAACATTCCATTCATTCTCTACTGGATGCCTCTGAAAACAGTGTATTTGTCATAGAACAGAGTTTGAGTCCAGTGGCACCTTTAAGACCAACCAAGTTTACTTCCGGGTATAAACTTTTGTGTGCAAGCACACTTCTTCAGATACTTCGTTGGTCTTAAAGATGCCACCCGACTCAAACGTTGTTCTATTGCTTTAGGCCCACACGGCTACCCACCTGAGTTTATTTATCAGTATTTAAAAAGTGTCACAGGGGGTAATTTTTCATTTTGCAGCGTGTAATTCACATTTCTAACTCCCCAATTCCGATGGACCATGCTAAACAAATAACGGGACATACTAAAACTAAGGACAGCGATTGCCCATAGAGAATACATGAGTGCCCATAGAGAATAATGGAGAGTAGGCTTGCCCAGAGGGGATAGTGCAGTACATAATTGCCAATAGAGAATCCAAAATTGCCAATAGAGAATCCATGACTGCCCATAGGGAATAATGGAGACGTCACTTGCCCATAGGGGATAATGGAGTACATAACTGCCAATCGAGATTGCTCATAGGGACATAATTGCCAACAGAGAATCCATGATTGTCCAAAGGCAATATTGCCCAGAGGTTATTCTGGCTCTCCCAGTTCTCGTTAGGGGTTCTTTAAAAAGTTATGGCCGCATTCGCTGTCGGCGCGGAATGGGGCGGGGGGGGGGGGGGAAGCAACACGTTCTCCCACCTCCCTGAGCCCGGGGCAAATTCTACCTCTCGGGAGAGGTCCTTCTGGCTCTCCCAGCTCTCCTTAGGGGCTCTTTAAAAAGTCATGGCCACAGCTGCTGTCGGCGGCAGCTGCAACAACCGTGCAGGGGTGGGGAAACGTTCCTCTGCCTCCCTGAGCCCTGGGGTGGTGGCCTTGGACTCCTAGGGGCAAATTCCACCTCTCACATTGCTGCTCGGACATCACATGCGAGAGGTCATTCTGGCTCCCCCAGCTCTCAAATGTTCCCCCGCCTCCCTGAGCCCCGGGGTGGTGGCCTTGGACTCCTAGGGGCAAATTCTACCTCTCTCGAGAGGTCATTCTGGCTCCCCCAGCTCTCGTTAGGGGCTCTTTAAAAAGTTATGGCCGCAGCTGCTGTGTGTGGGGAGAGGTCGTTATGGCCGCTGCTGTTGGCGGCAGCTGCAACGGCCGTGCCCCCCCCCCCAAAGTTATGGCTGCCGCTGCGGCAACAGCTGCAAGGGGGGGAAACGTTCCCTGCGGTGGAATTTGCCCCTAGGAGTCCAAGGCCACCACCCCGCAGCTCAGGGAGGCGGGGAACGTTAGGTCCCCTCCCCCGTTGCATCTGCCTCCGACATCAGCTGCCATAACTTTTTAAAGAGCCCCTAACGAGAGCTGGGGGAGCCGGAATGACCTCTGGGCAATATTGCCTTTGGGCAATCATGGATTCTCTATTGACAATTAAGTAATCCATTATCCTCTATGGGCAAGCGTCCTCTCCATTATTCCTTATGGGCAGGCATGGATTCTTTATTGGCATTGACTAGACAACAGCTTGTAAAGATGTTTAATACTATTGAACGTTGTGTTGCATACTTTTGCTATTGTAAAAGAGAAAAAAAAAGATCTCGGTAAACAATCTCACAACAACCCCTCCCCCTTTTCACAATACCCACGAGGCAAAAAACCGTCTCCACCCCAGAAACAACGGGAAGCCCTTAGCCACGCCCTTCAACTGCCACCGCTTTGGGGCGACCAGCGCCGTATTTACCAACCCAACCTATATAACGTCCTTTCTTTCCCTTGCCATTTCTGGGAACTGTAGTTCTCACTGGGGCAGTAATTTCCCTTCTTAGGTCGAAGGCCGCGGTCGACAGTGAACTACAACTCCCACGGTGCCTTGCGGCCGGTATTGTTCAGCCTGTGGCGCTGGGAGCTCAGAGGATGGCGGTAGGTTTGTAAAGGGTCTCTAGCGGGTGTCGCCGAGCAGTGAGGTAGCTAGTCAGTAGGTGAGTGAAGGGGCCGGGAGCGATGCTTGGGGCGGGCAGGAATGATGCTTCGCGCTTCCTTTCATGCAATTGTAAGAAAATCTTTAGTTTCCATTGGCTGCGTGTAAAAACCGTACTTGTAATATATTTCTATAAAATGCGGATTCTGGTGCGTATGAGAGGCACGCGGTTTTTCTTTCTCCCCCCTTTGCAGGTACTAAAAGCCGGACAGCAAATTGTTGGGGTTTGCTAGCAGTTACAGTTAGGATTGGAATTGGTTTTCCAGATGGCCACCTCCGCCGATATCAGTTGGGAAGAAAACTTAACAGCTCATTGGATGTCCAGTGCCTCCCGGGCTGGAGTCATATTAAACCCATGTCTCCCTAGTTTGAGAACCTCTCGAGCAGTCAATATTGAAAATGCCTCCTTGAGTTTTGCCGTGAACTCGCTATGCAGTTCAAGCTGCGCTTCTCTGAGCGAAGACTCTCTGCACGGGGAAGACGCCTCGGAGTCTTGCAGTCCTTGTGAAGAACAGCTGGATGCGGCTAAAACGCCTTTTCCATTTACGTTGGCGAAGAAGCAGCCAGTGCTAATGGTTAAAGAAGGTCCAGCCCCGTGCAAAGCCCTGCAAAATGATTCTGAATGTAGTCAACAGGATGATATGCATGAAAGATGTTGCAAGGAGCCACTAACACAGAAGCTTGAGCAGGTAAAAACTTGCCTACGTTGGGCAGCGTTAGTATTGTTTCTGTCAAGGAAGAAAATATGGGCGAATTCACAGGATGGCCTGGTGTAACTTGTACACCACTAAGCTGAATGCAGCCCATAAGAGGTCTGATACAAATACTTAAATTGTTTTTGATGCCTTTCTGGGCCGTAAATACTGGGATGTTTTGAGTATCTGAGAGGATGCCAGTATGTGTTTGGGGAAATGCATTTATGTGGTGTGCAACTGGTAAAGTGCATTTATGGGGTGGATTGCAACTTGTATAGACCTGCCAAGGAGTCTGGCCTGTTTTTGATTAGGAAAATGTCTTGCTTAATAGCCTGTATCCTTTCCCATCCCTCTGCTATGATCAAAGGGAATTTTGCCCATGTCAGCTCAAGGAGTTAGATCTAACAGTGTGTAAGCAGAAAGGAGAATGTCTGTGGCACAATTCTGCATCTTAAGCAGTTAGATTCAAGTTCATTGGCACCTTAGAGACCAACAAGATTTCCAGGGGATGAGCATTTGAGTCAAAGCTCCCCTCATCAGATACAGATGCTTGAATACAATTTATAATGAATTGACAGTCTGTGTATAGGCCAATGGAATGTACAACAATGGGGTTCACATGACTTCATTTTATTTGGTTTGGAAAATTATATCAGAAAAAATACTTTGTCTTGCACGAGCAGCAAAAAATAATGGGGATACAATTGTTTCACTTAGTGAAAGCAGGCAGTGAGGATTAATTTTTGCACTTCCCCTTGTTGTGCATGCAGACATCCTTCATGGGACCCAGCCCAAGGGCTTGGAACACTGCAAGCAAGTATTGTTACTCTTGAAATGCCTGTACCTCAGATGCACTTTATTGTACTAATACTGGGTTTGTTCAAATAAAATTTCCCCATGGGGTAGAAGTGCTAGGAAGCAACTTCTAGAGGTCATTGAATTGGGAGTTGCCTGTTCAAACTGCAGTTGGATGTCCATCTATGTGGAAATGCTTGTGGGGGAGTTGTGGGGTATTTGGGGCAGATCCAGTTTGTATTGCACTATGTTTGTGGGTTCTTATTGCCCATCCCCATTGCAAGGCAGTCTCAAAGATGCATCGTCACCAATGTCTTGGGCTGTATCGCTGCTTCTGGTTTGATACCAGTGGTGGTAGGCTCACTTTTTGTTTGGATAATATTTTGAGAGCATGTCCAAAGGAAAGGGCTACTAAGCACGACTTGTTCTTTTTGACTTTGCCTTCTCTAAAAGTTTCTTGCAGACCATCCCTATGGAAGTGGTATCTGCAACTGTGATACTGATATTCTTGTGCTCCTTTAACATGGTGTCAGGGACCCAGTGAACAGAAATTGTTGGATCTACTCCTGGTCATGAAAACCTTCATGCAACAACTTAGTCTCACCTGGGGGGCTGGCAGGAAGTAGAAGCTTTGATGCTAGAGGTGGGCTTGTTTTTCGGAGTGGAGGTGACAGAAATCCTCTAAAGACACAGTCCGACTGGACCAGGATCTCACACTGTGCCTGCAGTCACACACACTAAATAATCCACTCTCAGTGCACTTTCAATGTGCTTTCCAACTGGATTTTACTGTGTGGTCACTTCTGCACTGTCATTTTTGTCACTCATTTGTCCCTATTGCTCTCTCCCCCCCCCCTTTCCACATGTGTTTTGCTCCTTCTGGGACTACTAGAGAGAGCAAAACACATTTTGGGGGAAAAACATTTTGGGAAATCCAGCTGGAAAGTGCATTGAAAGTGGATTATTTAGTGTATGTGATTGCAGCCGATGTCTTGCTTTGATTCTGATGGCATATTTATCTTCCCATATAGCTCAAATGGCACACAGAAGACCTGGGATCTATTGAAATATCAGTGTTTTTACATGTACTCAGATTTTCTGGAAACCGTTTCTTACAAGTCTTGCATTATGCCGGCTATACTGATGTTTTCAAAACTGTACCTCCCTTTTTTGGTGCTCAAAAAGCTGAAAGGACTGCAGCAGCTCAAGCAAGAAGAGCTGAAAAGGCAGCAAATGGAGCAAATTCAAAGGCTAAGGGAAGAGCAACAGAAACTACTTTCCCTGGTTTCTGAGCAGCAAGCACACACCGGTGAGTGGAAATGGTGGACCAGAAGCCTTAAATAGGGCATTATAGTTTCAGTAGTCAGAGAATACTTTTTTGTGTATTCATTGCTTTTCGGCATCCAAGGATACTTTGCTAGGTAATTATGCAATCGGGAACCTTCTCACCAAAGCCAGAAATCACGGCCAAGGGCTGCTTTCTGAACTGCTGCTTCCATCTACTCTTATGCTTCTCAGTTAGAACTTACTGAGATTCGAGGTGCTGATGTTTATACCTAAACACTTCTAGATAACATGAGTCCAGTAACTCAGGGCTGCATATGTGGTCACCCTTTTATTTTATGGCACAAGGCTAAGACAAATTAGCCTGAGAGAGGGAGTGACTGGCCCAAGGTCGCCTATAATTATGGTTGCCAACAGGCCTGGGAAAACCTACTGTGTCTGATTAGCAGAGGCTGAATGGGATGGTTTTACCAGGTGGTGTTAGATATTTTAGGGACATTAAACCTGCCCCCTTCCACACATCACACCTCTAATTAAGAGACAGGACATCTTTCTCCAGACCAGCTGGCAACGCTGCCATCTGTTATTGCTCTCAAGTTACACACTAGACATGCAATAAATGTCGTGGAGCACTCTGCTATTGGGGGAGTCATATAATTTCATTGTGCAATTGAGATGCATTTTTATTTTAAAAACCCATATCTTTACAGATAAGATAATACTTATGCATTCTTTATCTGTTGTGTATCATTTGTTTTGTAACATTGGTACAAGCCTTGAAAATGCTTTATGGAAAGGTGGGATAGCATTTTGTAACATAAAGAGCTACTCTGAGATGCGTTATCTTTGTGGAGCACACTTGTGCAACCAGTGACCCACCAAACTGTAGGCAGCTCTCTATCCATGAACTGTGGCCTGCCTTGTGGCTCTCTTAGTGGGCTGCTTATATGTGCAGTAGCCTGTATGTGGGTCAGTTACCAGCTTTGCATGCTTGTTCCAACAAGAGATGCGGTGCTTATGATTAGAAACCTGATGAATAGGAGGTAACATGACAGATATTCAAAACAGAGTGTGTACTGTACAAGCATGATCTAAATAAAATCACCATTAGGTATACAGTAAAATGCACGCCATTAAAATGCTAAAATCCTCTACCACAAGCACCAGCTATGCTCTGATCATCTCGGTTTATGTCTACAGTGTTATGAGGTTAAGGTTTTCCTTGATTATAGTTTTTAAACTCCTGTAATTAGCTGAATACACAGAGGTGGTGTGCACAAGTATCACAGACATTAATTATTTTGTATTTAAGGTGTTGCTGTAACAGAAGATGACTCAGGCCGACAATATAGTCAGTCAGCTCGCTTGTCCCCTGCACCTTATTTCCTGCCCTGTCGTGGTGGAAACAGTGTTTCCTGGGACAGCACGTCTTGTGTTTCTCCTGCTGGACAAAAGGATCCTCTGCAAATATTAAGCGATGATCAAATATCAAAAGGAATTTCCTCTGGAGATCCTTCCTATGAGAATCAGTTATTTGAAATGCAGAACAAATTGGAGGCTGCAGACAAAACTTCCATTTCAGGTAAACCAGTTTCTATCTCTTTAATTTTTAAAAATCGTTTGTGGCTTTCCTTTGGCCTTTCCTTGCGGCTCAAGGCATCTTACAAGTCACAGTTAAAACATTTAGATTTACAACCAGTGGATTAAAATCCCAGATTTACCCCTCCCCCAAGAAATGGAGGATATCCCAATTACTGAACTACTTTACAGGATTGTTATGAAGATTATTGAGAACAGACACAAAGTGCTTTGTACACTGGGGAAAAGGTACAGATTATTATCTCTGAGTATGTTGAGCAGAATGTTGAGTTTGTGTTTTCTTAGATTTCTGCCATCCATTCAGGGGTAGGACTTGCCGAAGGCCAGCTGGTGAGGTTATTATATTTGAGATGAGACAGAGAGAGGAGATTCTTTGCCTTGTATTTCACAATAAACTACACTAGTAGCTATTAAGTTACACTAAAACTGTCTTGGATTAGTTTCAGAAAAATTCAGTGTATTGCCCTTTATCTACAGTTGCCCAGGAGCAACTGAAGCTTAGGAGCCAATGTGGTAGATTTGTGGTTTCCACTGAATGAATATTTCTGTAAGAGAATGACGGACTTGAAAGGAAAACCAGAATTCTCTTTCTGGACACATGATGTGTGTTGTGGGGGAGAGACACACAATTACAGCACAGATTTAAAAGTACAGATAAAATTGGAATTTGCAGATGCTGTTCAAGCTGCACTGAGATGCACAAGTATATGGAGGCTGGTGAAGTCATTTGTGAACCTTTAAATTGTAGTACTATGTCTGCACAGCTAAAACGCAGGGAAACTTGTTAGAACTTGTCTAGGCAGCTGCATGTCTTTATTGTTAGGGGTAGCTCAAAAGGGATGTCTGCATATATTTCTCTCCCCGCCCTCAACCCAATTCCTGCATCCTCTTCATTCACTTGCCTTTTTTCCTCTTGGTGTTCACGGCGTCCAGACCACCTGTAAAATGTCAGGGTTCTTTATTTCACAGGAAGCAGCGGTAGGTCTCCAGAACCAAATCTTGGAGGAAGTGTGGATGGTAGCAATAACAGTGAAAGCCCAAGAAACGTAGAGACTGGACAGAGGTGCTTGGAAATTCCCCGTGCAGAGGAAAGGTGAGTGAGGTTTTGCGTGCAGAAAGGTGTCTTTACATTATGTCTGTGCAGTAGGCTCAAATGAAGTAAATCTGTATTGGAAGATAACGTGCTTCTAGGAACTGCAAAACTGAGCTCGTGCCTAAATGAAATAAACAGGGAAGTCCTAAGGAAATGAAGGCCTTTGTTTTATTTCGGTGTATTTCATGACGAGATTTGACAATGAAATTTTTGATCTCTTGAAACAGGCCCATTCCTACTAGTATTCAAGAGAGAAAATTGACATTTCAAGAATTGCTAGAAGAACAGATACGATTGGAAGAACAGCGGCTTATCCAAAAGGGAAATAGAAAGGTTAAAGATACTACTGTTTTTTTCCCCCTTACAGCATATCAAATTCTCTGCTTTCACAATTGCGAAGTGGAGTTTGTGCTTTAATCATGGCATTCTCGCTTTGGTAGATGCAATATGTAAAACGTATCTAGATTTCCTCAAAAGTCCTTGGCTGGTACATCATTGTCTTCATACTGATCCAGCAGTCCATTAGTGGATGGTGCTGGCAGTTGTGGAAGTTTCCCATATTCCCCTTCCTTCGGCAGTCCTTTCTGACCCTGGGGGGGGGTTATGGGACGTGTAATCACGAGTCAAGAGGCGGCAGTGGGGAGAGGAAAGGACGCAAAACCATCCTTTCTCCAGTTTCCCTTTCCCCCACTGCAGCCTCCCAACCTACATGGCCATGTGGGTCCCACCCCCCCAGGAATAACTCTTTCCAAGGCCAGAAAGGATGGCTGGAGGGTAGGGAACATAGGAGAGGTCCACCGTCTTTCCATCTGCAGACTGGTAAATACATTTTCTTTGAAAAAGTGTGAAAGCAGTGTTTTTTAACTTTATTTTAGGATGTTGGAAGATCAACTTTTCAGCGAGCAGTTCCCAAGCAGCCCTTTCTGAAACGAGGCGAAGGCTTAACCAGATTTGCTGGTGCCAAATCTAAAGCCGCTAAGCAAAAAGAGAGCAAAATAACTGTTCATCCAAATCCTTCAGAAGCCAGCAACACAGTTAAAGCAGACAAGCCGCAGCTTCATAGGAAAATCGCTCCTTTAAATAAGGAGCACATTTCTGATAATTCTGTGCCTAAAAAGGGTAACCAGTTTGCTAAGTCAAAGAAGGGTTCTGCTCTTCCTGCTCAGAAAACAGCAACACAGAGGAATAGCACTGGGAAAGGTACTCCTCTGTCTACAAGACAAAACTCCAGTGAAAAGAAAGTTGGACCACTGAGGGATTCTGTTGGGGCAGAGAAAAACAAAGAAAACTTAATAGAACTTGCAAAACTGAACGAAGCAGGCAGCAAGTCATTTGGGGAAACGCAGCGGTCGCCAGCAGAGTCGACCCAAGCGCTCTGTCATCCCAGAGGCCTTTCCGATTGTTCTGAAAAAGACTCAGAGCTCTCGTTTGAACTGTCTTTCCAGAAGAAGTTAAAGAACTGGGATGCTGATAAGGAAAAAGAAAAAATCGAACTGGATGAATTTTTGTTTCTAGAGCAAGCTGCGGATGAAATATCTTTTGCTAGCAATTCCTCACTTATCCTAAAGATCTTGGATCAAGGGCAGCAGATTTCCACAGGACACAGAATGTCTTCTACTCCCATCAAGTCGAAGCAGCCACAGCAGAGGTTGGAAGCACTGGATGTTACAGATGTGCACAAGAGAGAAGACCTTCCTTCCCAACAGGCTAGCAAGGAGAGGGATAGAGGCCCAGCTGCTGAATCACAGGCACCCGTCATACTGAAGGATCATCTAAATAAAGCTGATACTGAAATGCTTTGGGCCTTCCCCACTGCTCATTTTCAAGATTTTAGAAATACAGGGTGGGACGAGGACAACTCCGATGGGAACAGCGAGACGACTTCTGACTCGGAGGAAGAATTCGAAACTACTATTAAACTCGCAAGAGAGGAACCCAAAGGGCTTGCCTTGAATAACCGAGGCGGTAGTCCAGCATACTCTGAGTGCAGAGGACAAGATAAAGGCGCAAGCAGGGGTGCCAATCTCAATTTGCTGGAAAAAGATCTTACTAGCAGCCAATCTAGTGAGATAATTGCCGACAGTGCCCCTGAATCTCAAAGCGTATGCAGTGCGAATAGGAATAAGGTTGAATTTGATGACGAAAGATCATGGTCTGACTTTGAAGAGCATGGGAGACTGCACGCCCAAGTACCAAGCATTGATGTGGCTGTTAAAGCACCTCCACCCACTGACCATTCTGCTTGGACTGAGGCATTCTTCCCAGATAAAGTGACAAAGAGGAAGATCGCGACAATGAAGAAGGGGGATGCTCTGGCCAAGCCAAGTGTAGCAGATAGTGAGGTCACTGCACCTCCCACAACAGACCTGATGTTGAAGCTCTTTCCTTCTCTGAGGCTCAAACCAAAGGGAGATGTGCAACAAAGGCCCGAGATCAAGCCCAACATGGGTCAGGGAGAACCAGCAGGTAAGCAAGCATAAGAAATTGAACATTGTGCATATGCTCCCCCCTCCCTAGACTTTATGAACGATATGTACTCGAAAAGGTCTTCTCTAAAAATGAGAGAAGAATGAAAGTAGGATCTTTGATGATGGCTTGCTGTTTCTTATGCTAAATGGCCAGCTGCGGGAGCCCGTATTTGGTTGGAGATTTTAGATGTTAAAACTGACACTTTACTGCCCATCAGCAGTTGTGCATATGCTTTTAAATACATAAAATGATGTAATGGTTTGAAATTAAGACATTTGTATGTAGAGGTGGTAAAAAGTAACACATGTAAACAAAATAGTTTTATCTTCTCACCCTCAGTTTCCTGGCTTTATTTTTTTGCAGGGTAATCCATGCTCCAAGTAGCTGATAGACTGGCGGGAGGGGAACAGCTGAGGGTAATTGAAGCAATATATGCAGTTGCAGTAGTTCATTAGAGGATTTTTTAAATAGTGATCTTTGTCAAAATAATGTATGGATTTGAGAATGATTGAGCATGCCCAGTGCAGGAGGGGATACCCTCTGAAATGTCTGTGTCTGGTCTGCCTTTCTTTAGTGGAAACTGTCTGTTGCTAATTACCTTGTGCGTCAGAGATTCTTGTGGCTACTCTGCTGCTCTCCAGGTGCTCAAGTTAGTGTGTGTGTGTGTTAAGAACTGTCAAGTCACCTCTGACTCATGGCGATCTTATGAATTAATGTCCTCCAAAACATCATCAACAGCCTTGCTCTGGTCTCGCAAACAAAGGGCTGTGGCTTCCTTGATTGAGTTAATCCATCTCATGTTGGGAAGGGGATTGTGAGCTGCTCTGAGACTCCTTCGGGTAATGAAGGGCGGGGTATAAATCCAATCTCTTCTTCAACTTTTCCTAGCATTATTGTCTTCTCCAAACTTGTCTTCTCATAACTTAATGAGTTAATGTAACCTATTATTATCATCTGCATCTCCTGATGCTACAGTATCTTCTGAATGCTTTAATTACACCCCCCCCCCAATATCTCATCCCCAGAACTCCATAAAGGTCACACTTTAACATATGGTGCATATATCTCTCTGCCTGATGTGTATCAAATATGGTGAATCTGTCCCCTGCTAGACACTGCTCGATCCCAGCTTCTGAGAGAGAAGCTTGTTGAATTGGAGACAGAAATTGAGAGGTTCAGGGTGGAAAATGCATCTCTAGCAAAACTTCGAGAAGAGCATGAGAGTTCTTTGGAAAATCTCAGGTAATTTCTTCATAATCTGTGTTCTTGGTCCAAAATTCATTAGCCTACAGTAGCCCTGGACCACTTAGAACTCACCAAGCAAAACATAGCTGGGCATTATCATAAAGAATTTAATTGATGGTTTCCAATGTAGGTCAATAAAACTTTCTGGAGAAACAAGTACATAAGTGGACCATATCCTTCTTTAGGCTGCAGAATGTTCCTCCAGCCTAAGGTTCCTTCCTTTGACTTAATTCAGTGGAAGAGCCACTTAACCTTTACTTAGTGGAATGGTAGAATACAGGACAGTATCAGGACCATTCTGGGACTGTAGACAGTCCTATCCAAATCTGGTGTGAGTATGTTCTCCAACCCTGAGGTGAGTTGCCATGGAATTAGTCTGTGATTTTTGCATAGATGGGACAGTTATCCACAACGATGACACTCTTAGCCAAAAATATCTATCTAAATTTTATTTACACTATACAGATGTAGTCAAACAGCATCTTCTGAGGACAGTTTTTCTATTTCTAATAGGTGGAATTGTCTTTCAACAACTGATTTATTTTCATATTATAAAAACTGAGGACAGAGAGGCAAGAAACAGTCTGAGGAGTTTTACTGTCAAAAAAATATCCTGTCATGCTGCTATGTATTTGGAGGTTAAAATGGAATTGTAATAAGCAATATTTTAATTTATGATGAGTGGTCAGTAATTATCCCCTTCTGGTAACTAAGATGTACTGTGGATAATTTCTGAAGATATTTGTGGCCTATTCTCAATTAACTAATTCATGTATTGAGATTAAAAGGATTTTTTGCACCCCAAGAGGAGTTGTAGAAACAGGGGCCTGGTAGGTTACCCCCTAGGAAGGCTTTCTGTTTGAAAATATTGGGTTGGTGAAATTGTCACATATGTTTTGAAAGAGGAATGCTTTAAACTTGGAAGATGCGTAAGAGGATAATGTGCAGTTAAATTTCAGGAAAGAAACTGTCAACTTTGAACAACAGAAAGCAAAAGAATTGGCTCAAATAGAAGAAATGAAGAAAGAGGAAATGAGAAAACTGCAGAAAGAACGTAAAGTTTTTGAGAAGTATTCCCTGGCAGCCAGAGCCATACCAGATAAAAAAGAGCGTGATGAAATTCAGGTAAACACAGGGGGAAAGCCTATACCTGATTGAGAGAACTCTACAAGATGTTAAATCCATGTTCTGAAGGTGGTACTTCCATAGCCACAAAATGGTAAATATCCCTATTGATAACATGGATAAAGTATGTCTTGAACATCCTTTTTTGCTGCTTTTAATTTAAAAATTTGTTGGCTGCTATTGTACAGAACTACTGTCCAACCTGCCTCGCCACCAATTCAGAAGGTTAACTTGCTGGAGATTTGGGTGTTCACTCCAGCTGCATTCAGACATCACAGATCATAGCTTAAATCCTGGTTTACAGAACCAGCTCCAGTTAACCTACTAGATGCAGAAAACAAATCCTGGTTTGTGCATAAACCCTGGTTTGTTCTCTGCTTGCTTCCCCCCAATGGAGAGCATTCCCTCCCTACAGTGCTGTCCCCATGGCCAGGCACCTGCAAAGGGCAGAGTTGCTCAACAAAGTCTAGTCTCTGAACTCGGGACATCACAACTGATACAAACCATGGTTAGTAAACCAACTACAGCCCCTAGTCTGCAACCCTGGTTTGACATTGACTGAACAACTCTGATTTGTTGGATTGTCTTGCATTTAGACATTGCGACAGACCGTGATTTAGTCAGACCACAGTTGATTGCAATGTCTGATTGTATTTTGTTGTGCTGGCCAGGCTGCCTCAATCACACAAGGGAGAAAGGCAAGCCGTTCTTCCCTTCCATTGGCTGAGGCTCCTCCCCGAAGGGAGGGAGAGTTTGCTTTGTTTGACCTCAATCACATGGGAGAAATACAAAGTATCTTTAAGACCAACAAAGTTTTATCCAAGATATGAGCTTTTGTGTGCCTTGCTACAGTGTGTGTGTTTTGTTGGGCTTGTTATACTCTCCTCGGTGCAACTGGGTTCTGTCCCCCTTTTCACTGTATTCATGCCCTCATGATCCATGCTTGCTCAGGAGGAAAGCAATGTGAATTATTTAGATGAGAAATAACAACAAGCCAGTGAGGTGGCTTAGGCTGAGAGTGTGTGTCCAGACCAAGTTCATTTAGCACATTTCCTTTGGGGATTTTGAACTTAGACTTCCCACATAGTAGGCTTATACTGACTACTGAGGAAGTCTATAGTTTTGTAGCCAAACACATATCTCTCAGTCTGTGTCATGGTGTCTTCTCATGTTCTGACCAGCACACGAAGCATTTTATGTACAAAAGCTCACAATGCCCAGCCATTTCATGTTTTCTCCTGGGCCCTAGGCTCAGAACTCTGAGCATGAGATTTCTGTAGTGAATGTCAATAAATCAAAAGTAGGGTTGCAGCTTACAGATACACACTTGAACAGCATACTCAAGATTGCAACAACACTGGCATTTTGATGCAATAATTCAGAGCAAGAGGGTGTCAGTTATCAGACATGGTTAAATAAACAAAATACTGCAAGAGTGCTAATGTTTTTAAGCATGTTTTTATTTTAAGTAAAAAAAAAATCTTTGTGTCCTTTATAAAGTTTATATCTCCACTACTTGGCATTACATTTTATGACTCACATGGCCTGGCCCATTTATGTCAGATCCGGCCCTCATAACAAATGAGTTCAACACCCCTCATATAGAGGGATCCCTTCACTCTACTGAAGATGACAAAGAGGAGCACAGTGAATGAATTTCTCTGGAGTTTTGTTTACTGCCCTGTCCCTTTTCCTGAGAAACCTCTGGCTTAAGAAGGGGTAGGGGGGATTGACAGATCTGAACTAAGTACAGCCCTGGTCCCCTCTTGTCTTCCGACCCTTGACTTTTCCAAAAGGGCAAAAACGACGTGCCTTTCGAAGTCTCAAAGCATTACTTTTTCTGACCTTGCTAGATGTGACCCTAAGCAATCCATTCATTTTTTTTAAGGCTAAAAGGAGCTGGGTGTAGAGATTTGGATCAAGCTCAAAGCACTTGAGAAGGAGGCGGTTCTTCCACTACCATATTGTTTTCAGATTAAAAAATCCCCTCCGACTATTGTTTGGCCCATAGGCAGAGAACATACAAGGACTGATAATGTTTCCTCTGCAAAGAGCAGCTGTATGATTCTTGCAATGGAGAAAACATTGGGAACTCCCTCTACAGTGCCATGGCCGAAGTCTGCATCATGTACTCCCCCCCCCCAAGTTTTTTAAGTCTTAAAAACCCCCAAACAATCCAAATGGGAGTTCGTAATGGCCCTAGTTTAGCCCGCTGTTATTCAGGAATCTTGGGGGATATTGCTATGGAATTGTACTTGGGATAGTAATGGGATATTTTTTTCTCTGCCCCTCAGTCCCTTCTTGAGGTCTGGGAATTCTCCTGCTTATATTTATTACTGTCTGGTAGTCCCCCCACCCTGTCCCACCTGCATCATACCACCTTGTATCGCCATGAGGGAAATCACACACACACACACACACACACCCCTTCTATACAGATCATGCCTGCCTTCACTGTTCCTCTGTTCCTCCCTTACCTATCATTCTCCTGGCCAGTGGCAGGCCATCTCCTGTCAAGTGTGGTTCTGCCAGGAATCCTTCCTGATGATGTTTGCCTGCTTCCTCTCCGGCTGCAGTGCAGTCTAGCTGTGCTTCTGAGAGTCCTCCTCCTAAACAAAGCGGGCATTCCCATCACAGTTGCCTTGAAAGAACTTTGTCCTTTTTTGTTTCTGCTTTTCTGTGGTCTCCTTCCACACTTCCCAATGCTTTATTAAAACTGGAGATTACAAGTCAATGTTAAACGAGTGTGTTGCTGACTCTCTGTGGGAAGAAGCACGAAATAAGCAGAGACCACACTGATTCGGATATTTTGTATGCTGCTGCCGTAGGGGGTTCCTCCCCGGCAGCTTGTATATTTTAATGTAACAGAAGACTAATTAGCTTGTATACTAACTTTTTAAAATTAAGGCTCTGAAACAGCAGGTGGCAACCTTGCAGGAAGATTTAAAACGGAGAGAAGCAAAATGGTCAACCACCCACATGCGTCTTAGAGACCAGATAGAAGCTTTAACCAGAGAGAACACAGAACTACGGGAAGAGATCAAAGTTATGGAAAGATTTCGTTTGGAAGCCTGGAAAAGACAGAGAGAAGCTGCAAACAATAGGAAAGTTGACAGCTGTGGTGTCTATTCCAAGACAGCAGCAGAGATTGAGGTAAGTTCTCTTTTGATGTCCTTTCCAGTTGACTGGGGAATAAATACACCGCAATTCACTTTTTTGAAATGCAGCAGGACCCTGAAACCTGCCTCAGAGGAATGATTTAATGAAAACTGAACTGCCCAGTCAAGTGCATGCCTTAGTCCTGCTGCGATCGAAGCTGGCATAACTTTAAAATACTCTTGGCTCTTTTAAGACCATGCCTTTGCCAGAGTGCGTGTGGCTGAAGTACCAGTCTGCTCTTTGGGGAGATAGGGTGTGTGAGGGCCAATAAATGAATGAGGGGATAAGTGAAGAGAAAGTGAACTTGGAAGGAAAGGGCTTTACTACTTCAGTGTCTTGATTATCAAGTTCTCACATTTCCTGTGACTTTTATATTACTCTGTAATTATCGTTTCAGTGGCATACTTGCAGTTGCATTCTAAGGTTACCTGCCAATCTGTTCATGTATGTCCTGCTGTTCTCTAGATGGGCAGGGTGGGAGGAGTCGCACTACTTCAAACCACTTTGGCTTTCCAAGAACTTGATTATAGGTTATTATGAGACAATTGAGAGTTCATGAACTCATTCTCTTTAATGTGATTATACTCCCCCAACTCATTTGTGTTTTCCTTGCTCAGCAGTGCAGTGCTGCTTGTGGCTTCTATTTCTGTGGTCTTTTTTGTGTGTGTGTGTGGCCTGATATTCACCTGCCTATAAAGGTTTCCTGATGGAGCAATTGTTCAGTAGTATGTGAATGCAACTGGGGAAACAAGGAAGATCGTCTCATTCCTTTCATTGCTGGTAACTTCCTCCTTGGCAGTCTACTGCACATTCTTGTGGCTTCTATTTCTGTGGTCTTTTTTTGTGTGTGTTGCCTGATATTCACCTGCCTGTAAAGGTTTCCTGAAGGAGCAATTGTTCAGTAGTATGTGAATGCGACTGGGGAAACAAGGAAGATTGTCTCATTCCTTTCATTGCTGGTAGCTTCCTCCTTGGCAGTCTACTGCACATTACACGATGGGGGAGACTGGTCTTGTCAGTAGTATGTGTGAAAAGGATCTAGGGCTCTTAGTAGACCATACACTGAACATGAGTCAGCAGTGTGAGGCAAGTGCAATTTTGGGCTCTATCAACGGAAGTATAGTGTCCAGATCATGCAAAGTGATTGTATTGCTTTACTCGGCTCTGGTTAGACCTAGAGTATTGTGTTCAGTTTTGGGTACCACAGTTTAAGAAGGCCCCTGACCATAAAGAGCTTTAAAAGTAAGAACCAGCACCTTGAATCAAATTTGGTATGCTATAGGCAGCCAGTGCAGTGCTTTTCCGGCAGGGTGGATGTGCTCCCATAAAGGAAAACCCAACAGCAGCCTGGCTGCCACATTCTGCACCAGCTGCAGCTTCCGAATTTGGGACAAGGGCAGCCCCATGTAAGTTAGAGTGGTTCCTCAGTAGAACAAGCTTCCTCAGGAGGCGGTGAGCTTTCCTTCTTAGATTTTCAAACAGAGGCTGCCAGCAATGCCGATGCTGTGAACTTATGCAGATCATGAGAGGGAGGGCAGGAAGAGTTCTATCAGTGCTTAGTTCTTGTGGCCCTTTCTTACGTGCCCAGGGAAATGCTGATTGCCACTTTGGGATCAGGAAGTAATTTTTCTCCAGGCCAGTTTGGCTGGGAAGCCTGGAGGCTTTTTGTCATATTTTGGGCATGGAACTGGGGTCACTGGGTGTGTGTGTGTGTGGGGGAAGTATTTGTGAGTTTCCTGCATTGTGCAGGGGGTTGGACTAGTAGATACACACAAGAAGCTGCCTTATAACTGAATCAGACCAATGGTCATCAAATCACTATTGTCTACCTGGACTGGCAGCAGCTCTCCAGGGTCTCAGGTACGGGTGTTTCACATCATCTCCTACCTAATCCTTTTAAATGGAGGTGGCAGGGATTGAGCCTAGGGACTTCTGCGTGCCAACCAGATGCTCTGTCACTGAGCCCCTCCCCTAAGTATACAGCACTGTTTCTCTACAACTCCTTGCCTGAGAAAACTCACATGCCCAGTCCTGCCTTCCAAGAAACTGATCAAGATCGAGCTGCTTAGAAGGGATAATGTAATATTTTAAAGAAGTTCTGAAAACACTTTTTTCTTCCAGCATGCACCAGCTGTATTGCAGAAGAGTCAGAATGTGTCTTTGGTACCTCAAGCAGAGAAGAGCAACAAAACAAACGGGAAAGGCGATTTGCCCCCAGAAGGTACAAAGTCTTGTTTATGGGATGTGGTACCATTTCTAGATGGCTCTTTCCAGCTGCAAGTCTTGACTTGTAATTCTTTCACAGGGGCTGCTTCAGAATCATGGTTTTTCAGTACTATTCACTCCATAGAGGCTTCCTTTAAAAGTTCCTCATTACTCAGGTTACAAGAGCAGGCCCACAGACAACATAGCTGAAGACATATCCTTCTTTCTTACGTGTTTCATCCCTCTGTCTTCAAGCCAGTATTTTAGAAGGAAGCAGACAGTCCTCTCTAAGTTTTGAGACTGCATCTTTGTAAACAAACAGTGATACAAACATTACAAGATCTAATTCTCAGATATGTTTACATGAAAAGGTATTGAAATGTTTCTGTCCGGCACTTCTTATTTTGGGTTTGTTGCCACCTCTCCTTACTGGATTTATATCTTGATGGTCTTGTGGTGCTAATTACAGACTGAAATGCTACAATTTTTTAAACATGGCAGCATTGAGAAATTCACTAGTTTGTAAGGCTACAGCAGGTCATTGGCCTATTTACTGTAACCGGGAGTGAGTGGCAATTATCTGGCAAATCCTTGGTCTGGAGTATTGAATATTATGTCCTTGAGTAAAGCTCCATATCAAAACTATCCTTAATAATGAAGCCTCCTTAAGAGCCAGGAATTCAACATGAATCTCTTTAAGTACTAATTAACATTTTCATTGTAAGACAATCACTACTTAGGAATTGTTACCTTTCCAGCCTACCTTCTTGCTCTTCTTTAGTGACTCAGAACTGGAAGATGCCACAGTTTTGAGATGGAGTTGTCATGGCAACCAATTAGTGAATTGATTTATATTTTCTTTTAAGGATGATGTTAAGGGCTTGTGTGCATGATAACAGCTGTAAAACCAGTAGCTTTTTTCACTAGCTTTCCTAATTGTGGGAAATAATAGATTGCCCATCTATGACATCAGTGGCTTTCCAGAGTTTCAGGCTGAGGTCTTTCCTTCTGTTGCATCTTTTACAAGTGTACACATGAATCTGCTTTGTCCTGAGTCAGCCATTGGGCAGTCAAGGTTATGACTGTCTACTCTGACCAGCCGCAGCTCTGCAGTAGAGGTCTTTCACACCACCTACTACATTCTCCTTCTAGCTGAAGATGCTGGGAGCTAAAATTGGGACCTTCTCCATACAAAGCAGATGGTCAACCCACTGATCCATGGCCCCATCCCTAATTTGCAGTGCTAGGTGGTGGAACCTGAATTTGTAATACAACATATGTATTCTCTCCCATACAGTTACGGTGTACGAAACAAAGTTGGCTTATCCACATTACAAGGTTCTTAACTCTGTAAGTTTAAGAGCTTCCTGGCTGAATCCACAACCTAAAACAGAGTTACTTGTTTCAATGATTTTCCATGGGTTTTCCACTTAGACCCTTCACCGTTCTACTTGTGTGTTTACATAAATCAATAGTGCAAATGGCATTAACACCACAGATGCTGTTTGGTTATATTTGTAGGGCTCAAATTACTGAATGTATTTGAACTATGAATTTGCTTTTAAAAGAATGGAATTGGCATGGGAATCTTTAAATTTTTTAATCTTAAATAAATACCAAACTCGGTAACAACAATTAGTGAAAGCAATAAAAATCTTAAAGCAATAACTGATTAAAGACAACCAGAGCAGTCGATCCTTTAAGACTGCAGTAGGTAAAGCTAAATCAATCTAGCCACAGAGGCATTCATGGTTCAAAATCCTTCCTATGCAAGTAGTGCCACCACAGCCTGTTGCAGTTCATAAGAAAACAAAGCCCCAGGTGTCAAAGAGGTTGGGTAGACACATATGGCTGGGAAAGGTCCTTTGGATAATCTGTACACTTTGTATATACAGTAACCTATTTTGACTCAATAGCCTAAGAAATCCCCAGATCTTTTAATTTCCTTTTGAAACAGGAAGACATTCTTCAAGATCTACATTAGCGGTTGTACCTAAGGAGAGTTACTTGGACAACCCAGCAATGACCCATGAAGACTCTTCCAAGACTTTTATGGTCACAAGTAAGGCAAGTACCCTTTTTCCTGATTTGAGAGAGCACTGTGACAACTTTGAAGCCACCATCTATAATTAGTGTATTAAATAACCATGTTGCTACTGCGTTGAAGAAGTAGCTTAATGCTTTGTATTGCTACAAGACTTACTTTTATCCCTATACAGACCTTCTATCTGAGGTAGGAAAAAAATGTGTGGCAAAATAGCAGACTGATTATTTTTCAAACAATCAACAAGGTTCTAGGGGCTGAGTTTCTAGGTTGCTCTTTCCCAAAGAATTGGGTTTGGGTTTTTTTTGCCAGGGCTGTGTGATAGTTTAGCTCTGCTATGCTTCTGGATTATTTTATTCATCTGCAGAACATGGAGAAGTGATAGTTCGTTGTCAATTGGAGGAGAAACCGTTGATTTCCAGTTACTCTGTGCTGGTCTATTCCAAATAAAATGAGCTAAACTTATGGAATAAAAGACTTAAGAGATTTTACTACTCTTCCATACAATAGTTTGCATCGTATTTGTTGAGGCAAGAAGCACTAAGTAGATGCCAAGGAAATCAGTAATCCATCTGGCTATATAGTTGAGCTGTAGTTTTCGGACAGTGTTCTCAGAGGCACCCTGAAGCTTCTCGGAGGTTCCTGAGGGAGAAAGCTCACCAATAACACACTTTCTTACCACTGCCAAACTTGCCTTGCAGTGCACAACTACATGGGAGCATTCCTGAATGTATTCTTGGTTCACAGTAGACAAATGCTGTGTGTGAACTGGCTGTGAACCAGAAGATGTACAGGGCTTTGTGGTAGATGAGTTGATACAGAGAAAGATTGAAAACCATCACAGTAGAGCTCTTGTAACATGCCTGTCAAGCTGAATGGAGCTTCCATGGGAGACAGTACCCAAGTATATTGTGGTCACTTGGTGCTCCCACAGGAAGGTTGTTCTGCCTCTTATGGTATTCAATAGCAATGATTTTCCCGCTTCAGAGTTTTCCTGGTAATGTACCTGTTGAAACCTCAACACCAACAACTCCTGTCTACATAGATTCTGAAGAAGAAACACAAAATGAAGTCAGTCACCCTGATGGAAAGGTAAGAGACAGCAGCCCTTTCCATTAAAGTGGAGTAGGAATTGGTTTTGCAAAGAGTCAAACACACCTGTGTGACTGAACACCAACTTCACTACCCAGAGGAGTCTCAGAGTGGCTTACAATTGCCTTCCCTTCGTCTCCCTACAACAAATACCCTGTGAGGTAGGTGGGGCTGAGAGAGCTCTAAGAGAGCCATGACTGACCCAAGGTCACCCAGCTGGTTTCATGTGGAGGAGGGGGGAACCAAACCTGGTTCTCCAGATTACAGTCCACCGCTTTTAACCACACACCACCACACTGGCTCTCCAAGTGGTTCCAGAATACAATATTAGGTGGCGGTATTGAACAACAGAATTACTTGCCTTTCTATTTTTACAAAGAATGGATTCCTGAAAGGTGCTAATACCCACGCTTATTTCCACAGTGTGATACTATGCTTGTGCTTGGAGGGGTGTGTGTCCTTTTCTGAACCAGATCAGAGCCCTGTCTGATTATTCTTGTAGCTTGAGTGAGTCTTGGGCCTTTATACCCTCCCACATTTTGTTAAAACTTTCAGTGTGAACTGGGACTGACTATCAAGATGAATGGACCCCACATAATGGCTTTGTCCTCCTGTCCCACCAGAGAGTTATGGAACATCCACTCCAGGCAGGTTCATTTGGGCCCCTCACTGGTGGTGTTCAGGAGGCAGTTGGAGAGTTTTATTTAGGACGGCATTTGACCTAGCTTTTATTCGCAGTCCTAATTAGAGTTTTAAAACTGTTGACTTCTAATACATTTTTAGAATTTATGTTTTGGTTTTTGTAATGATTTATATGGTAGGCTGCCTTGAGTGCCACAAGGCAGAAAGGAGGGTGTTTTAAATAAATGAGCTACAAAAAGTATTTTTAGATAACTCTGATGAGTGTGGCCCACTTGCATAGGAGGTAAATACTATTTTAGGTTTTACAGGCATAAGTGGTGGAGGGGTGAGGATGCAAGCCCAAGGCTCATTACACCCTCCGTGTGTAAACCGGGCCTCAATGGATGTGAAGTTATGCCTCATACTCTTGGTCTCAAGGGTTGAATTTTCTCCCCCATGATGATCGGCTGGAGGTTCTAGAAATGGGTGTGCCTTTGGCTGCAGCCTTTAACTTATGCCAGGGGTCCCCAAAATGGTGCCTGTGGTAGCTTTCCTTAGGCTTGTCAAGAAAGTGGGTGGGGCTTCTGTCCAGTAAGGCTTCTGATTGGCCATACAGATTTTTAAAAAAACTATTGCTGTGGCAGCAGCTGCCAATCTGTGCCCATGCCCACCAAGTTGTGTCAAAATTCCACAGGCTCAAAAACACTGGGGACCTGTGATCAGCAATTCAAGCATGCAAGCTGTCTGTTCTGTGGAAGAACACCTTCAAACACTTCATCCTAACAGGCAGGAGTGGTTAAGAAATGTGCTTTTATTTTTTTTAAAAAATAGGTTGAAAAGATTTTAAAGGATGGTAGCCACCTTATTTTCTTCCCTAATGGCACACGGAAAGAAGTGAGCTGTGACGGAAAGACCACCACTGTAACCTTCTTCAATGGGGATATAAAGCAAGTTCTAGAAGACCAACGAGTGGTAGGTGTCCAGCACACTGTAACTTTGGTTTTATATATGGTAAGCTGCTTCTGTTAATGGCGGTCTTCTGGACTCTCTTCAGATATACTATTATGCAGATGCGAAGACTACCCACACCACCTACCCCACAGGTTTAGAGGTCCTACACTTCTCAAATGGACAAACAGGTAAACAGTATGACCTCTTCCTTATTTATTCACTTCATCTGTGCCACTTTCCCCCCAACCTAATGCCAACCCAAAGTGGTTTTATATTGTTAGCCTAACCTACCGCATGGTGCTGTTGTGAAGATAAAATGGAAGGGAGGAGGAATTTGCACAACTGGCCCAAGGACACAGGGCAAGCTTCCATGGCAGAGTAGGCTTTTGAACCCGGGTCTCCCAGATCCTAGTCTGGCACTCTAACCACTGTACCACAGTCTCTGTCTTGCTTCTAGTTAACTTTTAAAGTGTCCTTGGGCTTCATAAACTAAAACCACTGTATACATAGGTGTGTCTGAACACTGACATTCCATGTGATCATTATTGCAGAAAAGTACTTTCCAGATGGAAGGAAAGAGATTGTGTTCCCTGATCAAATTGTAAAAAACATATTTCCAGATGGGCAAGAAGAAAACATCTTCCCTGATGGCACCATTATCCGCATTCAGCAGTAAGGTTTTACTTTAAGAGACTTTTGTCAGCTTTAATTTATCCTGTGTCTAGTTGTATTCCAATATAAGACAACTCATTTACAGAATTATGCTGCCTTTCCATTTGTTCCTTGGCTAGCTGGAGGATTCAAATATTTAGGCGGCTTGAGCTGTTAATCGTAAGGGCTGGACTTAAAATCTTTTTACATATTCCTGTAACTCTAGGGAAACTCTCCTGTGCTCATCAGGATTACTGGCTCCAAGAACTGAAATCAGGAAGACCCCAATTTTAGAAGTCCCTGCATGTACCAGCCAAAATCTTTAATAATAAAAAAAAGGTTCTGTTATTCAGATGAATAGTCCTATGGTAGCTGCACTCTGCTCTTTTATTGTCAGGTCACCTGCCAACCTAGAAGTTCAAAAGCAAGAAATTGCAAGTAGATAAATAGGTACCGCTTCAGTGGGAAGGTAAGAGTGTTCTGTGTGCCTTGGCATTTAGTAATGCCAGCCACATGACCACTGAAACATCTTTGAACAGTACTGGCTCTTCGGCTTGGAAACGAGATGAGCACCACCCCCTAGAGTCTGATTCAACTAGTTTTCGAGCAAGGGAAACTTTTACCTTTACACCTGCTTTTAGTAGAATTTAGCAAGAAATTATGAGTTAAGACTGCTCATGTTATTTTCATTAAGGGATGGAAGCAAGACTATAGAATTCAACAATGGTCAAGAAGAATTACACACAGCACACTTCAAGAGGCGCAAGTATCCTGATGGCACCACCAAGACCATCTATGCTAACGGATGTCAAGAAACAAAATATGCCTCTGGTCGAGTAAGAGTTAAAGATAAGGATGGCAAAGTTATAATGGACACTTTCCCACAAATGACAGTTACATCCCATTGATCACAACCCATGTTTTCTTACTGGCACTCCAGAATCTATTTGCTAAAAAAATATGTAAAAATTCTGTTTTTGTACATAATTATAAAATAAATATTTTTCTCTTCATAACTGTGATTTTCTTTGAATGGACTGACATTAACCTATGTACAAGCTTACTAAACCATTAAAGAGTTCTTCAGTGATTCTATTTACATCCAAGTATGGAAGATTATCATCCCCTTCCTTGTCCGGCATTCAGCCCCGGGAACTTCCCTCCCAGCAGGATTCATTTTTCTCTTGCACACTGAGGCTGTGAACCAAACTGCATATTGTGTAAGAGTATATTACCCAGGTATTTGATGGTAGAGAAATACCTTTTACTGTCAAATCTTATCCACAATTGCAGTCTTTTTCTGGCATTTCTACCTGCACAAAAAGTTGTAGTACTAAACATAGTAGAGTTGGACATGAAATTCATGAAGCCCCACACGGATGTAAATATTACAATGAGTGTTCCCATTTTATTTTGCAATAAGGAGCTGTAAGCCCCTAATTTCTCCACCTCCATCAGCATAGGTGGGGGGACTCTTGCTCTTCCTTACTCATCTTCTACCTGACCGTGTTATTGGGAAAGACAGTTTGACACAGGACATTAAAGAAACATGAATTTCAACACAAGGTTATTTTTCAATGCAAGAATAAGTTTTTTATTACTGAACTTCCTTCAGTGTTTGCAAACAAAAAAAGCCTTCGAGCACTCCTGTGCTATAGAAATTATAAAAAAACCAAACAAATCCAACCGAACAACCTCTCTTGAGGTATGATTCTTCTTTTCGTCAACAGGTTTGTTATCTGAAACAAAATTTGAGTTTAGAGCCTACAATGCACAGAAATTTTAGAAGTCCCCCTCCAAGCAAATGAAGTTGTTTTTTAAAAAGCTTCTTTCCTGTCGTCCTAATTTTCACCATGTGCTTCATGCTTCTTGACCCCCTTGTTTGTTTACTTACCCTTTCCCTAAAAGCAGCACATAATTTGAGCCAAGGCTTCTCAAGGCACAGCTCCAGAAACTTTCAGAAAGTATCTGTGAACTGCCGAGTGCCAGCCCCCCCCCCCCCCCCGGTCAAAAGATGAGAACTCGCAGGTAGGCCTGATCCTCCGTTCTGCAAATAAAGCATTTTGTGGAAGGTGATCAGGATGCTCCACAGAACCCTCCTTTCAATGGCATGATTCAGACCTGGCTTTCCTTTCCTCCTGATCACTTTACTACCTAATGTGTGACCAAGATTTAAGCCCACGAGACACCTATTATAATGCTGTCAATACGTCCTTCTATGGGCATGGTTCAATGCAAGATAGCCGTATCAGTAGTCTAGGTTTGTCACTGCTGTAGACATTTTCTGCAACAAATTCCTAGTTTCTTGTGTAAAACTGCAAAGCGGTTCATGCAGAAAGATTCATTAGGTTTTGCAGTAACTATCACAATAAGATGAAAACCAAAGTTTGACTCTAGTGGCACCTTTAAGACCAACAAAAGTTTACTCCTGGTATATAAGCTTTTGTGTGCATGCACATAGAAGCTTATAACAGGAATAAAATGTCATTGGTTTTAAAGGTGCCACTGGACTCAAACTTTGGCTGCTTCAGACCAACACCCCCCTGAACAGTAAGATGAAGTCACATATTTAATGCAAACACATGTAAGGCCTCTAGTTAGTAAAAGGTCTTACTATTTTAGTTTAGCATACTTACTTGTGTCACTAACTTAACACAGCCAATCCCATTTCTACCAGCTTCATGTGAACCAGGCATCCAGCTTCATACAAAAACACTGTATAATCTGGCGAATGAGTCTAAAAGCAAGACACAGGGCTACGTCAAAAGGCAAAACAGCCACCAGGTTCAAAAGCAACATTAGGGTTTCCAAAACTACTGCGTGCAGGCAGATGGAATAAGGGGAGCTGACACTAGTGGGGCTTACAGGCAGCTGTAGATGAGAAAGCCTGCATCTGACCCAAAGCTGGTATGTGGAGAGAGAGGGCTTAGAACAGGGGTCTGGCCCATGAGCAACGGGCTTTTCTCCTGCTTCCTTCTGCGAGGCGGCGGCTGCTGCTGCATCACAGCGTGCTTTCTACCGGCTCCCTCAACTGTACTGGAGAGATATAAAGCCAAGCCTCCCTTCTCTCCATTGGCTAAAATCCCCTCCCTCCCCCACTCCAGGGAGGAAGGGACAGGGATGGAAAGAGAGAGAGCGCTGACTGCCGCTCAGAGGGACCGGAGTCCCTCTGGATTCGTACTTCTTACACCACAATGTCTGGGTCTTCCAAAGAAAGAGGGACAGACTGAAGAACTCTCCAGAGCTGAGTTTCCTCCAGGTTTGTCTGGGAAGGGGGGTGGGGCTTTCCTAAAGGGAAAAACATACACTGCATGCTTGGGGTTCCGCAAAGGCGAGCAAGATCCACAGCCCCCCCCCCCCATTGCTGCTGGCACCACCATGACTACATTGCCAGCCTCTCTCTCACCACTGCTACCTTTTTTGCTAGTTCACTTGCTGGCTGCAGTTTAATTTCTGTTTGTTTGCTCACTCATGCTCTTGCTCTGTCTTTTTGTGTGTTGTGAGCGTTAGCTGAGAAGGCAATCAACAGGCTACTGGGGCTGGACGCAGAGATTAAAAAGAGAAAAGGAGGGAGACACCCCCTCTCTGCGCGCGCGCGCACACACACACTGATCCTTCCTGCCCGGGAGAGGTCTTTTGCATTCAGCAGGCCGTAGCTGCCGCCACTGTACACACCCCTTCAGGTCCTGCAACCAGCCACTTCAGGTTGCTTCAGTCCCCAAGGGAAAAAACCTTCCCACTAGGGCTGGTTGGTTGGTGCATTGCACAAGCTCCGCAAGACGATTTCTCCCCCCCACACTTTAATTTACTGGGGGTCGATCGGAAGCTGACTTACATAGAAGGTGGTGGGCTTCCTGCTCTCCCCCCCAGGCACAGCCAGATGCAGGCGTTTTGAGGCATCTGGGTTCCAGAGGCAACCCCACCACATGCACACACGTGTCACATGTTGCTCCCTGCAGCACAGCCACTGAGTTGCAGTCATCACCCAGAGAGGAGACGAGCAGAGGAAGGCTATGCAAAGCGAGGGAAGGGGGAGCAGAAGGGGGTCCATCCCAGTACCACTTTTGACTGCTCAAGGGTCACGTCTTTTTAGCCCATCTTGGAGAAAAGCAATAGCCTGATGCACGACTGTGCAAAACACTTGGAATGCCAATGGCATGAAAGGGGGTGATCGTCTGCTTGCCTACGCTGGAGTAGGCTCTCCTGAAGTGAGTGGTACTTGCTTCCAAGATCTGTGCAGAATTTGGCTTACAGCTACTACCCAAAGTGGACAGCTCTGGAGGAGTGTTGTTGGAAACCCCATGCAGTTTTATTCTTGACTGGCGAAATCCCACAATCTGTTTCTTTTCCCATTTTAGGAATTTGGACTCTGTTTCTAAAGGGGGGGGGCAGGAAAGGAGGTTCTGCAGAGTTTCAAATTTGACTCTATACATGCTCAGAGACCAACAGTGTCTATATCCTCCTACTGCACCACCCTATGGTGTGTAACTTAAGATAGCTGCAAGGGCTGACCTTACTAAAGACTAAATCAAAGAGAAATTCCATTTTTAAGAGAGACAATAAGTGGAATTGATGGCCGTACCTTTAAAAAGTGAATTTTACCAACAATTCTTTAAAAGAAGCCTGCTATTGTTATTCACCTGCTATTGCCATTCGGCATCTGAAATCACCTTTATAAAGTTTATATCTCCAGTACCTCATTTTACATTTTATTGCAAGCATGGCTTGGCCTGGTGAAGTGACATTCATGTCAGATTCAGCCCTCATAACAAATGAGTTCGACACCCTGGCTTAGAAGGTCCAGCAGCAGATCTGCCCTTGCCTTCTTTCCCTCCTGTCCACGCACCCTCTTTCCATACAATTCAGAACAGGTACAGCTGTCTGTAGCATTTTTTTTTTTGCCCCCCATGGCTTAACTGCATGAAAGTGGGGTGTGTCACCCACTAGGAAGACAGAGGGAACGGGGATGCATCCAGGTCTAGCTTGGCTGTGGGATCCACCAGGAGCTCACCAGATTTTAAAATTTAATTTAATTAGATTTATATTCCACCCTACCCCAAAAACAGGCTCAGGGTGGCTCACAACAATTAAGCTTTAAATAAATAATAGCACCATATAACAAAATCAAGTCAAAACAATCAGACAATAAAACAATAAAGCCAGAAATACTACAAATATAAATAAGATGGCAGCAAAAGCAAGACAAAAACTCCAGGGCTGTCCTTAATGCCTCCTATAGGATGGATTAGTTCAAAGATGTAGTTCTGTGGGCAGGAGAGGCCGAGATGGTGAGAGCAGTGCGAGTAAGGCCGGTTGCGTAGCATTGTATAAAGGTTAGATGACCACCCTGAGGCACCCGTTAATAGGATGAAGGGGGAAAGCCCAGACCAGTATGAGAAGGATAAAGGTAATCTTACCAGCAAGGAAGCCTGGAGACATTTCCCTTGAACACAATCTATCATGGCCCACAATGCGTCTATGCTCCATTCAGGACAGTAAGGAATTCTTTCAGTTTTTGAATCACATAAGGAAGGTTTAAACCCAGCCAGCAAAACTTTGACTGCTTGAACAGGATGCTGCATAAGATTTGGAGGGATCTGACGTAACCTGAGGGAAAATTAAAGTTGGGGAATAAAAATACACATTGGAGACCACCTACAAGTCAGGGCCAGTTTAGACCATGGAAATACTTCCAATGTCACTCTGATATATTTATTTGTAAGAGTTAACCATGTGCATTTAAGCATCTTGGAGTTGGGAAGCTGCTATCTCAAGAATCTCAACAATTCCATGATGATTTCATGTAAACTTTTTGACCTGTGGCAATTAGAACATTCGCACTGTACTCCCAGGGACCACATACAAGCCACGCTGTGTAAGAATAAAGAACCACCAAGCCCTACATTCTGTTCACACAGTGGCCAACCAGCTACCTCTAGGAAGAGGAGGAGATTGGATGTATACCCCACCCTTCACTTGGAGTCTCAGAGCGGCTTACAAACTTCTTTCCCTTCCCCTCCCCACAACAGACACCCTGTGAGGTAGGTGGGGCTGAGAGAGCTCTGACAGAAACTGCTCTTTTTCAAGAATGGCTCTGTCAGAACTATGGCTTGCCAAAGGTCATCCAGCAGATGCAAGTGGAGGAGTGGAAAATCAAAATCTCCCAGATTAGAGTCTGCGCACTTAAGCCACAAGCACAACGACTGCAACAGCATCCTCCCACCCATGCTCCCCAGCGACTAATATAAAGAGGCATATTCTTGCCAGACATAACATCCACCAGGAACATGGTAAGCCATGTCATGCAGACCAGGCCTAACTCTCAAGCTGTATCCAAAAGGTTACTGGAGCATGCCACGTTCATATTCGGCCCAAGCCAAGTTTGCTGGTAGTTTAACTATGAACGAAGTATAACCTTACCTGCTCGTGGGCAACTTATCTGTCGCTCCATAGTCAACAAACAGAACCATAATCAGGAGGGGATTAAATTCTTTAACAGAAAGGAGTTTTGCTCTGTACCAGGAGCCATCAATGTACTGTGCAAGGCAAGGCATTTCTACAAAGAAGAAGCGAATCCGTTTTTTAAAAAAAACAACACTTTGTTTCTAAGGTTGCCTTAATTCAGCAACCAAACTTTAAAGCAAATTTACATTCTGTTGAAGCACAACTTTAAGATGAGGGAAAAGGGCATTAACAAATCCTCCAAATGGATTAGGAATTGTACTTTTGCTCCATATGCTGTCTTGTACATGTATCACAGGTATCATTCAATGTTGCAAAACTAGAGATGGGCATGAACCGCTTCACAAGCCAAAATTCAGCATGAACTTGGCCCAGTTAGGAACCCCTGAACCAACGATCACCTTCCCCTGAAAATTTACCGGACTTTTGTCCAGTTCGGCTGTTCAGACCATTTAAACCTAACAGCTGAGTGGCGTGGGTTCGCAGTTCACCTGTTAGGTTTAAATGGCTAAGCCATTTCATTGCTCCATTTCACTTTCTCCGCTTTCACTTTCTTCACTTTGAAGCAGGCAGAAGTGAAACAGATGGGTTAAATGGCTGCCCTGCACCCCAAACTAAAATTTTCCAGTTCATACCTATTCCAATGCAAAAGCACAGAACAACTAGCATTCTCCCTTTTCCAGTGACATACCTGGGATTAAGTGTCAGACTGGAGCATGGTTCAAAGGAAAGAAAGGCAACAAACAATTTATACAGATAAATATGTTTCTTGCTCCTCTTATTAGAAGAATTTGGCATACAAACACAGAGGCTTAGAAACATAGTCCATGTCTGCCTGGCATATGTAATTGTAGTGTATCAGGCCCCGACAGGGCCGGGCATGCCTGGACTTGCCCAGGCACAAACACCTCAAGCTTCATGCCAAAAGACAATGGGCCAGTAGGATCCTAGCCAGGCCCAATGAAAGGGCTAGGTCCCAGGCTGAGAGGCCAATAGGTCTCTTGGTCACTGTAAATAGCCTATCGGGAGTGGGGGGGTGTTTGGTGGTGGGTTTCTCTGAGGGAATATAAGCCGGCCTGTGAGCCGGTTAAGCTGTCTTTGTTCCTGACTAATAAAAGGTACGCTTAGCTGAAATCACTTCCCGTATGCATACTTTTCAGTAATATTTTAATTGTTATTTTTATTTAATTGGTTTTAGGATATTATGTGGATGAAAACTCAAAATACGTTCAATTGGAAAAACTGGCTTTTCATACTGGTACCTGTATATTAGCAGGAAAAGAATTTATAAGGTAGAACTGATGTTTGCTCCAAGACTTGCTTTACAACTTTTACCTTCTGTTAACAGAACGTATAAAGGCAGATTATGCAAGTATTTAATAGTTTCTAAGGAACATGATACCTTTTCGAAAATCAGTTAAACAGGGACAGGACTCAATGTTCTGATTCCACCAAGTCAAGGTTTCTTTAAGAGTTTTGCAGTCTGAATTCAAGTCAGTTCCACTGTCCTCTCTTTCACTCTTTAGGGTGGAATTCTCTGACTGATCAACAGAAATGTATACCTGAAACAAAAAAAAAAACCCAATCTCACTGAAACTTTAGTACTTTTAGTACTCTTACTCTTAATTTCACAGGAAACACGCAGCTGACAGAGCATTTCCCCTTTGCCCTCTCTCACAAACGGAATGGGCCACAAGGTCTCATGTTCTTCACTAACAGAGTGGAGTTAGAGTTTGATATTCTTCTGACTTGAACCTGATTAGGGATGCTTGTACATCCACCACTTGTGACGAGGCAGTGAATTTATCAAAGGGCTTGATACAAACCAGGCTAGGTTTATTTATTAATTTCGGCTTGTATTCCGCCCTCCCTGCGAGCTGGCTCAGAGCAGATCACAACAACATATCCACAATAGGAGTTAAAACATTTTCACAGTAAATAGTTAAAAGTTAAACTACAAGCTAAGAACAGTTGGCGCTGCAAATTCAATACAGCGGTCTTGAAAACTGGAGCCACTAGGCCATAAAGCAGACTGGCGGTCTTCACCTGACAGGCCGTACTAAGATGGAAACTTTAGCAAGGGAGGCCAATAGATGGAATAATTGGACACCAGCCGCCTCACCCGAAGGCCTGGCAGAGCAGCTGTTTTACAGGCCCCGTGGAACTGTAATAGGTCCCACAGGGCCAGGGCAGAAAAAGCCCTGGCCTTGGTCAAGGCTAAGCAGACGTCCATTGGGCTGGGGACAACCAGCAAATGTTGCTCCGCTGAGCGCAAGGCTCTCCAGGGCACATATGGGGAGAGGCGGTCCCTCAGATATGTCAGTCACTGGCTGCACAGGACTTTGAAGGTCAACACCAACACCTTGAAATTGATGCAGTACTCAATCAGGAGCCAGTGCAATTTGCGTAGCAAATGGGCTGCCACATTTCCCCCTAACTGGGGTTTCCGGATCAACTTCAAGGGCAAGTCCATGTAAAACAAGTTACAGTAATCAAGCCTGGAAGCAACCATTGCCAAGTCCTGGGGGGGAGATAAGGAACCAGTTGCCTGATCTAACGAAGATGACAGAATGCAGACCTGGCAACAGTAGTGACCTGGACCTCCATCAAGAGTAAGCGAAGATGACAGAATGCAGACCTGGCAACAGACCTCCATCGAGAGTAAGGCATCCAGAATTATCCCTAAGCTCCTCATCTTCTGAGCCCGCAGTAATGGTGTACCATCAAAGGCAGGGAGCCTGATTCCCAACCCAATCCCCCCTCCCCGGGATCAGGTACAGGACCTCCATCTTAGCTGGATTAAGTTTCAACCAACTCTGCTGTAACCACCCAGTCACAACCCCTAACACCCTGTCCAGGTTTTGCACAGCTAAGTCATAAATGTGTAAAATATGAATTAATGCAAATTACTGAACCTGGTAAAGTTTTACTGCTCTTGTCTTTTACATCATCAAATGAACGAACATTTTTATTTACACATCCTCCAATGCATTTCTGTAAAATAGCAATTAAAAGTTGGCACGACATGAAAATATTCACTTAATGCACTTAATACCTCATTTGGTGACACGAGGTGTGTTACTTTAACTGGAAAGAGCGCTCCAAGAACAGGCAAAGATGGGAAAGTGTATGGCGGAAGAAGAGGGGTGTCTATTTCAGACAACAGCAGTTCCTAGAACAAAGGAAGAATTAGGAAACCTTCAGGGCTTCAGAGACACTTAGGCAGGAACACAATATGTACACACATTCCCAAACTTCCTAGGTTTGCACCCGAATGCCACCAGGTCAGCATGTTAATGATGATAATCCGGGCCCTATTCCCTGGAACAGTCACTATGAGAATCAATGTATTATCTCAGCAGAAAATTACATTTCCCCAGCTTTTAAGATAACAGTGTTTTACGTGAAATGTTATTTCACTGAAACAGAAAGGCTCCCTTGAGAACTGATGCCTGGATTCTTCCTAATTAATTATTACTCATGCTGCTCAGACTCCTTGGTAAAGGTCCTTGACTGCTTCATACCCGCCCAAACAGGTAACAATTACTTCCATATATCATCTCCTTTAAGCAATGTGCAGGAGGTCGGAGCACTGCGGGAAGCCTTTTGTGGGGGAAAGGGAGGGGGGTAGGATATTGGACAAGTAGAAATGTTTGAATTAAAAATGAATGTAATTGAATATATCCTAATAAAATTGTTTTTAAGAAAAGCACCGCAGCCCAGACTGACTGCCACTATCAAAAAAATAAACTAAAAAGGATCATACTGTTAACTAGCTCTGGGAAGTAAATGGGCATCTAACACAAACAAGATTCAAATTACCAATGTAATAAGCAGCTTAAAAAGCAAGGGTTCTCAAAGTATTAAACTTTACCTCGTAACTAATTTCACAATTTTCTTCCAAAGGCTCATCACTGCATACTGCTATATTCTAAAACAAGAAAAGTTAACCTTATGTTACTGCTGAAAGTCTACACAAACAGTTTCAAGTTCGTTCATAAAGCAGAGATCAGTCCCTTCAAGAATGCTTTCCCCCCCATCCTTTTAATATTGCAGCCCTGTGTTCTGAAAAACATTCTAAAACCAGCACAAAGGAATCTTTTGAAATCAATCTATTTTCCATGGCTTACAAAGTCCAGAGGAATAAGAACTAGTCTGATATATAGAACTGACTGATCCACAGGACGATCTCTCTCTCTCTAAAGAATCCACAGGAGTGGCAGACTGACTTGTTCTCCATTGCCTGACTTGGAAGAGAGCCTTAAGAATCACAAAACTGAGGTTTCACTGAGACCTTGCATAGCACACTACTAAGCTGTTAAGATTTTCTCTTTCAAACAAACACAGGAGGGTAAATGGATTCAGTTACACTGACCACCACCTTAACCAGAGCTCCTCTTAATTAAGAGCTAAGTGTTCTCATGTGGATCAGAAATCAAAATCAAGTTAAATGCTTGGCTTTACCACAGCAACAACTGACAATGTTTTTCGAGAAAGATCAAGATGGGTAGCCGTGTTAGTCAGTCTGTAAGCAGTAGAAAAGAGTAAGAGTCCAGTAGCACCTTCAAGACTAACAAAATTTGTGGCAGGGTCTGAGCTTTCATGAGTCACAGCTCACTCTTTGTTAGTCTTTAAGGTGCTACTGGACTCGAATGTTTTCCGAGATACGTTTTCCCTATTCAGGCTATGTTCTACTACAGGCAATTAGGGTCTTTCTCACTTTTTCCAGACATTTGTAGAACTTGGTAAGAAGATGCTCTGGATTTAGCAAGGCATTACTTGGTTTTTATCCCACCTATCCCTTCAAGGAGCTCAGGGTAGTACATACAATTCTTCCCTCATAACTGCTCTGCAAGGTATGTAAATTTAAGAAACTAAGTTTTTTTGCGGCTTAGTGGGGAGTTGGGATACTGGCTTCCCCGTCCTAGTGCAACACTAACCATGTAAGGCCATGACCAGCTTTTCAATAAGCTCTCTGATTTGTCAAATGTTTGGTAAGAGCCAGCATGGTATAGTGGTTGACATATTTTACTTGGACCTAGGAGACCCAGATTCAAACACCCATTCTGCCATGGAAAAGCTCACTGGATGATCTTTGGCCTGTCACGATTTCAGCCCAACCTACCTCACAGGACTGTTGTGAGGATAAAACAGAGAAGAGAATGACGTGAGCCACTTTGGGTTCCCACTGGGCTGAATGGTGCATTATAAATGAAGTATCTAAATAAGGGTGGGTTATAAAATAAATAAAGCAATCGTTGAAAAAACCTGATACGTGGAACAATTGTAATCTAAAGGAAAGGGCCACAGCAAAATAACACTCCTGTATTATACTCTACAGAATTCTTAAAGTTGACAAAAAAATTACCAGTTTGGGTATATCCCCATCCTCCTCTTCACTGATGCAATGTTTGTGGTATGCCATGAACGAAGAAAGTGACATCCCACTAAAGAACAGCTTAACAGATATATTTTCCCATGGCCCATCTGGTCGTTCCTGTTTTTAAAAAGGCAAGCAAAATGATACTGTATCATCTTTTCTATCATTATAATGATGTAAATTGCTATACAGAACACCCTCCCCCACGTCAGCATCTCTGGGCTTCTTGCAGGTGCCTGGCTCCTGGATCACCCATTTCTCTTCCGACAGGGCCTTCTCAGCTGTCGCTCCTGCCATTTGGAACCAGTTTCCCATCTGCGGCATCTTCCTGCATTCCGCAGGGCATGTAAGGCAATTCGGATCCATCAGGCCTTTGGTTTAATTTTGTGGAACTGCTTCCACTGTACCTGGTAACGGTTGACTGGGAATTGATTTATACTTATTAATGTTTTATGAATCTGTTTGTATTTGAGTAGCTGCTGCTATTTTAATTTTTAGGTGTGTTTTATTGACTGTTTACTGTGGAATGCCTTATTGTAAACCACTCCCAGACCATACAGGAAAAGATGTGATATAAAAATGTAAACAAACAAACATTCACACAGACTTGACGAGTCAAGAAAGCCAATGCACCAAGAACAACAGACACAGAGAATGCCGGGGGCTCCTGGTTTTGTGTATTAAGGATGAGCTGGAAGCACAGAGCAACTGCCTCCAGAGTATGGTCATGTAGTACAATTCAGTCCCAACAGCAGGGGCAGAAGGCTGACACTGGCTGAGTTCCAGGTAAGGTAGTGATTGGGGGGGGGCACTAAATGAGCACATCTGTTTACCAAGAAGTGAGACAATGTATTATGGAATACAAAGAGAGGCACACATCCATGCATATGCCCTGTTGATGTAGAATATAAGATGGGATCTTAGGAGACATAGATGAAAGGAGCCAACCAACTTCCTTTTCTTTGCCCAAGGCTTCACCTGGAACAGATACCAGGGCTGGACAGGACAGGTACTTTAAAAATGGCGAGCAGGGAGGGAAGACACTGGATGGCAGAAAATTCAGCTCCCATCATCCATATCCCCCCCCTTTACATTAAAGCAAGATTCCCCTACTCAGCACTTTATATGTGAGTGGAACAGATGCATATTACAGCTGCCCCCATCACATCCAGCCCCGATCTGTACTAGTTATATTGTTCACCCTTGGGTATTATGTGAAACAGTACACTGGCAGACAGCTGAGAAAAAGAGGAGTTTGGAAACAACTTTCTAGTGCTCTCTTCAGTGTTCATTCCCATGTATATGTAATCAGCAGCTTCATGGAAGAGGAGGCAGCGCCTTGTACACCGACACAGTCCCGTCTTTATGCCCACCTCAATATGTATCAACACAAGTCTCTTTGTAAGTAGTTCTTGGAGGAGCTCAACTGCGTCCTGCTGCCAAGTACTTCCAACCTGTAAGATAAAAGAGGGAGAAAAATAAACACAACCCAAATCAGGATGTATGGAAAACCAGGTCAAAGTAATCTCAGCTAGGGATGGCCCTATCAAAAAGGCAGAGCGGTTTCGGCATAATCCCTGGGGGGGAGAATACAACTGCATTTTCCACCTTGTGAATCAACGTCTCCCGAGCTATCCAAGTGTCTCACTGATCCCAGCCTGGGCTGCTTATCCCCACTCCTTCCCTCACCTCTGGACTGAGAGCACTATCTAGCCTGCTTCTCTCATAACAAGAAGAAGAGAAGAGGAGATTGGATTTATACTCCGCCCTTCACTCAGCGTCTCAGAGCGGCTTACAAACTCCTTTCCCTCCCCATAACAGACACCCTGTGAGGTAGGTGGGGCTGAGAGAGCTCTGACAGAAACTACTCTTGTCAAGAACAGCTCTGACAGAACTAGGGCTTGTCCAAGGTTATCGAGCAGTTGCAAGCAGAGGAATGGGGAATCAAACCCAGTTCTCCCAGATTAGAGTCCACACACTTAACCACTACACCAAAGTTTGCTGTAGTGGTAAACTCGCACTTAACCACTACACCAAAGGATGCTAAGGAATCACACAAACAGGGTCCAGGCATCCAATCCACCCAATCTTTAGCCACCTCTTCTGCTAGAGAAAATCACATGGAGAGGGCTCTGTATCATCTGCCTGTATTTCCAAGACATGAGGCAAGCACGGTGAGCAAGATCCCACTATTCTCACCACTACCACATGTAAATTCTCCATAGCTGCCAGTATGAAAAAGTAGATGGATGACACAGTGTGCGCAGAGCGGTATATTGGAAGGGTAAATATAGCCCTACATGTTTTGCAGCAGGTAACCCACAGCTATTTATTTATAAATCTGCTATGATGCCTCCCAAGAGAGCCTGCTGGTGTAAAAGCACTGCTGAAAAGAAGGCTCCCACTTCAGGAGATAACCTTGTAAACACTATTGGGCCCCATTATTTTACAGACTTTTCTGTAAGACCTTAGCTGAGCTTGCCTCTGAGCCAATTCCAACCTCCAGGAATCCCAAAACACCTTGGAGCTTACAACAGGAAGGACCACTGTTGCACATGATTGTTTCTCTACTCCACATATACTACACGGAGTTCCCAGTAGATTTCAACGTGAAATGTCTACTCACTGGTTTAGTTTTATGGAGCTGACAGGGTATGGAAAAAGGAGGTACGTCAGCATACAAGACAGTGGGATAGAGATGACACTGAGGAATCTTTTCAATGTATCCAAAGTCTAAGTATCGTACCTATAAGAAAGAATGTAAAATGCAAATGCTAGTTCAACGTACACTTTTCTATCCCATCTCTGAAAAGCATGTCAGCCATGGTCAAAAGCACAGCCTGTTTATCATTTGCTGTGACTACTTCTCAGAAGGACTGTGACACAACGGCTATGTTTTTAAAGAACCAGTAGGTCTTCAAGGAAAAAGAAAATCTACACAAATGAAACACTAGACTCTTTGTGAGGGCTTCTTGGCCCTGGCAGATTGGGAGGTGTCTTTCAGTGGGTTAGCGTCCCCCCCCCTTTCCCATGCTCCTCAAGCAGGGCTGTGCCGAAGATCTGCAGGGCCCTTCCATTTCCAGTGGCAGCTGCATCCCCAGTTCATGGCTTGCAGTAGTTGCAGAGTAAAAAAGGAACCTCAGACTTCGTGAACTGAAAAGATTAAACTATGGGTCAGGACTTCACTGTGTACAAAATACCGGTGATTCCCTGGACTCCTTAGAATTCCTATAGGTATTTCTGGAGTTGCTTGGAAGAAGGCTCTTGATTGCACAAGTGTGAATAGGATGAATAACCAGTCCACTGGTGGAGAACCGATTTTATAAAGAAAGAATGCCTGATTTAACATCCTACCCCTCTGCACTCCTGGAAAGAAGATATCATGGAATGCCCCCTACCAGGAATGTGTGTGCCCTTGTGCAAGTGGAGAAGTTGCTGGGCCTGTTTTACTGTGCAGGGTAAAAGTAAAGGTAAAGGTTTCCCTTGCTCAAAAGCCAGCTGAATCCGACTCTAGGGGGCGGTGCTCATCTCTGTTTGTAAGCCGAAGAGCCAGCACTGTTCAAAGACGTTTCTGTGGTCATATGGCCGGCATGACTAAACGTCGAGGCGCACAGAACGCTGTTACCTTCCTACTGAAGTGGTACCTTTTTCTCTACTTGCAGTTTCTTGATTTCAAACTGCTAGGTTGGCAGGAGCTGGAGCCAGAGACAAGAGCTCACTCCATCACACGGCACTAAGGTCTCGAACTGCTAAACTACCGACCTTCCAGTCTGCAGCTCAGCGTCTTAACCGCTGAGCCACCATGGCCCCATCACCGTGCAGGCTACTTTACTACAATTTCATTACTCCTATTCCCCTAAAGGTTTCAAGCGAATGAGAGAAACTATATATTTCTTTTCTTCTCCCTGAACAAGAGCCTTGGATCACAGGTAAAGTGTGCAGTTGCTGGAGTCTGTCATGGTTCTGTATTAATTTTATGCATTATATTTTGTCTATTATAAGGTCACTCATGCAATTTTTAAAATGTAATGTTTTTGGTAAACTGTTTACTCTGGTGCTGGTCTTTCCACTGTAATAAATAATTCATTCGTATACAGAGAGACGGGCCTGAGGTCACAGAATGAACTAGTTAGGTATGTTCATGAATCACTTTTGTATGCCCTCCGGCATTCTCTGTGCCTATAGTTTCTTCTTTTTATATAAAAAAATGGGATTGTGCCATGGCAAAGTAATTTACAAGAATATGAAATACAAAAGGCATTCCACAATGCCTCTCCCCCCATACTTTTGCTATATTCCTTGCTCATCTTTAGAGCCTATATTCCAGTCAGAATTTTACATAGAACAAGGACTGAAATACCCCTCATCGCTAACCAAAAAGCACATTGTATGACCACCATTACTCAAAGGTATATAACTTTGGTGCCAGCGCCCTAAATAAAACACACAAGCACGCACACCACATGCGTTACACAAATGAACATGTCCTTAAAACAGAGCTTACCCTGATAGTGCCACTGCCAACTTCTGTAACTTCACCCCGATACCACAACGTATCTGGACCTCTTACAACACAAGCCTCTCCCTGTTTCCAGCTGTAGGGTTCCAGAAGACCCAGACATCTGACGTTATTCTGTATATCGCTCATCAGCTTGGATAATTGTTGCTCTAGTGTAAAGTGTTACGGAAGGCAGACCGTTAAGGTTATTCATACATCCAAGTCATCATTTTTAATGCAACTTGCAAGTAATTTGTACAATGGCTTACTGAGTATTTCATGGAACATAACATTTTGTTACAAGTCTATTACAAGTAGCAGCTCTGGGTTACCATTCTTACGGAAGCAGGTGGAAAACTGGGAAGGGCTTCTTCCCTCAACAGGTAACACCTTAGAGCCTAATCAGATTAGCCCCACCTTTCTGGAGCCAAAGCAAAGTACCCTGTGATACAATACACATTGAAGGTGACAGACTCTCACCCTTTATCAATCTTTCAACAACAGCACATGCCAGCTATGCTCTGAGAAATATACAGCGATGATACTTCCTGAAACTCTTTGTTAAGGCTTCTGTATCAAGTTTCAAAAGCCCCCCCCCGGGGGGGGCACACACACTTTTTGATGTAATATTGGCTGCAAACTCCACCCATTTTCCTCTGGCTCACCAGAGAAGAAGCAATAGAAGAACAAATGTATCAACTACTGAAATGCATTTCCATCCCACTTTAAGAAACAAAGATAGGTGCCCTTAACATTTGGAAAGAACAATCAGCCTTTATGGTACTAAATAAGGCAATGCAACTTCATATCATCCTCTGGGGTCCATAAGTTAGGGCTTGGCAACCAAGTTATTTCTAGCAGATAACAGGAATATTAACTTTCTCTGAGGTCATAAAAGAGTGCCTTTCTTTCACTACTTCTCCCCTCACAGAATTCCAGCTGAGAGGATGAAATGGCATGGCTCCCATACAGGCATGAGATCCTGCCACTCTTTTTAGAAGTTAGTCTCTACCCCTGCCCTCTCCTGCCAGTATTCTAACCTGAAAGTGAAACCAAACTACTGTTCAGCACAGGCTTGAACATCAACATTTAGTGCCAGGACAGCAGGCAGTAAAGGGTTAGCTCCTATTCCAACTCAGAAGACAGAGCCAAATAGGTATTTATCCCTGGACAGCAAACGCTCCCTTACTCTTATATAGGGGTGTGAATTCGGCTATAGCCGAACCAAAAAAATACCCGAAAAATACTTTGTCAGTATTTTTCGGGTATCACATAAACCAAATACAGATCACAGTTCTGTATTCAGATCCTGGTATAGCTGAACCTGAAAAAGCTGTAATTATCCAGATTTTTTTTCGGGTTCATTTTGCTATACGAAAAAGGTCTCATTAAACTTAACAGCTGGCTCAGCCACCAGTCAGCTGTTCGGTTTAAATGCCTTTCTTTCCCTCCCCGATGTCAGGGCACCTGGAGAAGATCAAGAAGGGAAGCAGGCATGTTTACAATGCCTTTCTTTCCCTCCCCGAGATCAAGGAGGGAAAGAAAGACATTGTAAACATGCCTAGGTTCCCTGTCTGCCCTTTCCCAGCTACAGTCTGTCAAATTAGAGAAGGGAAGGCAGAGAGTAAGGCTTTCCCTTGTCAATTTCACTCCCAGCTGACTGGCGGGGAGTGAAATTGACAAGGAAATCTGTAGGGTCTAACCAGAGAGAAAGAAGGCATTCTAACATGCCTCCGTTCCCTTGGGTGGTGTAAACTGGACCCAAATATATTCGGGAATACTGAATATAGCCCCAATCCGAATACCTTACTGGTATTTTACTGGGGAAATTCGGCATTTACCGATATTTTTCGGGTCTGATTTACCCAAACCCGAAAAATACCGGCATTTTTTCTTTTTGCACACCCCTACTCTTATATAGGAACTGAGGAATAGAAGGGGAGGACTAGCAAAAAATAACGATACAGTTTGCTGATATACAATTTCTGTTGAATTTAGAACCAAACCTGTGAACAAAACACCCTTAACAGAGCAAGTTAATTTGAAAACCAAGGGGGAAAAATATAAGACCACTTTGATACACTAGACAGTTTTACTTACTTTGGAAGAAACATGCCACAATATAATATTTGAGGGGAAATTAGATCATCTACATTTAATACTAAAATTTAAAAAATGAGACCCACACTGTAGATGAACGGTATGCCATTTTATTATATAAAGCTGCCACTTCCCATGATGGAGCTTGCTCTAGTTATTTATCACTCAATTTTCTATTTACCTTGTGACTTTGGTATAACATAAATAGTTCCATTGTCTGCAACATAGGAGACTACAGCACTGAACTGGTTCAAACTAGGAATAGCTGGTGGTTTATATGTTACAACCGCTCTGGACAGATCCGCAGATTTTTCTGATTCTTTATCTTCATGATCTGTAACAGGAAGTTCAGCTTCTTCTGGTGCACAAGACCTCAGTATATTCCCTGATACTGCAGTAGATTTGTTTATGTCCGTATTCTCTTGCTTTAAACGGATTTCCTGTGATTTCTCAGGTAATGCTTGAATTAAGTCTGTTCTGTGCACACAGATAGAGATTCAACAAAAGATGTCAAATAAATTGATTCCTGTGTTTCTTTTAAATTCTATTTCTAGACCTAGCTTTTCTTAACTCCAAAAATTCTTTGCTCCATTTCTCAATATGCAGAATGCATTATGACGAGTTTTGTACTCCTTTATTGTAGAATGGGTTTTCTCAAACCTAGAACTTCTTAAGCCTGATTAGCATTCTTTAAGCAGATTTCGGCTGGACAAACTAGCAAAAAGATCAGGTGCATAAGCTGAAAATTATGAGTTTTCTCTTGGAGGAAAATTTTAGTTGCCTTTGTGAACAAGGTGGCTGGTCTTTGAAGACAATTAACTAGAAGAAAATTCTCTTCATTTGTCTAATTTGTTAAAAAAATTCTGGAGGACAGGTCAGTAATATCATCCCCATAGGTATGAAGCAGAATGTAGTTTATGACTACCTGGAAAGTTCACTGATAAGGGGAGATTTGAACTAGTTTGTAACTCCATCCCACTGTACATTTCTAGTAATACAGAAAGACCCTACCAAACCCCATCAATTTCAACCACTGAAAGCACCACTTTGCGTTGGGATGCCCCAGTTAAGAACTCCATTCCTAAAGAGGACCAATTAGAGTAAGAACAAGTATTTGCAGGGCATCTACTGGGGATCTGCCAGGATGCTATGAATTTTTCAAGCACAGAGCATGTGGAAGGGATGCAAACGATGGTCATTAATCCATGTTTCAGGAAATGGGGGGGTGTTTGGGGACCTGTCTTTCAGAGTAACTCAGGTTCTCGCCACTTATGCCTGAACTATCTGGATATTCCCATCCATGGCAGGAGAGTTTAAACTGCCCTTCTGCCAGAAGAGGCTGTTCACCACACTGATACAGGTTTCCCTAACTGCTTGTCTTCTAATTGCAGTTAAGGGAACAAGGCCTTAGCATTAAATGAAGTACTGAGGCCTTTTTACTGCAGTAGTTGGGGTATTCCAGTGGGGGCAAAGGAATTAAGAATTTAAGTTTTCCTACCTCTGCTGAAGGCTGCACATGGTGAATTTGTTCCTTTCTACTCATGAGAGTATCCTTTGCATATCAGTGATTTAGTGCCCTTTTAACTAAGGTGATTTTAGACCATCTGTGACTTCTGAAGTAAAAGCAACTTGGATTCCCCCAAAATCATGACTTGCTCTGATCCTGGAGTTACTGTGAAGCTGGGACTGCCCTATCTGAAGATAGAGGTGAGCCCCACAACCATAATGACACAGCTATGCCGAGTTGGTGCCAACCTCTCCCATTTGCAGGCCTTTAACCAAGTGACTTATTTTGGCTTGTCATGGAGGCAAACTATTATCCCTTTCCTTGGGCAAAAAAGCAGATTCAAACAAACAGGGCATGGGTTCACAAACAAATAGCTGCCATTTTTCTTTTCCACTATGGTGCAGAAAGGAGGGAAGAAGAGACAAAAAAGCTACTATGGTCTAGGCAAAGCCCAATAAACTCATCTGGTGTCAGAGTCTCGTGTTTCTGTATGTGCTAATATTTCCTTATCTGGAGTGTTATGCTGGGGGGGGGGGATTGGAAAAACTTGCTGTTGCAAATAGAACTGAAGATGTTCCAAAGCCAAAAAGAACAGAGAGACTGTGTTCTTTGTTAGAAACTGCATTTGGTAAGCATCAAGTTCATAATCTTGACTTCTGACAGAGTTCATTCTTTGCACTTGCTCTTCTACCAACTAAATGAGGTACATTTTACCACACTTAAATGCATCCAGAGCAAGATAAAGACTATCTAAGATAGGAAATCCATCGGCATAATTAATCATCATTATTCAGCATTGTAATGCATTAAAATTATGAACCCATCCAGACTGCAATAAAGCAGGTGGATACATATCTTAAATAAAGGCAGACATACCTGCACTGTTCTAGTACATCATCACAAATATTTGAGAAGGAGCAATCAAAACTTTATTCTTAGAAACTACAAAAGAATGCCAACTTCTACCTTAAGCATTCTGCAGGATTACATACCTCTATCAGTTATATGAAAGATACGTACCTTCTTTTCCTAAATGCCAAACCTTTTTTAATCATGTATTCTGAAACATCAGTGTACAATCCATCATCTCTGTGAAACATTTTCACAGGAAATGGTGAAGCTTTTTTTTCCTGGGAGGAAAAAATGAACTGTTAATGGTGTGTGTGGCTCTGTTCCTACTCTTTACACACTGTTTTGCTTTCCAACATGAGTGCAACAACTAACTAAACCACCAACATCACATCATGAATAAGTGGGGGGCCCACAAGATGCAGCACAGAGGGATCCCATCTCCCCCCCCCCATCACCAAGCTGTCTTGGAGCGTGGCTGCTGCTACTGCAGCATCTAGGAGTGTTTGCCACTGGGCCCGCCAGCTCTCAAGAATGAAACTATCAAAATAATCAATTATTCTGTGGAGAATTTAAATCCCCAATGGATTTTTTTTTAAGATTTCAAATTTTTCTACAAAGCTGGGTTTCCCCCCAAATTTGCAGGAAATTTAATTCAGTGCAGCCCCAATCCATGGATTTAGATATCCACAGATGGGAGCCACATGTTGCTATTAAATATATAGACAAGTGGTGGGGAGGGGGCTGGGGGAGGCCAAATTAGATGGAAACTTCGCTGCCTTAGCTGTCTGCCTAGTGGAACATTTCCATTTTACAGGACCTGTGGAACTGAATCAAATTCCACCAGGCAAGACTAATACTTTTGGGCAAGGGATTGCCAAGAGGTTGTTATTCATACAGCGCAATGCTCTCTGGGGGGTGTACCAGGAAAGACAGCAAATTACAGTAGTCTAGTCTGGAGGTGACCGTTGCATGGATCACTGTGGCTACGTTGCGGCGTGGCAGGAAGGGAACCAGTTGCCGAACCTGGCGCAGATGAAAAAATGCCAGTCTAGCAACAGTTGTGATCTGAGCCCCCATCGAAACGGGGGTATACAGAATCACTCCTAAGCTCTTCACAAATGGCCTTGGTGTTAACGGCTCACTGTCAAGGGCTGGAAGTTGGCATCCCAACCTGAGATCTCCCTGGCTCAGCCACAGACCTCTGTCTCTGACAGATTTAGTTTCAGCCAACTCTGCTTCAACCAACCAACCACAGCCTCTAAACCACTGGCCAAATTGTCTGGGGCAGGATTCAGCCATCCGTCCATCAACAGATACAGCTGGGTATCAACAGCATACTGATCACATCCCAGCCCAAAACGCCGTCTCAGCAGGGCGAGAGGGCACATATAGATATTAAATAACATTGGGGAGAGGACTGCCCCCTGTGGGACACTGTACACCAAAGGGTATCAGGCTGAAATAGACTCCCCAAGGGCCACTCTCTGATCCCGACCATGGAGCAATGAGATAAACCATTTCAAGGCTTTTCCATGAAATCCCCATGTCTGTGAGGCAGTGGGTAATTAGGTCATAATCAATGATGACAAATGCTGCTGTAATATCAAGGAACTCCACAATGGCTTTCATAAGGTTGCTGCTGAACAGGAGCAAGCAGCCAGGCCTGGTTGAGTCATACAAGTTGAATGGTATCAAGTCTCCCAGAGGCTGCTGCCAGGCCTTAGGTTCCCAACCTCCAGGTGGGACCTGGATATCTGCCAGAACTACAACTGAACTTGGAAACAGACATCCGTCACTCTGGAGAAAATAGCTGATCTGGAGGGTGGACTCTATGGCATTGTATCCAGCTGAGGCCTCTCCCCTCCACAAACCCTGCCCTCCTCAGACTCCACCCCAAAATATCCAGGAATTTCCCAACCTGGAGATGGCAACCCTAGTCAAGCCTGGCCCCGTGGTGCCCTCCCTCAATGGCCAAAATAGGCTTGAAAAGGGCTCTGCTGCCTCCTCCTTGCTTTTACTGATAGAAGCAAACCTTGGAAACCTGTGGTTGCCTAGCAACAGTCACTGAGGGAATCCACTGCTTAAAGCTACAGGTGCTCCTTTTATCATTTTTGGATTTTTTAAAGCTGCCCAGTGCATTTCTTTAGATTTCATTTTTTTATATTTGCAAACCCAGGTCCCTTTTCAGGTTTGTAGAAAGATCTGTCTTGCCCATTCACTGCTCCAGTCACTGGATTTAAATATCCAAAGATATCCTGACTTCACTATTAGAATATGTTTTAGTACCACATTAACTTACCATATACCCTAACCCACTATCAACAAAAATACGCATTTGGAATTAAACAATGAGACTTTCATTTCAGTAAGAGTATCTGAGTATGTATAACTTCATTAACTAACAGTGTTAGCAAACCAGAGACAAGACTGAAAAGTGTGTTTGGGGGAGCAGGTTGGAAGCGAAGCAAGAGAAAAACCGGCACAAAAGCACTCTCAGAAAACCTGGGCAAACAGCGAACGGAAAGCCAACTGAGCGTTGAAGGGAGGATAAACATTGCAGAACAAAAAAGAAAACCCGATGGACACGCATGGTGAAAGCGAGGTGAAACGCCAGTGTATAATAGGCCTGTATCTGAGCCTACTCCTAAATCTCAATCTGAATAGCATCCTGAGGTTCAAATAAAGGCTACAATACTTCTGTGAGACACTTCAGGTATTTACTACAAACCTGTATGATTATTTTTACCATTGCTCCACTTAAATATTGTATCAGTGTATCGCATGCAGTTGCTGTCCACTGTTCAGTCCCACCAGCTGGCCTAAAAATGAGAAATGCAGGAAACAAACCTTGTAAAAATTTGAACCTTTTTTTTTTAAACTTTATTTGGATATAACATCAAGTCAACCAATATAACATTTTAGTATCCATCATCTGTTCAACAATAAAACTTATGTCCCGTATCTTTTTACCCTCGTTACATCCTTCCCCCTTCCATTTCCCTCCCCTATACAAGGCTTCCCGCAGTGCTTCGACCTCCTGCGCTTCTTATTTCTAAATTCAATTTCCATTTAATATTTCTTATATTTCACTAGGTAACACTTATGTCCACTCCATCTTTCTTACTCCTCATTTTCTACAGTCTCCATAATGGTTCTACTTTTAGTAATTATCAAAACTGAATAATGTATCTTTTACATCTTCATATTTTTCCAAATAGTCTTTTAAATCCTTCCAGTCTCTATAAAAATCCTCCGCATCCCGATTATTCAATTTCCTGGTCATTTTATCCATTTCAACTGCAAATAGTAATTTTTTAATCCATTCATCAATTCCCGGTGTTCTTCTTTCCAACCTTGTGCACATAAGCAAGTCTAGCTGTTGTCACCATATACCACATCAAAGTTCTTTTATCTGCCTTAACTTCCTCCATTTTAAAAATTCGAACCTTTTTTTGAAAAGCTCTGCAGCCAGCTCAACTATAACATCTACTTTGTTTAGTGTAACTACACTACATTTGCACAAGAGATATATTACTCATCTGAATAGTTCCAGAACATTAGTATATAATATCGATACAAATGCTTACTTCTCTCAGTTTTTCCTTAACTGACTATGCTAATTTGGGTTATGGGTTTCCAGTAATGAAGTCTCTCAGAATTTGAGCTACAGTTTTCTATACTGGCCCAATGTGCCATTATGGCTAGGAAATGCAGCGGTAACAAGACATGGGCCTCGACTTTGACAGGGAAGACCCCAAGTTCACAGCACTCCACAGCTGTGAACCATGCTGAGTGGAAATTAGCAAATTAGCTGCATTTCAGAATTTTATTAAATCTGGTTACCTTAAGTCTGTTAGGAAGCATTCCACTGCTAGAGGCCCAACTGACATCAAATTCTCATCAAGTTTTCTTAGACAGATGGTATTCACAGTTTTGGTGGTGCCAAAATCAAAGAAGAATACCTGAAATAGTATGGCCGTAAGGAAATTCGCATTCTTTAGAAATGCTTTTTAAATACATTTTTAAAAATGTTCAGTTTAACACATCATAAATCTCCCAACAAGGCTATTGAATGCATGATTCTCAGAGTGACATCTTCAGGATCATTTCATATGAAATATGGCAACAACTCTAGGAACAGAACTGGTTAGTCTGACTTTGCAATTATTTCCCTTTAGTTTGTCCTATGAAAAAAGTTACTGACGTGCACAGTAAGTGCAATGATATGGATCGGAGTAGCCAGGTGTAGTTATTCTCTCACAGTACACTTTTTTAAAATAAAGGATTTAATTCCATTTTTATCTAATACCAAATGGTTCCCTCTCAGTCATACTAAGGGAAGAAGAAGAAGAGATTGGATTTATACCCTGTCCTTCACTTGGGAGTCTCAAGAGCATTTTATAATCTCCTTTCCCTTCCCCTCCCCACAACAGACACCCTGTGAGGTAGGTGAGGCTGAGAGAGCTCTTTCGAGGACTGCTCTTAAGAGAACAGCTCTGAGAGAACTTGTGACTGACCCAAGGTCACACCAGCAGCTGCATGTGGAGTAGGAGGGAATCAAACCCGGTTCTCCCAGATTAGAGTCCACGCTCCTAACCACTACACCAAACTGGCTCCATAAAAACAGAATGGTTTTCTGAAAGTAGTTACCTCCACAGTGTTTTCAGAAACAATCTTGCAGACCCGGCCTCTGTTCCACTGATCTAGACCATGTATATCAGCAGCACAGTTCATACCCATTTCCCATTGAACAGTTTCTTCTTCCTCAGACATGTTGTAAGTGGCAGATATCTTTTCCTGTAAGCTAAGTTTTAAAAAGTCAAAAGGACCACAAGTCTACACATTCACTGATGCTCTAAAGAGCCATTTCTTCAGAAGTGCAAGGCTTGCACAGTTAAAGCAAGGTATTTTGATAACTCTTGAAATGATGTACTGTCTCCTCTAGAAAAAGCGGGACTTGTGTAGTGACTACCTTAATTCATTCATTTGTGTAGTGACTACCTTAATTCAAATTAAAGACTGACACAAAACCCTAGGTTATGCTGTTATTTTGGTAGACATCTTGTTACCCAAAGGGGAGGTCTCCTAATTAGATGGGGGAATTAGCTTTTAAAGATGCAGAGCAAGAGGCAGGTAACTAGGGATCTTCACCTAGGTATACCAGGATTTTCCCTTAGAGAACTCTCAGAATAAGCCAGGCTGCAATTCAACAGAGAAGATGTTTTATTATAAAAGAATAAAAGCAGATAGGGAAGTTCTCTCAGTGGAGGGGGGTAAGCAGTGGGGGTACTGCAGGGATCAGTACTTGGTCCACTGCTTTTTAACTTGTTCATTAATGATTTGGAGTTGGGAGTAAGCAGTGAAGTGGCTAAATTTGCGGATGATATGAAGTTGTTCAGGGTGGTGAAAACCAGTGAGGATTGTGAGGCACTCCAAAGGGATCTGTCAAAGATGGGCAAGTGGGCATCAACATGGCAAATGGGGTTCAATGTGGCCAAGTGCAAGGTGATGCACATTGGAGCCAAAAATCCTAAATATAAATACACGCTGATGGGGTCTGAACTGGCAGAGACTGATCAAGAGAGAGATCTTGGAGTTGTAGTAGATAACTCACTGAAAATGTCGAGACAGTGTGTGACTGCAATAAAGAAGGCCAATGCTATGCTGGGTATTATTAGGAAGGGAATTGTAAACCGATCAGCCAATATCATAATGCCCCTATATAAATCAATGGTGCGACCTCATCTGGAATACTGTGTGCAATTCTGGTGACCACACCTTAAAAAGGATATTATAGCTTTGGAAAAAGTGCAGAAAAGGGCAACTCGAATGATAAAAGGGTTGGAACACAAATCAATTTACCTCCCTTCTTTCTCGGGGGTGGGGGTTGAATGACTGCGTCTGCCTTTGGAAGAAGAGGTGACTACGACGGAATTAGGTTTAGGGTGGGTGAATAAAAATTCAGCACTTTGCTCCTGCACCTTATACATATGATCTATTCTCTGGCTCGAGACGGGTAGATGCCGGGTGAGACAATGGGATTTTTTAGCTGCCTGAAGCAGGACTGACGTCATCGGTAAGGCTATCAGGGTAGAAGTGTCCATCTGTACGATATCGAACACGGAGTCCGTTACAGAAGGTGAAGGTTGCACCATAGACAGGGTCAACGTCTGATAAAGTCCCCATAAGATTTGACATCCTCTGACGGAGAAATTGGAAGATCCTCACCCACATGTTGAGGCGAGGGTTCCATCTGAGGGTCGGGTTTTTCATCTCCTGATTGGGAGGAGGAGTCGGAAGAGACAGAATGTTCAGATGGTTTGGAAAAGGAAATTGGCAACATCGGTGTCGATGGGACCAGATTCGATGGCCCTTTAAACTTGGGAACTATTGGAGGTAGTGGTTTGGGAGGTTTGCCCATCGGCCTCGATGGTTGAGGCCGCACAAACTCTGGCGTCGGTGGAGGATCTTGATACTGAGAGAGCCGGGAGAAGGTAGACTGACGGTCCCAATCCACCAGTTGGGGTGGGAACCACAGCATACCACTCGAGAATGGATTGTATTGCCATTGCCGCTGATCCCAAGGGGGTAGGCAGTGGGTGGATTGGTGCCAATGGTCGTTCTCGATCATCAGGTTGGAATGGTGAAGGATGGACAAAGGTGTCGGCTCCATGGTTTAAGTGTAGGCTTTTGACACTGGAAGACCGGGAGATCTGCATCAAGTCCATATTGTGCTCTGAGTCAGTGAGCTGGATAGGACGCAGCGAAGGCGACCGTGGTACACCTTGTGGTTGCTTTCAGCTCGTGGAGTCAAGCGAAGCAGCCCCCACAAGATTCGATTCTGTGGCCATCCAAGGGGTCAGTGGAGTTTGCATAGAGGGAGTTTTTGGAGGAAGTATGGGCTTCAGACTGAGATGTCTGGGCCGAGCGTTTCAGCATCGGGTGGTCGACATCTGAGTTAGTCGGTATCGGGGACAATGCAGCCGTCGATGCCGAGGCGGCAGTAGACATTGATGTATGCCCCGAAGTGTCCTGTGACGACATCGGCGAGAGCGCTAACTCCAAAAGCACGACGCGAAGTCTAGCAGCTCTGTTCTTTCTCGTCTGCTTCAAGAACTTTGCACAATGTGCACAAGAGTCCACTCGGTGCGATACCCCAGGGCACAGAAGGCAAAGTGAGTGTCCGTCTGGAGGAGCGATTTTACTACCACACTTGAGGCACCGTTTAAAGAAACCCCACCTCTTGGCCATAGGCCAAGTAATATTTGTAGTAACAATGTCCTTTCACTTAGCAAAAAACCCCAAGAAAAAAGCAAAGAAACTTTGAAGAAAAAGAGGAATAGCCCCTAAAGCCAAAATTTTTACCGACCGAAGCAGAGAAGATCCTACCAGCGTGGCGGTCAGAAGAGAACTGGCGGGATTGTCGTGCCCCTCCCTTGGTTATGTGCAGTGGGGCCTGCACGTGACTGGGGAGCGGGCGCGAAAATCCCTCTTTTTTTCAAGAGGAACCGATCTAGGTCAGCGCAGGCGCACTATATCCCAGAGGTGTGATGCGCAGAGACCACGAAGAAGATGCAATGTTTTGGGAGTGGGAAACCCGTGATAGGGTTACCTGACTTAAACCATGGTCATTAATAACTTCTTGATGACCCTTGAGTGCAGGATAGAAGCTATCGGGTTGTATGAATAGTGCTAATTAGGGTGAATGCAAAAGGGAAGGTGTGACCAGGTGTTGATGTTAAGTCGAGGTGAGGTCAGGAAACCCACTGTCTAAAGTATGCATCTCGTTTTGGGTGGGGAGGAGGGTCATTAGCATTTCACCCTTCCTGTCTCACCTGCCAAGATATGTGCTTGGATTTGTCCCTGGCTGACATCCATGTTCTGTCTCAAGTCACTTCCATTTTGTTTTTATTTCTAGGCCAGACAGCGCAGTGCACATATATTTTGGGGTGATATTAAAGAGGAGCGTTGATTTTCTCTCTCTCTCTCTCTAAGCACCAAACTATTTCCCCTTGCAGGAAGAGGGTCTGACTGCTAACAATCTTTCCTGTAAAACTTTCACAGCTAGGTGATGTGACAGATACAGGATTTGTTTTTGTTTTTTAAAAAACACACACTGATGAGTTTTGTGTCTGTATGGAGCTATGATTAGGAATGTTTCAGAATATTTTAGAATACTCCAAGGTTGCGTTTCAGAAGGTAGATTTCTGTGCCTAGACAGTACCTCTATGTTTTCTGAATCATAGCTCTGCACAGAGACCACAAAGGAGAAACGTGCTGCATATCTGCACTGTAATGAGAATAATGTTACAATCCTAACGAAATACACTTACCTGTTCAGCAGTTTTTCTGCAGACTGCATTTGCACAAAGATCTTACTTGGAGACACAATATGACTAATTCGCACTTGCAGTTCTTTGTTACACTCTAATGCCAAATCTTCCATTTGTGACAGCTCTGTACATCCAGAATTTAAAACCTCCGCTTCCTTTGTGAAGGTTTCTTCTGGAGGAGGATCCCACACTTCATTGTAAGCAATGGCAGAGGTTTGGGGATTCCTACGGAAAGTGCACGGCTCACGTGTAAAATCTATTTTATCTATTTAGGAGTAGTCAAGTAGAAATAGAAGTATCTTCCTGCACAAGTCCAAATATTCCACTTTTGATAACAGCAAAAACAGACCCTTAATTGAAAATATTAGATTGTTCGCTGTACTGCACCACCCTGCCCCCACCCCCAAATACCTACTGCATTACAGGGCTTATGTTAATGATAGTTTATCAGGACACTGTACTTGCCTTGGTACATTCAATGCTAGGCCTTCATTAACCAGGAGGCTATTAATGCTACGAGACACATTTGGTACTGCTGGTACACTTTCATAGAGCTCAACAGAGAATGTATTGTCCGGCAATTTTTCTACAAAGAGATGAAAGAGGACATTACAATCCAAAATGCCCAAGAAAAATGACACACTAGTTTTCCTGACACCCCAAACCTGAAGGAGAATACCTGAGGGCCACTATCATTAGTAAGTTTTTCTCTCCATTCCCATTTCAAGATCTTTCCTAGAATTTTTGCAAAGCTCAAAGTATTTTTGATTTTTTTTTAAATTTATTTACATGTGATTTGTATACCGCCCATGACCCCTAATGGGTCTTGCCAATGTCCTGACGGCTCCTGCCGCGCTGCATCCCACGTCAGCGCGTTGCTCCGGCTCCGCCTCCGCTCGATCCAGCCGCTGCCTTTCCTGGGTTGCTCTCTGCCGCCGCCATTGCTTTCTCGCCGCCGCCGATTCTCCTTTTCCTTACTGCTGCCGATCGCCTTCCCAGCGTAAGCCAGGAGGAGGGTGCCCCCTGCCACCTAGGGCAGGTACCCATTCCTCTGTTGTTATTAGAGCGGCTGGGTTGGCGGGAGCTGAGATGAGGGCCGGGGGCTCAACCCGGCCGCGGTGGGGATTCGAACAGCCATTATGGCTGTTCGCTACAGATGTTATCAGCAGGCGTTGTATTGCCTGCGCCACCGCTCCCATATAAGGTCTTTGCCCTTCTAATGGAAGTTTTTGACATTTAATTCCTTCATACACTTGCCTACTCTCAAGGTTTTCTTACAATCTGACATGAACTTTAAAATCTTACCACTTGATCGATCCTGAATAAGCAGACGTCTTACATTCAGGTGTTTTCAAAAAATTATCTGAACAAAAACCTAACATATGGAAGGTTTGAAACTCATATGAAGAATTTTTATCTCTAGCATAGTTCAGCAGTGTAGAAGCATTCCCTCACTGTTCTATTAGCCCTCCTCCCTGTTTGTTTTATTTTTTTTAAATATTTTAATGTATAGATGGGGGGAGCTGTAGCAGCCTTCAGAGTACCTCTGAGTATAGAGTACCACACCTTTTGGGGGCCTTCCCAATTCCTGAGGGGGAATTAGTGGAAATCAGAACACCATTGCAGACAGCATGTACAAACTCTTTGCAGTTCCAGATGGGTGGGGATCAAGTTCTCCTGCGCTGGCTACAGCTCCCCCCAATTTAACTACCACAATGGGGGGAAAAAGGAAGGAGAGAAAAGTCACTCACCAGTAAAGAAGCACAACATAACTTTTTCATGAATCATTTCTTCAAATCTGCACTTTGACTTACTGCTCCACTCATTTGTTCCTTTACATGGTTCTATATGACTCAGTTTGCACCGGATGGCCTGGATGATTAAATTCAGACTGATTTATGATAAACCCCCTTTTAAGGAACTTCTGAGAGTTACTTACATTAGACTTCCAAAGGTCTATAATCTAAGCAATAATCAGCTCCACTCCCACTAAGCTTGAAATCTTGCTAAAGGAGAAAGGGCATCATAACCAGGCTCTACAGCACTTCAACATCCATCAACAGCAGTTTCTCCAAGTCCTTCATGGAGCTATCAGAGCAATCCACTGTAGTGTTCCTGGGAAAGGCTTCTCAGGGGAATCACGGGCATTATACATTTGTAATGTTTTGAGAAAACAATTAAACACTGAACTGTACTAGTATTATTATTATTGCGATTTATATCCCGCCCTCCCTGCATGCATATATCATAAACCAACCTAACATACCATTCGTATATCATAAACCAACCTGACATACATCAGGAGCTTATTAGGGGTGTGTGCTTGGTATATCCTGAGCTGAATAAATACCCGAAAAATACATTATTCGGGAGTGGTACAGCTATACCAAGCCAGCTCTGCACTACCCCAGCGAATCCTCTCTTGCAGCTCCAATCAGCTGACTGCTCTGTGTTGGCTGGGGCTGGCTGGCTTCTCTTGAAAGCCAGATTCAGGGGCAAAGAAACCCTCCCCACACACACCAGATCCAGGGGCCAGCTTCTTCTGCAGGGCAGTTTAAACCGCGGGGGAGGGGAATCCCAAAGGGTGAACCATCCCGGTTCAATTGCGGTGCAGTTTGCAAAAGGCATTTAAAGGGACCATCCCTTTAAATGCCTTGCCGAATAAATTCGGCAGTCCCAATTGTTTCCAGAGGGGTATGATATTGGAATTCAAGAATATTGGGAACACACCCCAGAGCTTATTTTAAATGAACATTATCAGAAATCTTTGGGGTTTTTTAAAAAAACTTCTCTACTGATAGCAGAATGTTTTTTTTTTTAAACTTCTCTACTGATAGCAGAATGCAACATACCTTTGCTGGAGAGGCTAAGAACTCATCTTTTATCTTGCGCATGTCTTTCACATTTATTTTAGCTGTATTGCCATAGTCTACATACTTCACCTCAGCTTGTTGATGGCCTGGAAGTCCTTCAGAAAACATCAGGGGGTTAGGAGAAATTGAACTGTAAACAGTACGCAATTATGAACAATGTTTGTGTGCCTCCCACACCAACAGCTATTGCTCTGAAGATATTACAGACACGGTATTACAGCAGCGTTTCTCATCCTTTTTCCAGTAACATTTACCCAAGATGCTGATCTGTGCAGCATTCACACCTAATAGCAGACAACAATCCTAAGCATGAAATATTAAAAATGAGAAACAAGAAGGATACACCAGGGCATTTGAGAGATTCATGTCAGAGATCCAATTTACTGGCACATTAGTTAGTGATATTCACTAGTTTACAACAAGCATGTTCTGCTAACTTTACTAAGAGAACTGCTGGAGTAGGCATTTGCTGGAATCACATCCCTTGCTGCACTAAAGGGGCAGAGTGGAAGTTTAAGAGTGATGCAAAACTTGAGAAAATCCAGGCACGCAGAAAAGCCCCTGTCGAACTGGCACTTTTCTCTGATGGAAGATCAGAATTTTCCCTCAGAGGTACCAAACAGCAAACTGCTTCAAGCCCAATTTGTGGGGAAGCCTCTGACCTACAGCTATTACTGGGTTTTTGTGGGAACTGGAGATGAAGGCCCACATTGTCCCCGGTTGGGATCTTGGGAAAGTTATTATTATTTACTTACTCCATTTATACCCCACCCATATTTCTCCCCAAATGGGATCCCATACCAGCTTACACTATTCTCCTCTCCTCCGTGTTATTCTCACAACAACCCTGTCAGATAGGTTAGGCTGAAAAAAATGCGATTGGCCCAAGGTCACCCTGCAAGCTTCCACAGCAGAGTGGGAATTCAAACTTGGGAGCTCCTACATCCTAGACAGATATAGTTACCACTGCACCACAGTGACTCCTTAGATTACCTCTGGATAACCCCCAGTCTGCTATCTGAAGTGCACACTGATATTTATTTATTTATTTGACTTATATCCCACCCTCCCCGCCAAACTTGAGAAAATCCAGGCACGCAGAAAAGCCTCTGTCGAACTGGCACTTTTCTCTGACGGAAGATCAGAATTTTCTCTCAGAGGTACCAAACAGCAAACTGCCTCAAACAATTAGAGCCATCCTAAAGTGCTGAGGTGGTTACGCTAATCTTAATAATAGTGCAATTGTAACAGCAGACGCGACAGGAGATGTCAGAGTAGTATCCCCCCTTTGCCTAATCTTTCTCTGGTTCTGGAACCTTAGGGGAAATGAGCCTCAGTAAGTTCATCCCTGACCTAGATAGTTCAGGCTAGCCCATCTTGTCAGATCTCGAAAGCTATGTGGGGTCCACCCTGGTTAGTACTTGGATGGGAGACCACCAAGGAAGTCCAGGGTTGCTCTGCAGAGAGAGTCATTGGCAAACCAACTCCATTCACGTTTTGCCTTGAAAACCTTATGAGGCTGCCATAATTCAGCTGTGGCTTGATGGCACTTTCCACCACCAAGCTCATTCAGAGGTGGGCCCAGAGACTAACATTCTCTTAACAGAAGGAAGATGAGTGATGTTCTGAGGAGCGCAAGTTAATTACAGCTGTCCCAGTTTTCTGCTTGTTTTTCTACAGCCAATCCTGCCATGTTCTTCTTTTGCTGTGTTTTGCTTAAGTAAACAATTTCAACCCATGCGAGGCCACAGACTGCTATGCTAAGCAAGGACATCAGCTTATCTACAAGAAAGGGGAGGAAGAGGCAGCTAGGAAATGGAGCTTAACTTCTCTCTATGCACATACCTCTAGCTAAAGTGGGCCAGAGAGACCATCTTTCCCAGTATTATACTGGGGTAATTCCAATAACTGGAACTTCTCTCCCAGTGGCTGCGACTTTGGCTTTGATCCAGCTGGGCAAGAAAAGCCAAAACTGTTTAAAGTTTTCCCAGAACTCCCAAGATCCCTGGTGAATTTAGCTCAGGTGCTGAGCCAAAAGGCAGGTGGAAGGGAGTGCTAGGAAGCTGGTTGCCAGGGGAAACCAAGATCACCATAATATAGGGAAACGAACACTTGAGCCACCTGAACTACCACCCACACTGAGTTTGACAGTATTACATCATGCAGTTACAGCTTTCAAATGGCAATAAGTCTACAAAATAATTGCATGCAAGCGGCTTCCAATAACCTGCATACATACATCAGTCACATATTGTAGATACTAGGGAAAACCCTATCTTTGTAGCTCCCTTTTCTGGAAACAATTCTGACATGAGACAATCAGCTCATACTATTTCAACTACCTACCAATCACTTGCGCTCTGTACCAAACTCCATCTTCAAATTTGGCAATGCAGGGTTGATCTTGGATTGGACACAGGATTTCCAAGTTGTCTCCACTTTCAGTTTTATAAACTTCTTCAATCTTTTTCAGGAAAAATGCAGATTCTGGACTGTCCAGCTATCATCATGGAAACATTTATACTTATGAAAGTCAATGTTTATTTAGCACACTATTTGCTGCACAGAACACACTGTGGCAGCCCTTTACATCCAAATGACAAAGGGCAAGGGACAGAAGCAGCTTGGGGCGAGGGGATGGGTCTGGCATACAGTGGGAAGTGAAAGGTGACTGCAAACATAACGCTATTCTATTCACAGCTCTTATAAATCAAACAACAAATATCAACTGAAGGGAATGCTCCAGCAGACAGGACTGCTCTAAGGGAAATAAAGGCATTATGTAGGTATTAACACCCCCTCCCCCTCAACTAACCGAGTGGCTACGAGATTGTGAAATTAGGTCCATACAAGTCTAAAGCAAAAGGTGGGAAGGATGGCAAAGCTGAGAGATGGCAAGAGCGGAAAACAGCTTTCTATACCAGGGCAGCCTTACTCATCAGCATCACGTTCAGATTCTTCTGTCATAGAATATCATTTGCTGCTGCTTCTATCATCACAATGCCAACCTAGAGGTTGGTGCTTGTCTCACTGTGCCACCAAGGGTAGACCTAGCCCTTCTGGATGGAGAGCACGTTGTTGCAGCCTGGGGGCTCAAGAAAAGTGGACTGTAGCTAGTGAGCACATTGCCTTATTGCCAGGGTCTGAATCTCTTAGGGAGCGCTGAAACAGTCAGTGACAGACAATACAAACGCCTCCCACTCTTTTAGCAGGGCAAAGTTATTTTCCTTATCTCTGGGGTCACTGAGAACACTATTGCCATCTTTTGGAACCACAAAGCCCAAGATCAGGGCATCCAACAGGGGCACCTTGAGGGCATTCAGAATATAACTAAACAGAATTTCTTTTTTAAAAAACTGTTAATTTTTTAACAGTATAGGGAACATCCTATTTCTCCCAAATTGCTTAGAATCATAGAATCATAGTGTTGGAAGGGACCATCACTGTCATCTAGTCCAACACCCTGTACAATACAGGAAATTCACAACTACCTCCCCCCCTTACCCCTAGTGATCCCTGCTCCATGCTCAGAATATGACTGGATCTGTTTGCCTTTCTCACCAAAAGACAGCTTGAATTATAAGAGTTGCAAACAAAGCAGAGCTCACAATCATGGAAGGGGTCTTTGCCACATCTCACTTCTCATTAGAACTTCACTTTGCTTAGATTGCTACCTGATTTCAGTATGCCAGACCCCTCTGTGCCCCTTTTTAGGTGGGAAATGCCAGTCAATTTTGGGGACCACTTGATTCTGAGACCTAGTTGATTGGATCCCTGGCCAAAGATGTATGTAATATGTCTGTGTTAGAATGATTTAAAAGGTTTTTTAAAAAGAATCCTGGATTGATAATGTCATCCTTCTGGCATGTACTTTCCCTTTGGTTACCTGAGATGTTATTATCTCCAGGTCCTCCACCTCTCTATTTTGGTCACATCCTTTTGTCTCACAGATTGTATACATGTGAGACTTGGTCCTTGGGCTCACGCTCTCTTCCCTCTATGTATGTGCTCATTCTAAATTCCTTCAACTTGATGTCATGGCTCATTTGACTTGCAAACTTTTAAGTCTTGATTTGCCAGAACCGTCCTTGTCTATGCCATGGCTATTTGTTGTTTAGACCATGGAACTGTAATTGGCTTAAGGGAATTCACAGTAGCAGTTACAACAGCCAGCTTGATTGAAGATATCCAGGAAAAAACACTGTAGGCAAACTGTTCGCCTGTGTTGATCTCCTCCAATCTACCTGCTGCTCCACGGTTAAATGCAGAAACCACGAGGTCTAATTTAAAAGACAAGGAACATCCTCTGGTTGAAACAGCACGTAGGTGGAATAGCCTGGGGATGCTGCTCACCTCCTTGTCCCCTGCTGTGGGGGAGGGAGGGATTTGGGGGAAATGCAGTCCAGCTCACCTTAAGTGTGAGGGCAAAGGTCTGAGACACTTCAACTACTTCCATGTTAAACAGCACCAGACTTAATGTGAATTCCTGGGGGGACCTCAATGCTCTCCCTTCCTCTAATCAATTCTTTCATTCCATGGCACTTTGTCAAAATGCTTTTTAGTAGGCCAAGTATAAAATGGCCTACTGGCTTGGCCCCTATCTATTTTCTTGCTGATGCTCAAGAATGTTAAAGAGGTTAATGAAGGCAGGGCTTCCCTCTACAGAAGCCAAGCTAAAATCTTCTCATCATGGTTTACTCTTCTATCGATTTAAACAATGTGGTCTCTAGCTTAATTTCTGTCCTGGTTACCTTAGGAGACAGTGTTATTACTATTTCTACTAATTTCCTAGATTTCCACTGGTCTGGGACAGCATGTGTGATCTTGCTCCTCCCCCCTGCGGACCTTTCACACACTTTAAGAACATAAGAGATGCCAATGTTGGATCAGGCCAAAGGCCCATCCAGTCCAACACTCTGTATCACACAGTGGCCAGAAATACCAGTGCCATCAGGAGGTCCACCAGTGGGGCCAGGACATTAGAAGCCCTACCACTGTTGACCCCCCCAAGCACCAAGATGACAGAGCATCACTTGCCCCAGAGCCCCTATCTATACCTTGTGGCTAATAGCCACTGATGGACCTCTGCTCCATATGCTTATCTAATTCCCTTTTGAAGCCGTCCATGCTTGTAGCTGCCACCACTTCCTGTGGCAGTGAATTCCAAGTGTTAATCACTCTTTGGGTGAAGAAGTACTTCCTTTTATCCGTTCTAATCCGACGGCTCAGCAATTCATGGAGTGCCCACGAGTTCTTGTATAATGAGGATGAGTGGAATTCTGCAGCTGTCTTGTGTTTTAGGCACCATCACTCTCTGGAATTCTGCAGCTGTCTTGTGTTTTAGGCCCCATCACCTTTGGGAATGAGTCAAAGGCACTTCAAAGTTTACGAACCAACAAAGCAGAACACTAAGTAGAGAGGTGTCTGCAGTTTCTCTAGCTAGAGAGTAATGTAAAAAACCAAAACTGATACCCAGGCAAATACAACCTGACATTGGTCAGACTACTAAACTGGAAGTCAGGATTTGATCCCACGAGATGGATGCTTGTACAACTGTAAAACTGAATTAGTTGGGCTTTGCAATCATCCACACTTTGTAACGTATTCATTTCTAGTGAACAAAGCTTTCTGAAGCACTTAAACGAGAGAATTAGCAAACAAGATTAAACTGACTGAACACTTACCATTTGAATGTAGAAGTCACCAGGACTGATGATATAAGTAACAACAACAGCAGCTTCTGTACTTTCTTGGGGCATCACAGGTGGGCAGTACTGCAGCGGCACAGAATTTTCAGACTGATCGGCCAGTTCAGTGCGGAAGCTGGCAAGAGAGTTCAGAATAAAACACTGAATAAAGTTGTGGAAGAAAGCCACCTTTAATTGAAATGTCTTAGATCAACCCTAGCGGAAATGTACTGAACTATTAAAAAAGCAATTCCCAGTATTCCCATTGCATTTTAGGATAACCAGGAAACAAAAAAATCAGAGCAGAGTTTATGCTGATAATGGCTGTGATGATTTTCAGAGACTCTTACTAAATGCTCTGGGACAATCCAAACTGCAGACCGGGGGGGGGGGGGGGGGGGGTTGCTTCTACAATAACCAGGGCAAGTTTAGCTCCCATTCCAACAGTGTCCTTGAGGAAAGGAATTAGTTCTCTTTTACTGCAATGTAAGACAACATTCTGAAACCCGCCCATCATCTAGGTGTCCCACTCACTAAGGATGAGATGAAAATGGCAGCACCATGGAAGCAACACATCATCTTACTCTCCCCAAGGGGCAATTCCCCCCCCCACTCCTGGAGCCAGGGCTGAAAATGGAAGGTCCCTCCTTGGCTAGGACTAGTTAAACCTTTCTTCCCTGAAAAATAACCTGCTCCATAATGGACAGACAGTAACAAGTATGGAGAGTTAACACTGAGTTCTCTCCTTTTCCCATGCTAGCATCACACTTTGGGTCAGATATGGATGCACTCTTCGCTTCAAGAAACATTATATTTGATGGTTCAGAGATGTATGGGGTAAGGATTAAAGTGCATTTCAATTCAGACATTCTTATCAAGTGAACTAATCAACTGCTTGCTTTGATTTCACATGCAGATGTTCACAAGAGCAAATCACTACATACTTGAATATAAAAAAGCGACTTGAATTTAGAATTTCCTGCATTAATAACTAGTCATGCTAGTAACCATGACAATTAAGATTTATAGCACACTCAAAAGGCTTAAAGGCAATTATACCAACTCAAATAATGTTCGCTTACGCAGATTGCCACTGAATCACACATCGTTTAGTGTTGTGTGTGCTCAGAATAGCCTTCCTGGATTATAAAAAGATATTCAAAGGTTTTAATGACACATACCTTGCTAAATCCAAAAAAACTAATGCATCCCTGAGGGAGATTGGCATGTCACTGCTTATTTTGTTTGCTGGAGGTTTCATCAGATCTACAATAAGAACACTGTCTTCTTCCCTGAACACTCTCATTTGGACGGTTTTGTTATTTACCATTTTCAGAAATTCTGTTCTCGCTGCTCTATTCCAGCCTTCACTCTGTTACAGGCACAAAAAACCAGCCTATCTTCAGTGCCCAAACTACTAGCAGCTACAAGAATTAAGAAATAATTATCTTGAAAACCCAAACACAGCAACCGATATTCAACATGGAGGAGGGATGCATGTGGAATCATTCTTAAAACAGTAACAAGCAACCAACACCGTTTCCTTCAAGTCAGCAGCCTTTTCATACATATGAAAGACTAGCTGGCTATTAGTTCAGAAGGGGAGAAGTCCAAGTTTTGAAAAACTATCTGAAGGTATTTGTTTAAGTTCAACCATTCGTGGCTGCAGGTGTAGAGTCTTGCTGAGTCTGTTGGCAGTGAGATTCTGAAAACCAGCACTATGAACGGCCCTGAGAGAGATACAGTGGCGGATGGCAATCTCCCAGACTACCAATGCACATAATATCTTCAAACCTGTGCCCCCTCACTTGCTCAAATAATACATGCATTTCATATTGCCCATCTGGAACAGCACCCTTTCCCCTTAGGATTTATGCAGAAGAGGTAAGGACAAATGCACTGAGCACAATTCCAGGATGTTGATTTGAACACTACCCTGGAAGCAGCAGGACTACTATCCTTGCACTGATAAGCCTTCACAATGTGCCCCCCAACCCCAAAAGTAAGCATGGCATAGGGAACCCAATATCCAAACACTACTCTTTGTGAGAGGTTGTAAGAGCCAACCCACCAATGGAGGAATTTCACTATGAGGCAAGGAATGAACAGATGATGCCCCTGGGAGTATCTTAAAGGGTCATTTTGTCTAATAAACCAAACCTCCAAGAGCCTCATATGGAGCCTGACATGTTGGACTGCAGTAGTAGATGCCATAAGACCCAATAAATGCTACATCGATTTAACACTTACAAAGAAAGGAACATGCCAAGGCTGCAAAGGCCCTACTCCTATCTGTAGGTAGAAATGCTCTGGCCTTTAAGGTGTCCAGTGTGGTTCCAATAAACTACACCTGCTAGGAAGGCTCGAGATGAGATTTCTCAAAGTTAACAATCACTCCTAATTTCTGACAAGTATTTAGGACAAGGTGAATGTGCTAAACAAGCAACCCTTTGTAAGGGGCTGTAATGAGCCAAATCACTGAGATATGGGCCTGAGGTCATTAAATGGGCAATAACTACGCCCATACACTTGGTAAACACCTTGGGAGCCATGGCCAGTCTGAACAGCAGTGCAGAGTATCAGAAGACTTCAGCACCAAAACAGAAATGTAGGTGCCTTCAGTGAGATGGGTGGAGAGAAGAAAATAAGTATCTGTGACATCTAGTACTGCCAACCGAGAATTTATTGTGAGAAACTCCATAACTGATGTGAGCAAAACCATTTGAAACTTAGCAACATTCAAAAACTTAAGTATGTGGCGGTCCAGAAGAGGCCTGTGGCCACCATCCTTTGTATCTAACCAACAAAAAATGGGGGGGGGGGGGAACCCCACTGCTGGGAATCTGCAAGGACTCACTGGACTGCACACTTCTTTAACAGCTCAATTACTGAAGCCGCAGTTCTGGATAAGGATTATCCCAAGCAACAGCTACTGGAGGACAAGGGAGATGGGACTTTAATGAGTAACCCTATCACATAGTGGTAAAAAACAACAACACCCTTATCCCAGCAAACTATGCCAAAGAAGCATAAGGTTGCCCTTTACAGTGAAAACCAATAATGAGGACTTTGGAGTAAATTGAGCTGGGTCCTTCGAGGGAGGCTGACAGTTGACTGATCTGGGTCTGGAGAGGTTTCTCCTTCTCTTGAAGGAAGGAGACTTGAATGAGAGATGCTGAGGACACATCTGCAGAGCCTGTTGTTTCTGGGACCCCTGGCCACAGTAAAAAGGTGTAGCAAAGCCCTGTCAGCAATGGACAAAACACTGACAAGGGGGAGCGTAGGAAGGGAGAACCCCAAAGGATTTTGCAGTCTGCCTACTCCTCCTAGTGAGGAACTCCTCTGTTGTAGTGCAAAACATGGAATCCTCAAAGGAGAGGTCTTCAGCCTTTACAGTAAATGTCAAGCAGCAAGGCAGTGTTGCGCAACCAGGAGCGTCCATATAGCACAATTGCAGACGCCATAGATCTCACCAAGGCATCCACAGCATGCCTCCTAGCATTTATCTTCTGTTCTGGCAGCTTAATAGCTTTGGTTTGGATGAGTTTCAGAAGTGCTCAACGCTCACCAGGGAGGGGATCCAAGTACAAAGATATTTTTCCCCACAGGAAGAGTTGATACCTCCCATGATCACCTGCTGAGGCTAAAGGCTGATAAGGAATAAATCTTTCTTCCTAGGTCATCCAGCCATCTACTCTCTCCGTCAATGGGAGCAGAATGTTGGCCTCAGTCTCTGCTTTGCTTGCATTTCCTCTTTCACATCTGAGGATAGATGGGGGTGCATGGAGAGGAAGGCCAAGTACGAGGTTCGGAGGTCAGAACTGACAGAAACAAATGGGTGGAGTCTGGCTTTTGTAGGACTGAAACAGATGGTTTTGAAGGGTCTGTAAACGTGAGTGCCATTTCCCCTTAGGCTCCCTTCGAACAAAAAGCTCTATCCGATCAGGCTTTTGGGGCAAATTCTGGGGCAAAACCCCAGGCAAATTTTACAAGCGCCCATGTTATGTACCTCACCCAAGCACATTAAGCACAACAGGTGAGCAGGGTTCTTGAACTTGCCTCTTGCTGCACCTTCCAAATGGCTTCCAAAGCTATTTACAAAATGTGCACATCAAGACATGTTTAATTTATTTTTGGTAAATGAATTCCATTAATCCATTCACAATGTCATGCTCTCCCAGAGGTTTCTGTAAGATTATTGGGCAATTTTTCTATCTAGAAGATATTATCACAGATGCTTGGTTTTACAGTTCTCAAACTGTGAATCTGTGTCTGCAGAGATCACATGCGTCTTCATCACAGAAAAAAATATGTTATAACAAACATACAGAGTTGGAAAAAGACCTTAATCCCATTGTTCCTTTGCTATGTACACTGAATCAACCCTTTATCTCTTAAGTGCGAAGTTTCCAAAAATTCAGTGAATAGAAGATTGGGAGTGGAAGTCGTAAATCAAGACCAGTGCCAGGAGGACGTCGCCCGCAGACAACAGAAAAACAACTCGCTACAAGGGGGGCCTGGTAGGTTAGTCACCCCCCCCTTGTATGTGGCCCTAGGTTAGGACTTGTACTGATTAAATATGTGAACTGCTCAGAGCCCTCAGGGGGTGAGCGGTATACAAATGGAAAGATAAATAAATATATCTGCACAAAAAGCTAGGGGGGGGCAATAAAAATGAAAGTTAAACCTTTTGAGCAGAATACTCCACAAGTCTTTGGATCTTTATGTGTATAGCCTAAGGTTATTACATTCTTCTTGCCTCGGAGGAGAAAACCTATAACAGCAGCAGGCTGTAAAAGAGACCCAGTTTGGGAATATTTCAATAAAGTTCCTCTAGCTATGGGGAAGGCAGGCATGTGTGCAAGATGCAAACACTGCAACAAAGAAATGCAAAGCCTGGTTGCCCAAATGAAACAAGATCATGAGAAATGCTGTGATGAAGACAACAAAAGGAACATGTCTGAACAAACAGGATCATCAGGTTGGTAAACATTTTGATCTCATCATATTTCTTAAAGACTGCCTTGAGGAACTGTCATGTTTGAGCAAAATTATATTTGCTATTATTAATACAGCATGTTACTGTCATTTTGATACAGTTATGAAAAATAAAAGAGTTGAAACAGGCATATATTCCTTCTTTGGCAGTGAATACAATGAGTAATACTAAATAAGCAGAAATGGTATAAATAATAAACCGCATAATAAATTTGTCATCAACAAAGGATTCTGGAAAATATCCACCTTCGAGATCACCATATCCTGTTCTACAGTTTCAGAGTTCTCTGTCCAAGATAGTGTTTTAGTTACATTATATACATCACACATCTACAGTATATCACCTAGAAGAAAGAAAAAAGCCAACCATCCAGGAACCACAATAGATACGTTTGTAATAAAAACTAGATTAGAAAGAGTTCTGATGGGAAAACTGCCCAGTTTACGCAACAAACTCTTCTTTCTGACTGAAAACCTACACTTCATCAATATGATCCAGTCCCTGAGACTAGGATACAGTCCACCCAGTAGAGCAGATGTTGTAGGGAACCTGCTGGATAGTGTATGACAGAGAAATGGAGCAACGTGCAACAGCTCTAGAGGGTAAAACTGTTAACCTAAGTCTTGATGGGTGGAGTAACGTCCACAATGATCCTGTTACATGAGCTTGTATAACAACGGAAGGGAATGTCTTCCTTGCAGAAACAACTGATACATCAGGAAATGCATACACAGCAGAGTACTTACAAGATGTGGCAGCAAAAGCTATAACAACAAGTGAACAAAAATTCAAAGGTATAGTACGCAGTTTGGTCACAGACAATGCTGCAAATGTATCCAAGATGAGAAGAAACTTAGAAGAGCAGGAAGGGAATACAACGCTAATAAACAGATGGTTGCAGGGCTCATTTGCGGCACCTCCCAGCCAAAGACTAGTGTCATTGAAATTGCTAAATACTTCTGTAACAATCATTTTGCAGCAGCAGCAGTAGCAGCTCTGAAAAGAATGGGTGGAACCAAACGAATGCTTCCACAAGATAGATGGAACTCTGTAATGGACTATTTTGAGCCTATTCTGATGACAGTTTGTGAACAAAATCAAGAGAAAATAGATGGCACTGTCACAGCCAAAATACTCAACATTGGGCTTAAAGAGAAATGTTGAACATATGCTGAGCATCCTGAAACCGATTTCTGAAGCTTTAAACAAAATACAGAAAAACAGCTATTTTATTGCTGATGCTGTTGAAATTTCGAAGGAACTGAGCGAGCACTTAAAACACAGAACCACACACTAACAAAATTAAATTACAAGCATTAAAAAAGGAATGGGGCAAACACCGTCCTCCAGCTCATTTTCTCGTAAATATTGTCAATATCCGGTACCAGGGTCAAACCTTAAACTACTGAGGAAGAGGAGTTGGCTATGACATGGGTATCCAACAATCATCCATCTGTAATGCCAACTATAATAAACTTCAGAGCTAAGGGGGAGCCATTTAAGAAATATGTTTGCTGGTGATGATTTAAAGAAAGCCACAACAGTGAACTGGTGGAAGTCACCTAAGCACTTGGATTTAGAGACTGTTGAAGTAATGATTTCACTTTTAACAAAAAGAGGTTGCTTACCTATAACTGATGATCTTCGAGTGGTCATCTGTGCATTCACACCCTGGGATATAGTGCACCTGCGCCAACCCCGATCAGTATTGTGACGGGGGAGCGGGCACGAAAATCCCTTTAGCTTTCTACAATACCGATCGAGGTTGGCACAGGCGCACTATATCCCAGAAATAAAGGTTTTTAAAAGCAAAAAAATCTCTTCTTTCCAACAGAGCAAGATCCATTGATACTCTGAGTATTTTAAATACTTTTGACTATTTTTACAACAGAATGAACCCATGGTATACTTAGTATCACTTTACATTCATAACAATCATTTGATATACTGGTTAATGCTTTTCTTCCCGTGCAAAGATGCATAAAGCAAACCACAGAACACACTCCTGATGGGTATGATGTTTTCAGAGTATACTTACTGAACGTTTGGGAACAATGTCCTTCAAGGAGCACTTCAGTGCTAACTTATTTATACCTCCAAGTTGTGCCTCAATAAGAAAATCAGGTACCCTTACAACTGAGCACAAGTCTTCTGTCACTACATATTCTAGAGTAGCATGTTCTGGATTCATTGCGACATCATTAGCAAATCTAAGATCAGTGGGGGGTGAAAAGATGCCAGAAGTTATTTCTCACTTTATTATCAAGAAGTATACTTTTAAGCTTGATTTAATTCTGTGAAAAGAAACTTTCCTTGGAAACAATTACTATCCACCCAATTTTTAACTCAAGAAACCTCTGTGTATTTTAATCTTCCACTGGAGTGCAAATTTCTAAAACTGAGAGAAGAATCTAGAAAGAAAGTTATACTGTGTACATAACACTTGGCCTCCTGAATAAAATAAGCTGTGTATAGAGAATAATGTAGATATTCTACACCAACACACATAATATGAACTGAGGCCTGAGCACTGATATGTCTTGATCCTCTCATCACCACACTGGATGTTCTATGAGCACTGCAGGGGTTCAAGTTATAGTTTAAATTGTTCCCAGTTAACTTTGTCTGTGTTTAAATGGGCTGGCCTCTACAGAACAGAAATTACTGGAATTTCAGCATGAGACATTCAGAGCCAGTCCGAGTGTCTGTTTAAAGCAGGATCATAAGTGTATCATTCTTAACACCATTTTATTTAGAGACTCATGCAATGCTTGCATTGCAAACAGTGTCCTGGTCAAGAGAACTTAATCTCCTCTCAAGTTTTTTCCAAGATATAAATCACATCGTGTAGTTCTAGGCTGCTGTATTCAAAACGTATACTTATGACAAAAGAATGATGCAGAAAAGTCTACTACTCAATATTCTTTTTGAACCTTCTACTGCAGGTAAGGCAACAGTGCACTATGACCCTCCTTTCAAGAGGAAACAAAGAAGCAAGCAGATACAGTGGCAACATTTGTAGGGGGCTGATTTACACATAACCAAGGCTTGTTGATTACTTATACACCAATCCCAACGCATATACAACCTTTAATGTTAACTGGTGCCTATATGGTTCAATTTGGTGGCGGCAGCAGCACAACCTTTAATGTTAACTGGTGCCTATATGGTACAATTTGGCGGCCGCAGCAGCACACTTGGAAATAAAGGAGAAGACCTTGCCCAAACAGATTAACAGAAAAGTAAATAAATGAAAGTGTCAACTTGAATGTAAGACTCCTATATAGGATTTGTTCCTGAGGAAAGACCAGAGGTCTGAAACAAATATCCGGAAAAAGTGTTGACTGAAAGAGAGACACAGGTTGATTGAATTCGAAGCAGACTGCTTTTGTGAATTTGGATAAGGATACAAGACTGTTAGAGGGATATAGACAGAGAGTCTGGAGCAGACTGCTATGTGAAGTTTTATCGACCTTTGTGTTTTTTCTATGAAGGAATATGTTGTTGTACTTCATTACCAGACACTAAATGAAGTTATGGCTTTAATCTAGTGTCATTCGTTGTTGTATTGTTCTGTGGGCATCTAGCACATGTCTGCATATATTTTTTCATACCAGACCATGGTGGGAGATATACAGCATAGTTCAATTGCACCCCACCATACATACAAACAACATGATGCAGTAATATGTTTTCTAGCCTACTGCCTCAGTGATGTTTAAATCCAACCATTCATGCCTTATTCTGCTGCTCACACCTGTAGATGGCTTGAAACTCTTGCATTCCTTCTCAGCAACCCACCCTAGTCAATATCTTAATACATAATCAACAGTGAAATTCAGGTGGGTAGCCGTGTTGGTCTGAAGCAGTAGAACGAAGTTTGAGTCCAGTGGCACCTTTAAGACCAACGAAGTTTTATTGAAAGTGTAAGCTCTCGTGTGCAAACTTCGTTGGTCTTAAAGGTGCCATTGGACTCAAACTTTGTTCTACTGTAATCAATAGTGGTTATTGGTTAACAAGCCTGGGGACCCAGATGGAGAGCAAGATGGAGAGCAAGACAAATTTGTCTCCCACTGCAAGATCTGTGTCTCCAGGATCTCTGAATTCTCACCCACCCATTTTCCTTTGAAGGACACAACACGGCTCTCAGCATTCCATCCTCTCCGGAATATTTTCTGACCAGACCATTAAGGGAAGGGAAAGTGTTATAAACTCACATTTTTCTGCCCTTGAGGTGAAGCGCCTACTGTAATTTGTGGTTTTCCAGCCTTTGTCATCCGCACAGGGGGCACCTAATTTCTCCACTAAATCTAGTGGAAAACATTCCTGTACTAGTTTAAAAAAACAAACAAACCAAGAAAGTAGAAAACTGTTCATACCCTGAAACAGTTAATGCTTCAGAATGTCCAGAGTCTATAAAGAATACTTGCATCATAGCAACGTCACAGATTTTGTATTTTGTTGGACCACAGGGCTTCCCCTCATTTGTATTCTGCTTTGGAATTAGTTCAATAACTGTTGCACGGCACCATATTCCATGCTCTTTACTTTTAACAAAGACTCTTGCACCTGAAACAAAGGTTGTTTTTTTTTTTAAAAAAAGGATTACAACATTAACAGTACTCAAGGAATGGTGTTCCTAGAACAGCTGCCACATTAATGCTTTAAGTACTGAAGGATGAGAGCCAGTTATGAAATTCCTTTTTAAAAAAATTAAATGTATTGGTTTTTTCCATTAAGTTCATATACATGAATCTTCTACATTTCTGAATTTTGAGTCCTCTATACATTATTTTCTATCCATTTTTTAACTCTTGTCCATCTTTGCGTAACAACCTTCTCATAAATCCCACGCAATTGTGTGTACAACCTGTCCATTTCCACTACTTCCATCAGTTTTAATGCTATTTCTTGAGTGGGCAATCTATCTGTCTTCCAGTACTTTGCTAACAAAATCCTAGAAATCATATAAATGTACAGCAGGATATACTGTTCCCTGTGTGTGAATTGATCACCTGGTATTATATTCAGCAAATAAGTTTCCGGCTTTAAGTCCACATTTACGTTCAAAATTTCCCAAATAGTTTTTTGTACCATTTTCCAGTATTTTTGAACTTTATGGCATCCCCACCACATATGGTAGAAGGTGCCCACATTAGACTTACATTTCCAACATGTATTAGAAACACTCTTCTGACATTTAGAAATTCTATCAGGCGACCAGTACCATCTATGATGCATTTTATACACATTTTCTTTGTATGACACTGAGAGCCAGTTATGAAATTCCTATGACACTGCATTCCAGAGGGTACTTTAGGTTGATCTAAATGCCGACATGTTAAATTGAAACAGGACACATTTCACTTATCCTTCCTCTCTGGTTTCAAATTGCAATGCAAAGTTCCTAGTAAAGAAATTAGTACCGTCTATTCTGAAGTGAACACTTTATCAGAAGAGTTACTTAGAGGTTTTTTAAAAAAATGTTACCTAATTCCAAGATGTCTGTAGGGGATGTATTCTTACTATTACAGAACTGCTTCAATATTTTTTCCAAATGAATTAACATTTTCTTTTGTGAAAGCATCCGAACATAGAAGTGACAAGGATGTATCACACAACTGACAAGAACTAATTCTGGAGAGTCTGTATAGGATACAGCAAAATAAAAGAAAAAAAAGCAGTTATAAACCTTGAAAACAATATGTATGTTTAACACACTACTGAAAGAACATTGACAAGTATGCATGAAAATTCTGCCTTTCAGAGCAATATCTAAACACATGAAACAAAAGAACGGTTTACCTAGCTGCTCTACCAGAACACCATTTTTAGAAATTCTCTTCGTGTGACAAATTTTGTACTACTACAGATATATAAATTCTTAAGTTTCAGTTTCATGGAGCTATTACATGGCTTGTTAGGAAAGTGCTCCATTCATCCATGAGCAACTTTACAGGTATGTACGTGTAGCTAGAACATTGTCCAGCAAAGAAGAAAATAACAGAGACAGAGAAGTCCAATTTAAGTATCTATAACAGCAATTATTTCTTGCTTCTGTGCACATATGCAAACATACAACATCATTGTTTAAATCTCAGCTAGAGGTATTCAAGCACTGGCACTTGAAGAGGCAGCCAACTGAGGACTGCCAGCCCAATAACATTTCTCCATTCTACAAACCTTGCTAATTTCTGCCATTTAACCATTAAGCATGTTCAGAACATAAACAAATTTTAAAACCAGACTTCAATGGCATACCTGCTTTTAATCCAAATGGAACCAGCCGCTTTTGGAAAAGCTTCCTCTGATGTGTATCCTCAGGGTACTCTGGGGAACAAGCTTTTTGGGGAAAGAAGGTCATCTTTCATCAGACGTAAGTAGAATAATTCTCATCCTATGAAATCAATTGGCTTAAGTACGTGAAGCTACTATATGGTATTCCTATCTGGATTACTGCTTTTAATAAAGCAGTTGAACAACTACAATCCAAATTCCTGAGGAAGATTCTGGGGTTGCCTTCGTGTGTATCTTATGCTGCCATTTGTCTGGAGCTTAATTTGAGACGGTTAGAGACCAAGGCCTGGATTATTACTTTCAGATTTTGGCTACGTCTGCATTTTAGATGTAACCACAATAGCCTTATCACCTATATGCTGGAAGAATCTCAATCCTCTGCGTGGCTTATGGCTATTGAAAAGAAAATCACTTCTATTGGTTTTAACCTGAGTGACCTTGTCATCCGGTCAGAGCTTGAGGTCTTTACTTTGCTTAAACAGAGGCTTATTGATATAGAGTTGCAAGAGCTCAGAGCCCTTGCCTCCGGAAGGTGCTCCTCAGTAAGGTGGGCTTATCCCCTTTCTGGTACTCTACCATATTACTTTTTCTGTCTGACTTCACCGCAAATGTGTAGAGCTTATCTGTTGGCCCGTCTTAATGTTCTCCCTTCTGTTATTCTTGAGGGGAGATATAAGCAAATTCCTTATTCAGTCAGGTTCTGTGGATGTAATAGAAGACAAATAGAAACTGTTGAGCACGTACTCTTACACTGTAAATTGTTAAATGACATTCGAGTGGAATTTATAGAAGCCCCCCTTAGGTTGGTAGCAGGCCAATCGGATAGAATCAAGGTACAATTTCTCCTTGCTTCACGAGATCCGGAGATCATTGAACTGACTGCTAAGTTTCTCCATGGTTTTATAAAACGGAAGAGTGACCCTGATCATATTAATGATTCTTAATTATAAGTCTAAAAACTTAAGTTTAAAAGTTTAGAAGGCCAATTTATTTTATGATTCAGGCATCTTTTGTATGGTCAAATCTAGCTTGTGACAACTTGAGTTAGGCCTGACATAGCCACGACTATCTATTTTATAATTTCTTTTGGACTGTATTATTGGTAAATGCTTCTAATATTGTATGCCAATAAAAGGTATTTGAATTGAATTGAATTGGCTTAAGTATCACACACCAAGAAAGCAAGCAACACCACCAAGCTGATTTCTCTAGAAATAGCAGGAGTCAAGATGGCCAGGAAGCACCTCCACCTTAACTTGGTAACACTGTCATCCAGGGAAATTTATGCTACATCTCAACAGCTGTTACTGTCTTTTATTGCACACGTGCTCTAAATACATCAAGAAATACTTTTCTACTTAAAAGCACACAAAGTGACTTATAAAAACTAATGGAACTACATCCAATATATGAGATACTAGAATATAGTTATTCAGGCAACAGCAACACTACATAGGGACAAAGAGAGCAGGTAATGTCTCCCCTAATAGATATCAATGTAGTTACGAGGAGAAAGCTGCTGCAAATGCAGGCTTTTGGAGGGCAGAAAGGAATGTATGAGCGGGGGGCCTGGTGGTGGGTGGAAGGGGCTACTGGGTGCTGTCTGCCTGGGGTTCCACCCCTATTCCCAAGACCAGGAAATGGCACTGTTATCAGGCTTCTTAAAAAAAGGAAACAGAAATGGTTGCAGATTGAATGGTAAGAGTGCTACTCACTTTCTGGATAATCTTCAATTATTTCTTCAATTATAACATCTGGAGTACATACTGTCTGGGGCAAAGTAGCAAGATACTTTGGAGTTGGCAACTGAGGCATCTGCTGGACCCGGGCACAACTGCCATCAAGCTGGACATCACATTCTTCTGCAAGAATCTTTAGATCATTCTCTTCAACCGATAGGTCATCTTTTGTTTTTCCTCTTGGTAAAGTGGCACTTTTGAAGCCTTGTTCCTTACTGCTCAGTTTTATGGAACTATCTCCAAAGCTGTGTCTAAATTAAGAAGTTATCCAGAGAAGGTTAATCTTGGGGGGAAATTACTATGGAAGATCAAATGCACTACAGAAACAGTGAACTGGTTCGGCTGTTTTCAGATGCGTATTTAATGCCCTCTTACCGCAACCCTGAAGATATGCAAGACAGCCAACCAGGACAAGTTATGCATAGACACATTATTATACACTGCTGTTGTGAAAAGGTGAAATAGTGGTTAATTAGGTTAAATTTCAGTAGAATTATGCTCTCAGTTGGTGTAGGTATCAGCAGCAGATGCTAAGAAAGTGCCATCCATAGAATGTGGGCTTAAATCTAATTTCAAATTGGTCTGACTGAAGGCACAGCACATAAGCATTGCCTACAGCAGGTGCCAGGAGCTGCTGTAATGAGAAGAAGTCATGGGGACCCTGTATTACATGTAGTCCCCTGGAAACCTGGCCACTACTTTCTAGAAACCTTCAATACCTGTATAAATCTGTTTTGTGTTAATCCCAAAAAATGCTTAAGTAGGAAGTGCCACATTATTTAAACTACTAGCAGAAGTATGCTGATAGACACTAATGTTTCTAATGTGGGAAAGCTTATATACCAAGATGAAAAGGAACTTACAGATCAGTCTTATCAAGGAGAATTTTCCCCATATTTTCCAACAGGGAGGTACTCTTATCACCATTTATGTAAAATCTGTATTAGGGGGAAAAAAACCAAGTTGAATTTTATAAGCTGCTGGCAATATTCTCTATGCATTTATTTTAGTTACTGATTGAAGTAGCACCACTTAAGTATTGGGGACCCTCAAAAGCCATGCAGGATGTCTTGCAGAAAATACAGCTGAAGGGGACGATCAGCACTCTCCCACGCCCAATATAGTACACACACACAGAAATGCTTTTCACTAATTCACACGGGAGTTCCTTGGACCCCGCCCACTATTCACGTTTGGGTGCTTGTTCAAATAATTATTTAGTACAGGTATTTTCTTTGAAAAAGCTTGTGCTTCCCACATACCACAAGGAATTAGCGCCCTTAAAATATTTATATGCTTGCCTTTCTCCCAAACACAAACCTCAAGTTTTAAGAGAGGTTACAATGTAAGAACAATTTTAATAAAAACAAACAGAAGAACAGAGAAAAAGCTTTAAAACCAGCCTAAAATCACTGTAACCCACCCACCGACGGGTATCCCCTTTGCTAGGCTCAGCCTGCCCTAAAAGCTCTCCAGAACAGCTCTGCTATACATCCTCACCAGAAGCCCTGATCTCTTCTGGGAGACTGTTCCAGAGGCATGGGAAGCAATTTAAAAGTCTTGAGCCAAACTGTTGCAGAATGTGCCTTACACAAGGGGGGGGGGTACTGAAAGTAGGGAAGAAAGAAGCTGTCACACAGAAACATACTGACAGAACTGGTCCTTCAAGTATGCAGACCCCAGCTCATGAAGGGCTTTAAAAGTAAGCACCAGCACCTCAAACTGGATGTGGAAACTAGTTGGCACCCTAGCAAAGGGACTTATGGTCCCACTAGCTAAGCCGCAGATAACAACTGGGCTGCCACATTCTGCAACAATGCCAGTTTCCAAGGTTGTCTTCAAGGGATGCCCCATAACAGAGTACATTACCGTAATCTAGCCTCAAGGTTACTGGAGAATGGATCAGATCGGTGCGTTCAGATCAGGTATCTACAAATAGGGACTCAGTTTCTTTATTAGAAGGAGCCAGAGAAAAGATTTGTTTTGTCATCATGGACACCTGTTTTCCCAACAGGAAACCAGGGCCCAGCGAGATTCCACACTCTTACAAAGTCTTTCAGCAAAAACTGCACAATCCCCTTTAAAGTAGTTGTTCTTCCTGGCAGCATCAACCAGGACTTCATTATTCTTAGTGATCTAATAATGCCTTTAGTTTAAAAAAAAACACTAAAAAATACTTAAGAAACACAAATATTAGCTTCCTTAAAACAGCTGACGTTCCAGTCATTCATTACCTTGGAAGTGCTCTTGTCTTCAGATTATCCAGTTTTGAAACGTCATCCTCAACCGTCATTTTTAAATTGCAAAGAACCTGAAATTATAAAACCCTAATTTATAGATTAAGAAACTTCTGGTAGAAGAAGAACTTGACTTCCAGTGCTGGAAAGCTACAAACACCTAGTGCAAAATTACAGTTCTGAATTAGTTATGCAGGCACACAAATAACCTAAAAGAGCAACCATAATAAATCCCTCAGTTTCTCAGTAAAGCTCAAGCTAAGATCCAATTGTAGGATTCAGATATTCATAGAACTTTAAACTATAGAGAAAATACAACTACAAAAACCTTAAAGGTAAAGGTAAAGGTTCCCTTGCTCGAAAGCCAGTCGAATCTGACTCTAGGGTTGCGGTGCTCATCTCCGTTTCAAAGCCAAAGAGCCAGCGCTGTCTGAAGAAATTTCCGTGGTCATGTGGCCGGCATGACTAAACACCAAGACGCACGGAACGCTGTTACCTTCCGACCGAAGTGGTACCTATTTATCTACTTGCAATTTCTTGCTTTCGAACTGCTAGGTTGGCAGGACCTTACGCCCCATTAAATTCAGTGAACACTTAAGTGTGTTTAAATGCTCAGTTTAATTCTACTGTACTGTGATGGCAAAGACCTTTTCCCATACCGTTATCTCAGCTTCCTGCCAAGCACTGATGCTTAGGACCTCCAAGAACTGCCCCTGGTCTTGACTAAAGCTCTCTAAAAGCTTCAGGATCTCACATAGCGGCCCAATGGGCTGCAATGAAAGCCTCTGAACACCCACTGCACACAACCAGAACACCTACAGCCCTGAGGATCAGAACCTTTACCAGGATACAACTAGATACAGTCCTAGCACAATCTTCTCCAAGGACTGATCCAAAGAAAGGATACTGGGGCTATATATTTGCTAGTGGAATTCCACAACTCAGTTATTAGATTTTTATCCCACCGTCCTAAAATGTTTACAATACACATAAAACAGATTAGGAATAACATATAACAGTGCTATAATCATAAATATAATAAAGTGCTAGTATCAATAATTTCACAACTTCACAGTGGTAGTTGCTACACAGTTCACAGTCAGCCCTCTAGTCTTCTTAGGCAGCTGGCTCAGGCTATATTGAAAGATCCTGGGGGGGAACAGGGCTCTCCCATCCAAGCTGTCAGTCGTTAGTGGTGGCGGTGGCTCCAGAAGCCTGGCAGAAGAGCTCCATTTTACAGGCCCTGCGGAACTGCAAAAGATCCCACAGGGCCCTGATCTCTTCTGGGAGCTCATTCCACCAGAGTGGAGCCGCCACCGAGAAAGCCCTGGCCCTGTTTGTTACTAGCCTGGCCTCCTTAAGACTTGAAAGGGCCAGCCAGTTCTGAACCTGATCGCAGTGCTCTCTGGGGTATATGTGGGAATTCATAAATCATTGTAATTGTTAAAAGTGGGTGGGTCCTGTTCCAGGCCCTCAGCTTACCTGGTAGCACCCATCAAGTGTACTGCACTATTTTGGGGTGTAACTATATGATACATCCAGCATGTGTTCGGTCATGGGTGTGCGACTGGATGCACAGTCTGATGCACATGGGGAACGCTGACCTAAAAAAGTGCTCATTCACTCACAGCTGCGAAGGGGGGGGAGAGCAGCTTCCAACCCTCCCCCCTTCACCAGCTTAAGGGGCAGCAGGGGGGTGTTTTTTCCTCTGGACCAGATGTATACCCAGGATTTTCCCAAACTGGAGTTGGCAAAGCTAGCTGGAACAACACCCCGTTGGTTCACAAGGCCACATTCTAAGTTGCAAACTCTTACAAAACTGCCATTGGCTAGCATCTGCTGCATAGAAAGCAAGGGTTCCGCACCTCCAGCCTCACTTTGCCTACATGCTGAGTAGAGCAGCAGGGGTGGAGAAGTTTCCTCCAAGATTCTCAACTTTGGCTTGTTTTCTCAAAGAACTCCTGGTGCCAGACTCCTACCCAGTCTTCCCCCTAAGCTGAGTTAGTGTGAGCTAGCTCACGGTTCTCTAGCCTCCGGCTCACACACTTTTGTCTCGGCCCAGGAAGGATGGATCCAGAGCAAACTGATTTATGCAGTAGCCAAATAGCTCACTCACAACTTTAATGCCAGGAGCTCACAAGGTAGAATTGTCGCTCGCAACACTCCACTGCTTAGAGGGAACATTGCTCCTACCCCAAAGTTTTTGTCTGTTGCCCCACTTCTGCACTTGATACTGGGAAGATCATAGCTCCCCCTCCTCTCTGTGTCCAATTTTAAAAAAAGGCTATGTAAATATTTAGTAGACTTTCTACTAAGGAACCTACTGCAGCCCCTTGTAACTAATTGCCTGGGAAGAAATACTGCAAAAAAGTAGCTCTGTACAAAAAAATGATATAAGGATGTTTAGTAAGCCTGCAGTAACTTGTCTGAATATTACAGATGGAGATTTTTAAAACATGAGAATAGAGAAAACATCCAACAGAGAGAAGGAACAGAACAAATTAAAATGCAGCTCACCTGATTTAAACTATGGCAACTCTTAAAAGAATTCTTTGCTTTCAACCCTCTTGCTATCTTTATGGCTCCATCCAAGCTACTTTTCTTCTCTGTAATAGACAACTGAACTTTATGTACATCAGTTATATAGCTGCTGGTGTTCACTACCAACTCTGTCTGTAATTTCCTTTTCCTAATAGGAAACCAAGAAAGATGTGTCCTCAGAAAAAGCTGACCAAGTAACATTAAAAAAAAAATGATTTGACAGCATACACACACAAAAAAAACCCTCAAACATTTTGATGGTTTTCTAAGCCACAAGCTAATGACATCATTAACTTTTACAGTCTGTAGGAAGTTCTTTTTAAACAAGCAATAAAGAACATAAGAACGTAAGAGAAGCCAATGTTGGATCAGGCCAATGGCCAATCCAGTCCAACACTCTGTCACAGTGGCCAAAAATACCAGGTGCAAACAGGAGGTCCAGCAGTGGGGCCGGGACACTAGAAGCTCTCCCACTGTTGCCCCCCCCAAGCACCAAGAATACAGAGCATCACTTGTCCCAGAGTTTCTATCTATACCTTGTGTCTAATAGCCACTGATGGATCTCTGCTCTATAGGCTTATCCAATTCCCTCTTGAAGCCGTCTATGCTTGTAGCCGCCACCACCTCTTGTGGCAGTGAATTCCATGTGTTAATCACTCTTTGGGTGAAGTACTTCCTTTTATCCATTCTAACCCAACCGCTCAGCAATTTCATTGAGTGCCCACGAGTTCTTGTATTGTGATAAAGGGAGAAAAGTACCTCTTTCTCTATCTGCTCTGTCCCATGCATAATCTTATAAGCCTCAATCATGTCACCCCTCAGTTGTCATTTCTCCAAGCTAAAGAGCCCTAAGCGCTTTAACCTTTTCTCATAGGGAAAGTGTTCCAACCCTTTTATCATTCGAGTTGCCCTTACCTGCACTTTTCCCAAAGCTATAAGGTGTGGTGACCAGAACTGCACACAGTATTCCAAATGAGGTTGCACAATTGATTTGTATAGGGCATTATGATTTGTATAGGGCATTATGATATTGGCTGATCTGTTTTCAATACCCTTCCTAATAATTCCCAGCATAGCATTGGCCTTTTTTATTGCAGTCACACACTGTCTTGATATTTTCAGTGAGTCATCTAAAACTCCAAGATCTCTCTTGATCAGTCTCTGCCAGTTCAAACCCCAGCAATGTGTATTTATAGTTAGGATTTTTGGCTCCAATGTGCATCACCTTGCACTTGGCCACATTGAACTCCACTTGCCACGTTGATGCCCACTTGCCCATCCTTGACAGATCCCTTTGGAGTGCCGCACAATCCTCACTGGTTTTCACCACCCTGAAAAACTGTGCGTCATCTGCAAAATTAGCCACTTCACTGCTTACTCCCAACTCCAAATCATTAATGAACAACTTAAAAAGCAGTGAACCAAGTACTGATCACTGCAGTACCCCACTGCTTACCACTGTCAACTGAGAAAATTTCCCATTTATACTCACTCTCTGTTTCCTATTAATTAGCCGGTTTTTGATCCTCTTATCTCGTGACTATTGAGCTTACTTATGAGCCTTTGATGTGGAATTTTATCAAAAACTTTCTGGAAGTCAAGGTGAACAAAATCTATTGGGTCGCCCTTGTCCACGTTTGTTCATTCCCTCAGACAGTTCTCCAAACAAGCAACTGACCCTAAAACAAACTACATCACCTGCAACATTTTTAACACTCAGCTACATACAAGTAGTACGTATTAAAAGGGCGCTTCTGTACAATTAGCTCCTAACTGGCCCTGGTCACACGGGCTGGATATCACCAGGGGGGGGGGAGGCGTGGCTAATTGCCCTGGCGCAGTTTGATCCGCGATTACGCGATCAGATGCGCCGGCGACACATCACGGGTCCTTACCTCAGCACCAGCAGGTAAATGAGGGACCGGAGGGGAATGCTGCGTGCTGGCGCAATCACACCACGGGCGCCTGGAGGCAGCCCGTGGCAAACGTTTACTAGTACCTTGGAGGTACTAGTTTTTTAATGCGCATTGTTGGCGGTAAGCCACGGGTGCGCTCCACTTCCCAGATGTTGGGGTGTGATCACGCCCGGATAATCCGCCCACCATCCATGCCTCTCCCATGGCAACTTTGCCATGTGACCGGGGGCCTTAATACATCTAACTGCAACCATGGGAAAGATGACTTAACACACCAATTTCCTTATAAAATGTTTAAGATTTGCTCACATACTTCATACCACAAAGTGATGAGGAAACTAACAGTTACATGTAAAAATCAAAAGGAAAGAATCAAAGCCTATTGAGTTAAAGGACGTAGCTTTTGAAACTTTAAAAAATCAGTGACTACCATTTCACTCCTCTGGGGAGAAAAATCAAGTAGGAAAGAATTGTTATGATGTAAAAAATGACTTAAGAAGAGCCCTGCCGGAGTAAAACTAGTGGTCTATCTAGTCCAGCATCCTGTCTCACACTGGCCAACCAGCTCCTCTGGAGGGCCAACAGGGCATAGAAGCCAAGACCTTCCCGCTGTTGCCTCCTAGAACTGGGATTCAGAGGTTGACTGCCTCAGAATGTAGAGGTTCCCCTCAGTCACCATGGCTAGTAGAGTTAGACAGATTCTCCATGAATCTGTCAAATCCTCTTTTTAAGCTGTCTATTCCTGTGGCCATCTCTACATTCTCCAGCTGTAAATTCCATATTTTAATCTGTGTAAAGTAGTATTTCCTTTCGTCCATCCTGAATCTACTGCCCATCAGTTTCATTGGATGCCCTCCAGTTTTAGTATTTTGTGAGAGAAATTTTTTATCAACTCTCCCCAACCTATGCATAATTTGATAAACCTCTATCACATACCCCCTTAGTTGTCTCTTCTATAAACTGAAAATTCACAGCACCTTCAGCCTTTCCTCAGAGGGAAGGCGCTCCAACCCCCTAATAATCTTTGGTAATTTTTTATTTTTCATATGTGCATGTGTGTGTTTGTGTGTGTGCTTGCACTTGAAAGTCATGGTGACCTCTGGTGACTGACTGTGTACCTGGAAGTCACAGCAACCTACTGGGGGCCTGGAAGATATTCAGAGATGGTTGAATAAAGCCATCATTATTCACCCACCTCCCAACTGCTGGTATTCCAAGGAAGTCTCCCATTTAAGTACTTGCCTGAGTCAACCCTGCTTAGCTTCCAAAATCTGACAAGATCAGGCTTGCCTGGGCTACCCAAGTCAGGGCAACCCCCTAATAATCTTGGTTGCCTCTCTTCTATACTTTTTCTAGCTCCTGATATCCTTTTTGAGATATGGTGATCACAACTGTAGACAGTATTCCAAACGAGGCCCCACCATAGATCTATACAGGGGCTTTATATCAGTGGTTTCATGTTGAATCCCTTTCTTTTTTAGCATTTTTTTATTTAGAAAAAGTTTACAACAATACAAACCAAAATACAGAATACATAAAACCAACTTGGAGAATATTTAAGCAGTCATAACATTAATAAAACAAACTAAAACCAGTTGTACTACTAAACTTTGCTATAATTGCATAATTTCTGAAGAGTGAAAGTCACCTATAAACTAAGCTTAAAAGAATGATGATTGATCTAGAAAAAGGTAAATTGAACTCTGCCAATATATATGAGAAGGCCTATTAATGTTGATGACAGACCACACTAGAAACGGATCTTGGGGAGATATGAAGACTTTGAAGGAAGAATGTCCTTCTCAGACATAAATTGGAGAACTCTTGACCATGTAGCAACAAAATCGTAAGGAAGAAGGTGATGTCTCAGCATTTGTCTGAGTAATATATGTGAGTTTTGCTAAAATAAATTGGTCCCATATTTTTTCATACCACATATTTAAAGACGGGGAGAAGCAGATTTCCATATTGAGACAATTGTCTTAATAATCCCTAACATAGAATTGGCATTTTCCATGGCTGCCGCACACTGGATTGACACGTACCTGTGCTGCTCCCAGTCAGCATTTAACTGTAGTTAAGTAGAACTGCCATATATCTTTAAGAGCAGTTGCCCCTGGAAATTGAAGTCTTTAGTTAGGCATCCCAAAGCATCCCTGTGACTGGCTGATTAACAGTCATTTCCTACACCTAGAGGCGCGAGGATTTGAGTTTACAGCTCTCTTCCCATTTCTTTGTCTACTCTTTAAACGGCAAGGAGGTGGGAGCACGCAATCTTTTTCACCATGAGCCATGAACTGAATTCGATTACAAAGATGTGAACTTCACCAGTTAGTCAGCTTTGATTTTAAGTAAAGAAAACTTCTGAATGCATGTGGAGGAACTGAATAAAAAATGATTTAATTCTACTTTACTCTGGCCGTGCGTTGAATCACATCCAGAAGGCGCTGTTGTCTCTTGACTTAGCGCCTGACAGAACAGTACCAATTAACTATCCACTATGACCCCAAAATCTTTTTCCCACTCAAGTCTCAGCAAGTTCAGACCTTGTTAGCCTATTCTTGAAGTTGGGATTTTTTTTTTGTTTCAATATGCATTACCTTACACTGATGAACATTGAACTTCATTTGCCACTTTGTCACCCAATCTGCAGAGATCCTCTTGGAGCTCTTCAAAGTCATCCTTGGTTTTCACCATCCTGAATAATTTGGTGTCATCTGCAAACCTGACCACTATACTACTTACCCCTAGTTCCAATCATTTATGAAGAAATTAAACAGTCCCGCCCCCAAAACAGAAGCCTACTCTCAACAGCTGAAGGTTAAGCTGCTACTGACAAACATCACAAGGTGTGGTGCACAAAGCTCATCCCCCCCCCCAAAAAAGGGGGGGGAGAAGAAAAACTAAACCAGCCAAGCAAAAACCTCCAAAGGAAGTTTAGAAAACTTATTAAGGGCCAAAAGTTAAAAACATAAACAAGTACAGACAAAAGTGTGTTTATTTCAAAGACATATTAAAAAACTTGTAGGGGCCCAAATAAAGCCTCATAAAATAATCAAAGTGACGAATCCACAAAAAGAACAGTGTATGATCTGAGACGTGTTTTGGCTCACAAGAGCCTCCTTCAGAGGTAAAACAGTACAAAGTACAAAATACACCATGCAACAAAGTCCCTGTTACACATGCAAGGCAGTAAACGATTAATATAGGACCACAAATTGAATGTTCCAATCTGGAATTTAATGACACATCAAAAGATTTTAATTGGGGCCACAAACAGATCTGGCCTTGCGTCAAAGGTAGTTGCATATACTGGAAGTATTAGTACCAATATGTACCTTCCAGTTTAGATCCTAAAAATGCAAGTAAAATTGCCGTTATCAGGGACAATGTGACATCAATATGTAACAGAGCTCATCTACACAAAAATCATACAGACATATTCTCCTTGGTCTCTCAAGAGTCCCTACTAGATACAGCTCCTCTGTCATGTGTTATTCTACATAAAAGGCAGGCATTTCACTAATGGTTATAACAAATACTTCACCACAGAGAAACGAAACCAAGCACATATAGCCCCGACTTTTAAAAACCCCACCATAACCCACTTTACCTTGAATTTAATGCAGCAATGAAGTTTGTAAATGTGGCATCAATAACACCTGCAGTCTTGCCTTCTTCTTGCTTTGCTTCAGTGACCAATTGTTCAAGTATCTATTTCATTTTTTAAAAGAAACAACTGATGAAGTCAGATCTACAATTATGTACCTAGTTTCTGGACAGCAGAACAGTTAAATCCAGAGTTTGTTAAAAGACATGCAGAAGTTTCAGTATCTCTCTCCTCCTTTTTTTAAATACTTGGGAACAACCTACAAGTATTTTGATGCTAGATTTTAGCAATGATTATATGAAAAAATAAACATTTTCTATCCGCAGTTATGAGATCCGTTAATACCCAGCCTGATCCAAGTAGTGTCATCATCAGTGGTGGCCTAGATACAGCTCAAAAGGACGTGTGCTATGCTCAGGATTACTATCATCATTAACAACTAGTCACTTTAACTGCTACAGATGTCCCAGATTTCATGTTTCCCCACT